TCTCTGTGATAGAAACAAATGTCTGATGGGCTATATTACATGTTTTATATGATGAAATATGTGTTTGTATGTAAAATATTATATTTGTATGTAAAATATCATGTTTGCATGTGAAGTAGTAATGAAGGAATGAAATAAAGAACAGTATTTTCAGTTATTGTTGTTTTAATTCTTTCACCTGAATAGCAAATATTACATTTGGTGATTTGTAGTGTTGGAGATGTGATGTAAATGATAGACTGATGCTGTTGTGTTGGAGATGTGATGTAAATGATAGCCTGGTGCGATAGTGTTGGAGATGTGATGTAAATGATAGACTGGTGCTGTAAGGTTGGAGATGTGATGTAAATGATAGACTGATGCTGTAAGGTTGGAGATGTGATGTAAATGATAGACTGATGCGGTAGTGTTGGAGATGTGATATAAATGATAAACTGGTGCTGTAAGGTTGGAGATGTGATATAAATGATAGACTGATGCTGTAGTGTTGGAGATGTGATGTAAATGATAGACTGGTGCGGTAAGGTTGGAGATGTGATGTAAATGATAGACTGATGCTGTTGTGTTGGAGATGTGATGTAAATGATAGACTGGTGCTGTAGTGTTGGAGAAGTGATGTAAATGATAGACTGATGCTGTTGTGTTGGAGATGTGATGTAAATGATAGACTGATGCTGTAAGGTTGGAGATGTGATATAAATGATAGACTGATGCTGTAGTGTTGGAGATGTGATGTAAATGATAGACTGATGCTGTAGTGTTGGAGATGTGATGTAAATGATAGACTGATGCTGTTGTGTTGGAGATGTGATGTAAATGATAGACTGGTGCTGTAGTGTTGGAGAAGTGATGTAAATGATAGACTGATGCTGTTGTGTTGGAGATGTGATGTAAATGATAGACTGATGCTGTAAGGTTGGAGATGTGATGTAAATGATAGACTGATGCTGTAGTGTTGGAGATGTGATGTAAATGATAGACTGATGCTGTAAGGTTGGAGATGTGATGTAAATGATAGACTGATGCTGTAGTGTTGGAGATGTGATGTAAATGATAGACTGATGCTGTTGTGTTGGAGATGTGATGTAAATGATAGACTGATGCTGTAGTGTTGGAGATGTGATGTAAATGATAGACTGGTGCGGTAAGGTTGGAGGTGTGATGTAAATGATAGACTGATGCTGTAGTGTTGGAGATGTGATGTAAATGATAGACTGATGATGTAAGTCTGGGGGGTTGAAGGACCAAGGTGAGAAGACAGACTGGTGCTTTATGATTACAGAGAAGACACTGCTGCTGTTATGATAAAGATTAGGTGTGTAATATAAGCCTATTCTATAAAGATATGTATATATACTTTTAAGTATCTGTGTACGTGTGTGCTGTATTGAATATTGGGAGTCCAAAGCAGGAGGGCAACAGTTGAAGTCGCGTAACAAAGAAGAAATATGTAGTTGCTTGAGAAAAATATTTTCTTAACAATCCTCACATTTCACAAAGAATTTTCATAACCGTCTTGAAATACAGATAGGCAGAGCTTGTGAGTTTTTACAGAGATGGACAACATTCAAGGGCTTCCTATTCGATACGAAATACATTCCGTAAGTGTGGGAGTCTATCCATGTTAGTGTTTTGTCACAGTAAAACATGCCCAATGTTTAACAAGAGAGTCGGTACATACTTTATCATATCAAGGTAGGACTACTACCATGTGATTACGAAACCTCAATGACGTAACTTTTTCAGCCTTTTATCTTTCTTTATTTGTTTTGGTTTGATATATTTTACTCTGATTGATATATGGTTGTATTTGTTGTCAAATTGCTATCTCGCTGCGTGCTGTATAAAGACTGCAGTCATTTTGTGACACTGAATATTCCGCCTTAAGTTGATGTTGATTATTTAAGGACATCACTTCTCCTTTTAACATTCTTTCACATGCTTAAAATACCTGTTCGCAAAAAGGGAGAACATCCATTCTCTAGTGATTTGAATGTTCACAAATCTATTTACATGAACTATTTCGGAGTAACAAAATATAAGTACAACTACGTGAACAGGTAGTAGACTTCTTATCAGAACAGTACATGAAAACAACAAGAATATACCAATATTCAAATCTTAATCAAAACTCAAAACCAATTAAACTAGTACAAAAAATGTGGACACGTGAAATTTCTACACATATATCATTAACGTACAAAGAAACTAACACAAGATGCACCGGGAGGGTAAGCGTGTTCTGCTTCTGAGTCACTCTAAGTCAACAACAACGAAACAACTAGAGATATTAGTGAGCATCAAATACGTCTACCTTCATATCATACAAGTACAAAATGAATTACATATAGAACATGGCAACGACAAGAAAACGTCCCCTTTAGTCTTCATCCACCTTGATCTCTTGAAGCCCTCTTTTTTAAGTTTATCTCAGCTATCACATCTTGCCCGGTGTCGTTAAACAGTTCGCTCATCATCCTTGATACTTCAGGGGTTACTATCACTTTCGCTCTCTGCACCCCTAGAACATTTCCTAGCACCAACGTTGATTGTTCTAGCGCGGGGTTCAGGAGAAAAATCTGATCAACCGCGCTTCTTTGAAGAGTATAAAGGAGCAACACCCAACTTCAAAACCAGTTCGACATACCGTTATGCGAATTCGACTTCATTGGACACAAAATTTGACAATATGAAATAATTCTGTAATTAAGGGGTTGCGAACCCTGGATTTGGCATACTGCACTTTCTCTTAGTATGCCCAATGTTCTATAATGCTAGTTTTGATGCAGGCAAAGCTATGCTCATGACACAAAATGTAACAAACGTCAATAACTTTAACTGAGGGGCCAAGGGTCCTGACTTTGCTGCACTGCATTAATTCTGTAATTAAGGGGTTGCGGACCCTGAATTTGGCGCGCTGCATATCGTCTTCGTATGATCAGTTTATACGTCAAGTTTCAATATCCTTGCTTCACGGCAAAGTTATGCTCCGCACACGGAAGACGGATGGACGGACAGACAAGGCGGCGACATATGCTCCTCTGAAATATTTTGTGGAGCATAAAAATCCATCCACTGCTTCGAAAAATCATCTAAGCACTGACATTGTGACCACTTACGTCATCTCGTGTAATCCGTCAGAATATTGATTTAGTGAAATGTACATCAATGGATCAAACTATTCTTCTCATCTTATCCGCAATGTGTCTCGCATGGAATCTCCAATTTTGCCATGGGGTGCAGAAAACGACACTGAGCGTGATTCCTGGAGTATCGAGAATGATCGCTTATGTATCCGTCTGACTCTGGAAAATGTATACCTCTAGTATCACTAAGCTGTAAACATTAGGACTTTGCATTCCCAAAGGTGAATTATTCATTTCTCGATTGTAACATTTCTGCTTCGCCAAGTCGATTTCGTTTCCAAATATCGTGTTTCTGTAAGTCGACTGCTGACCGATAAACTAACTTGGCCACGCCGACAGTTTGAGAGATACAGTCTGGAACATAAAGATTATATGAGTTTGGTATTTATTGTAGCCATTTTTATTTCAATAGAAACTAGTAAAATTCTTCTGTGTGATATGACATACGACGTGGCTGATGTGGTTTGTTATCCAAGCGATTTCGTTATCATTACCCAACTCTTATTTAGAGAATGTGACATTATATAAACTGAACACAAAAAGTTCAATAAGGATCCATAACTATGTGATATTATTTTCTGCCATCAAATAGACTTTACGCTCCTTGACCACAATAACTTCTCGGTAACGTACAGTAAATTAAGCATTGTGAAATTATTGGTTCTGGAAATTTGATTTTAACAGAAACATTTCGGTGGCAGCATATTAACCGAAATCAGGCATATGCATCGAGTTCAGTGGAAACGATTTATCTCTTATGACCTGCTCTCATGTATTTCCTTACAGGCGTGTAATAACTGAAGGATTTATGTTCTTTGTTAAAAGTGCTTTTTTTAAAAAACAGAGTTCTGGATACCTCATATTCTTTCATGTTTGGGACTAGCTTACACCCTGAGAAGTCAAGATAGTAGATACTGTAACAAAACTAATATGTAATTTCGATATTTATATACTTGTAACGAACTTGTTCAAGCATCTAATAACAGGCATACACAACACTAGAGATACTCAACTCCTTCTCTTTACTTACTCAATACAGCTTGTAGCAACACAAAGTAAAACCATTAAAGACCAATTAAAATCGCACAGCTAAATAGCTAGAAAGAAACAACATATATACAACATGGGGAAATACCAACCAATTGCTTCTATATAGTTTCCCAACTACCCCAGACACTACTTAGTTGACAGTACATTTTTATATACATACAATAATACATTTATTTATTTATTTAACGGTCTTAACGTCCACCATTACGGTATTTTGGCCTTTCAGCGGACGAGTCTCACACATTCAAAAATAATGATGGTATATATAAATTAGTATAAAATCATTTTAACAACACTTACAACCAAAATACTGTCATTCACAACACTTCTAAAATATACAATTACTCGCAAACTACGTATACCTCACATTCTTGACACATTAAATATAAACTTACACAAACAGTTTACTTAGATTTTGAACAAAATGTATAAATGTAAAGAAATACTTTGTCCGCATAAAGGGACACAACTCAAAAAATATATTCTCGTTATATACTACCAAAATATAACTTATTCTGACAGGCCTATTGCAGAAACTTTTAAAAATCTTTAATTGGATTTCTGGTCAATGTCGCTTCAGTGCTGGAGTTCTTTAGGAAAAAACCAGTAGATGGTTGTAATGCTATTATACTAGATATGTTTAATCCTAAATTGTTATCCTCATAAGATAAAACTGTTAATGTATCCCCTAATAATACGCTTTCCACTCTTTCCTTAGCATATTTCTGCTAACATCGAAATCTCGTTTGTCGTAACATACGTATTAACCACATCACGTGACTCAATGCGAGACTTTCGGGTTGACAACTGCTCCATGCCGATGGCGGTGAGAAGGATGTGATGCTGCGCTGGATGTATTGTACGTCTAGTTATTTTTGAGCAAAGTATTCCTTGACATTTAAGGATTATTTAGTAAGATGAACGATCGATGAATCTGATGACATACATCAGAAGGCGTGTATACAAAACGTTATTTTATCAACCCCATGTTTTGACATCACCCCCAAAGACCTGCTGTTTTGGAAAATGTCTAAAAATAGATTAACAAATGTGTTTTTGTGATCTCTGATCGAATTACAATGTACTGATGGATCCATACTTATAGTGATCACTCATTGTGTGATAATGAAAAACTTGTATGCTTTGTCGTAATAATTTGGTGCTAGAATTCGCTGTGTTAAATCCAGGTTGTAATTCCGGAATCGGAAACCGTAAGAATAGGAAGTTGGATTTTAACAGACACTGGTTCCTATATTTATATATTTAACATTAATTTCTATTACCGTTTGTTTACAAATAATTCGTTGTCATTAGCACGTGCATCTCTCCCTTACGTTTTGTATGAGAATACAGAACACGATGACATACGAGAATGACGGTCATTAACCTCAGCATCATTCTAACAAATTCACGTTTTGTTTTTTTAAGTGATTTTCATGAAAGCAGTTTTCCTCAATTATTTCAATGTTAAAATCGAATTTCATAGAATGTTTCTTCAATACATTGTCTACTTAACATTACCAAAAGTGTCAAATCTGAAGTCATCTTGTGTGCACTTTACTTTCTGCTTTTGTTCATGATTCCAGGAACTATATATACATGCTTATGATAAGCTACATGTTATAAACTACAGACTTGAAATGGCACATTGGATAAGAAAATTAGGGCAGGTGATCACTAACATAACATTTGTTTGTGATAGCATTGGTTACCCCGTATATTGAAACAAGGAATGGGCAGTCTGAAAGGAGGGGACACTAGATCTTGTGAAGCTGTGTACATGTGTCTCATATAGCTGACATTAAAGTGGAACAGTTCTATTTCCATTATCAAAACAAGATTCTATAATACGATACCAAATTCACAGGAATTGCTTGTAATTACCTCTTCAAACTTGATGCATTTTTTGTTTTCTTCTGTCCATGCTGCATATATTCGCAGTGAAACAATACTCAAAATTCCTTTGATTATAACTATTGATTTCAAAGATTGCAAATGCATGTATCTTGGGCTTACAGAATTACATATCTAGCATGACTCAAATTGACAAAGTGACAAAAGTCTCCATTGAACATGTTGGACACAAAAAATTTGTGTGGAAAATGTCTTTTGATCCCCAGAAAACATTTACTTCACAGTCCCACCATAGCATACCAAGATCTACACCACATTAGATATTTTTGGTCATTTGTTAGAGTTAAAGATCAAAGGTCACCTTTTTGATAGTAGAAAGGTTTGTGTACTAGGTATCTTATGAACACCTAATCACATTTAGAGGTGCTAGCAAATAATCACACAATAACGATGATCACTTACTTCCTGATCCAGATTGAGAGGATATTGCTATGTGAGCCCCTGTTCACTTTAACTTCCTGATCCATGAATGGGGAGGACAAAAAATATAATTATTCAAGATGCATTGATGTAATATAATCTCCAAACCAGATTTGAAGCAGAAGAATAATGCATTTGATACCAAATATATCAATAACTTACGAATATGTTTTGTCGGGTGTAGCCATTCCTTTAATGAATTTTTCAAAGGCACTATTTGTTGCGCTGATATTGATTTAATTATGCCATTAATTTCAGGTGAGAAAGTTCCCAGATGGCAGACTCTGATGGAACAGGAGGTTGTGACAGCAGCCATCATGCCAGTGAAGCAGAAAGAGTTAGTTTTGAGGGAATCAATGCCTTGGGACAAACAGAGGAATTAGGGGGAGGAATTTCTCCACTGTACAATCCCTGGACACAATTCACTGGTATGCCTACTCACAACATTTCAGAGTCAGCAGGAACCTTTGCCTGGGATGTTTTCACACCTTCCAGTACCTCTAATTCCTCATACGGTGCCTCTATAGGAGACCTGGACATAAACAGTCACAGAAACTTCCTCTCTAATTGTCAAAATTTACTTTCTGGCATTGGGACAAACCCCCCTGCAGAAGCTCCATTACAAGAGGGTTTTAGTCCACCAGAAACATTGAGCTCAAGTTTTCAAGAAAATGCCAAAGAAGGAAAGGAAAAATATGCAGAAGCTGTTGCCAATTGGAAGTCCTTGTATGACCCTTTTGGAACCCCTGAACCACTATCCAAAGATCACAATACTGGTTCTGTCATAGAAAATACAGAGAAACAACAAAATCCTGGAGCGAGCAACAGCAAGCCTACATATTCTGACATTGCTAAAGCCCTTAAATCAATGCCTATAAAAAATCAGCCTAGTAAAGACACTGAAGAGTCCGATACTGTGAAGAAAAAAGTTAATGACCCTGTCAGTAAAGTTTATAAACCACATGTTTTAACCAGAAGGCCACACTTGCAACGCCAGCATTCCAAAAGTCTGCCTGGTCACGGGGATGACATGGAGTCCAAGGTTTCTCCAGATTCCAAGTATGGCCTTGACCAGTTTGAAGACTTGAACTCGGGTGATGGTGGAGTAGAGAAACATAAGAGTGTGAGTATGGAAAGTATTCCACTACTGACAAGGAAGGGAAGCACAAGCAGCATGAGCAGTGGCACTAGTGGAATAGAAGACATCTCCTTGACGTCTGGTCGGACTGGCTGCAATATTAAACATGAAGAAAGTGTCGGCAAACCAAGATCACAATCTGATGCTTCATCAGAGAAGGTAGTTAACAATAATAAAAGTTCTGCTTCAAAAGCTTTCTTCGATGCCAGACGAATTTTCCAAACAAAAGAAAAAAGAGTAGCAGAGTCATCTTCAGGAGCCTCTAATACAATGCTCAACAATGGAAAGCCAGCTAGTGGTACAAAATCTTCCTCATCTGCTCACAAAAAGACAACAGAGTTCATCAACAATGACCTTAGAGACTCGACTAGAAAGAAGACAAACCAGAATGCACAACCCAAAGACTCAGAGTGTAAAAAGCATGAAAATATTGTGCAGAATGGGAAGGCAGACAAAAAATCTAAGCACTCCAGTGGTCATTATACATCAGATTCCACGGGTCCTGCCACTAGGAATGGTAGAGGTGGACGCAGACCCATGTTTTTGGAGTCAACATTTGACCAGGAGTATATAGGTAATTGCAGTACGCAAAATCAATGTTATGATAGGAAATATTGTCAGGGGATCACTTGTTCAAATTTGCAGTATTAAGTATTTCAATGGCTGCTTTAATTAAGGTTAACTGTTAAGTACATGTGACCTGTATAAGATTCCAACATTGATTAATATAATGGCTGGTATATTGCTCTGTTTTTTTTCCAGATGAATGGATTAACTATGTCTATGACAAGGTGCGATACCTTCTCTCCATCCTATGGTCTACTCTGGTCACAACACTGCTTCTTCTCTTTGGACTTATCATCTACCTGTAAGTACACCTCAATTATCACCCTTTAGTTAGTGGCAGCCTATACTCAGAATTAAGTCCCTCTGTACCTTTAGTTTTAGCACAGATATGTTGTTATGACCATAGCAACAAAATTAAGGATATATGTAAATGAAAGCACTAATGTTTAAGTCTACGTTCTTCAAGTTTATTATATTATATATATATAGAAAATAGAAACACTTCTGATAAGTAAAGCATGATTGATTTTTTCAAAACCTTCCAATGCTTTATTTTTTATATATATGTACTAGACACTGCAAATTTGAACTTTCTAATATATGGTATATACTTGATCAAGTGGGGTTGGAAGTGGGGGGTTCTTGTACTGTAGCCATGGTCATTAAAGTTTGATTGGTCAAACAAAAACATGTATATCTAAAAACTTTCGTGTTCTATTTTGGGAGATATTGAATACTGATTAGCAAGATTGTGAATACTGGTTGCTAAAACTTTTGTGTTTAATTTTGGGAGATATTGAACACTGATTAGCAAGATTGTGAATACTGGTTGCTAAAACTTTGGTAAAAACAAAAACACATAACAGGTGTATCTAAAAACTTTCGTGTTCTATTTTGGGAGATATTGAATACTGATTAGCAAGATTGTGAATACTGGTTGCTAAAACTTTTGTGTTTAATTTTGGGAGATATTGAACACTGATTAGCAAGATTGTGAATACTGGTTGCTAAAACTTTGGTAAAAACAAAAACACATAACAGGTATATCTAAAAACTTTTGTGTTTAATTTTGGGAGATATTGAACACTGATTAGCAAGATTGTGAATACTGGTTGCTAAAACTTTTGTGTTTAATTTTGGGAGATATTGAACATTGATTAGCAAGATTGTGAATACTGGTTGCTAAAACTTTGGTAAAAACAAAAACACATAACAGGTATATCTAAAAACTTGTACATGTTTGGTTTCGGGAGACTGAACACAAAACCTCCCATGTATGAGTAACCTCAGACTGGTATTAGTTATCCTTGAGATTACAGCTGTAGTTGAATGTACTATCTTTGTGTACAGTTACTCAGAATGAATAATGGAAAATTCTTTCCAAATTAGAAACAATTAACACAAGAAAAAAGTACGTATAAATATTTATTTTCTCATGGTGAATTTTTTTTTCAGAGTCAATGTGATTGTTCATGTGATTGGCATTGCTTGGTCAAAAATTTCCTACCTGGTGAAAACCTATATTTTGAAAAGATATTTCAAAGATGCCAGTTCCTGGCCAACAGGAAGTGGAACAAGAAAAATTGGATTGGAAGAAAGCATAACTTTGCCCTCTACAGGTTAGTGGTGACTTTCTATTAGGGAACATCATCATGCATTTTGTTTTTTATCATCATGCTTACAGAGTATCATGCATGGGAGTTTAGTATTTGCATCTGTTGGTCATAATGTCTGTTCAACAACAAAATTTTATTCTCTTCAGCAATTTCATTTTTATCCAACAGATGAGAAATATCTTCTTTCTACCCAAGGACTATATTCAAGTTTAACTTCAGTTCTCTCGGCCCATCAGACTCAAATTTTCTCCAGCTCTTCTTTATAGAGTGTGTCGGCATGAGATTGATTTTCAGGGCTGACAATCAAGGCCACTCTCATTATGAATAAGCAGTTGGTTTCTCCAGGCAGGCAATGCATCAACTTACGGAATTCTGGTTATTTATAAACTTTGTATTCTCCCCATAATCTAAAGGAACATCATGGTAAATCATTTTACAAAAATGTATCAGAATTAGAATGGACATGTTTACACCCCACAATTATGCTGATAAGCTATCTTGATACTCAAAGTTGATCATGAATATTCAGTTTGACCACTCACATTGTTCAGAAAACCTTTTAAATACATATAGCTGATAACAGATTAAGACAAGGTAGAGCGATTAGAGACATAATTTGCATCAACTGCAATAATGAAGGCTGAAAACAAGGTTTATGTGAAATGATATTTTTGTATGAATGTTTCACACTGTTTACAACAGCTTAAATGTAAAATTTAAACTTTCAGTACACATTATGAAGTATTTGTCCTTTCACTATCACAATTTTCCCGTTTGGAGCCTGTTTACAACACACATTGATTTACTTGAGTACTGCCAGCTCTGTCATTCCTGTGGCAATTGATTCACTGTTTGAGTTCTTTATATTGGTCGATCCTCGCAGTATTTGACAACTCTGTCCTTTGTAGCTAACACAGTGCCCTTTTATTTGTTCATGACTAATTCACTATTGACACCATGTTGTTGACAATAGGTTCTTCAACCAACACATGCAGTCAGTTACTGCTAAAAATTGGTTATAATGGAAAATCCTGTTATATTATTGGTTGTATAATAGTGAACCTCATGTTATTTGAAAAATTATGAATTGTTAGATTTTTTGTTCTCAGTAAATTCTAACATTTTTCAATTTAAGAAATTATACCACATCTGTTGATGCAGAATTTTGGAAAAGAGAGAAAAGAAATTAGTTATGTGGAAATATCTTGATGTATGCTGCATTAATTACCAAATAAATATATTTTATTGAGTTCATGGTGACTAACATTTTCTTCTTCATGTTTTTCTTTCTCTTGTTTTTTTTCACAATTTGTTCCATTTCTACTTGATTCTTAGTATAACCATTATTAAACTTCACAGATGGATCGCTGACTTTGGTCAGACTTTGCATTTAGTTCTATTTTCTATTTCTTTGGTAACACAACTTTCATACACGGCTTGCGAGCAACTGATGTGAAGCTTGAAAGCATTCTCTATAGAATCAAAATATAACTTGGGTCAACCTTCACTATTTTGTCACAAGTTCTAGCTGTTCATATAACACAAGAGTAATAATAGCACAATAAGATAATATGATAACATTTACAAACAAGTGTTAATTAAAAAAAATACAATTATAGGTAGATTTAATTTTAGTTTTAAATAATGATTATTTTTCCAGGTGATGAAGCCATGCAGAGGCTTTTAGCTTGTAAAGGGAAAGATCCATATAGGTAAGCTGCATAACTTTTGGGCATTACTGTAATGAATTGCAGAGTAAAGCTGGAGTTATTTCCCTTGACTAAATGCAGACAAGTCATTGTAAAATGAAAGAGTTGTATGGATTAATACAATTTACCTGTAATTATTACAACAAATTGTATACATTACTGAAACATGATCAGATTGATTTAACTCTCATAAGCTTTGTAATGTCTGTGTTCAGAAATTGTGTTTTGTTGTTTTCAGTATATTAGGACTACGCTCTGATGCCTGTGATGATGATATTAGAAAGTATTACAGAAAACAAGCTGTTCTTGTACATCCAGATAAGGTAAGCATATTTACATCTGTAAAGCAGTTTTAATCCAAGGACTCATTTGAAATATTAGAATTTGGTGAGGATACATTAAATTTTGATATTTTACTTTAATCAGGACAACTCCTAACCATCAATATTTCTTGATTGGTTGGGAAAAAAAGGCACAACATTTATAAGAGTTCATGTAAATAACAATGCAAAACGTCATGTGGTAGCATTTCTGTGCAGTGAATTGATAGAATTTTCTTCTATGTTACTATAAATCTGAAAGACGGAAGTTGATTTCATTTTACAATGTCTGTGTTCTTGTTCAGACGAAATCATGCTTCCTTTGCAATTTCTTTGGCCTAAAATTAATTTGTTTTATTTATTCTAAATCCCCTTTCATAAGTCCTGTGATAACACAATTGTTTAAATTACACTCTTTTAGAATAAGCAGCCAGGTGCAGAAGAGGCCTTTAAAATTTTAGGACATGCTTTTGAATTGATTGGTGAACCGGTGAGTACTGCACATGTTTAATCAATTAGTATGATTACAGAGGTGGCACCTGGCAAGCCATAAAGAAGAAGGCATATTCATGTACCTGTCATTTACATAATATTCATCTAAATATGACAAATACTTTGTACTATGGGAAAACAGTTAATAGTAAAATTTATTTCAAGAAAACAGAGGAATGCAATATTATCAAGTAAGTAAAAGCTACAAATTTGAAAATCATTTTATATTTTGTCCAGTATACATAAGCATTGATTTGTTTTGATTGTGTATTGTGCTTATCAGTTACAAATGTTTTAATTTTGTAGGAGAAACGCAAAAGCTATGATTTTGAAGCTACAGAGGTTGAAGTGGTTTTAGTAAGTATTTCATTTATTTTAAATACATTTTGGGATTCTGATGGTAATTGAAAGTGTCATGTCATCAACTGTATGTCAAGTTAACACTTTTATTGCTATAAAAAAAAAGCTATGTTGTCATATATAAAGTTTTTCGTGTCCTTGGTGATAATTTCCTTACCAAATTTTATTTTTGGGGTTTAAAGGAATTATCTGTGTTAGTCTACTTGATTGCCATTGAAGAATAAGAGGTAGGCTGTCAATTAAAACATCCTCAGAATATAGCAAACCTTTCAGCAGTTTTCATCCAAATTTCATAAAACTCTGACATTATTATCACTTTTAAGTCACTTTGAAGTGAGGGGTTCTATCCCTTATTGATTTTAGTAAAGAATGTTCTAAAAGCTTTTTTGATGCAGATTTTCTGAATGTTTACAGTTGAATTGATCACATGTACATAGTGATATTAGCATACCATTTTAAAGTAGTACCAGACTGTTTTAATGGAAGCTATACATTTGTGAAATCCCTAACAAATTAATTCTTATTTGTAATGGTTTAAGGATCATCAAAAGATAATATCTTTTTGCTTGATATATTTTTTGTTATGGAGGAGTGGTGGTTTTAATTTGACTGGGGCTTACAGTCTTACTCTATAAATATTTTGTTGGAGTTGAAGAACCTGAAATATAATATTGATTGGATCCTGATCATTTCAGTCAAATATTTTACTGTTTATTGAAGTTTCTTTTTTCAATGGAAATGTTTTGTTTATCTTTGTAGAAAGACCTATTGACAAAATTACAGGAGGTAAGTTTTAAGTAGGATCCATTAGAGAAAGAGAAATTGCTTATTGCTAAAGTGTATGGAGATAAGGTGTCTTAATTGAGTTAGCTCATGCACAGGCTTACTCCCTGAAAATGAAGAGACCAATTATCAAGTAATATCAAAAATCTTGTTGATCTTGGATACATGTGAAGATGATATGTATGTGTGATATAGTTATGACTTTAATTTTGCTTTAGATAATATTTCTTCACATAACAAAACAGCAGTATCCCACTATTGAGATATAAAACTAAAAAGACAAACAAGTTCTGTGATGATATGTTTAAGAAGTATTGACACAGTAAGTGTTCCAACAGTTGTTGTGTGGTCTTACAGGCAGCTAACATGATGCGTTGTGACAATTGTGGCGGGAAACACAAGCGTACGTTAGTGGATCGACCCTGGTACAGTGCACGTTTCTGTAAGAGATGTAATATACGCCACTCAGCTAAGGAGGTAAGTGGTCGTTTTTCTTCACTTAAGATACCGCATACAGTGGTGTGATTGGCTCTTTTCAATAGATATAATAACTTTATCTCGTGTAACATAACTTTTCAGAAAGTTCCTTCATATTGTCAAATATGCTGTAACTAAGATTTTAACCGTGTGCAGTGTTTAAACCAAGTTGTTTATATTGTCAGGGAGATGTATGGGCAGAGACTTCCTATTTAGGTTTCTTATGGCATTACTATGCATGCATGGAAGGACAAATTTTTGACATTACAGAATGGGTAGCCTGCAAGGTAAGAAAGTCAAAATCTGTTAAAAGGTCACTTGAAGAATTTTAAATCGTTTGAACCTGTTTGTAGCTGAAAAAATTATAACTTTTTTATATCATTTTGTATTGATTTGAAAAGGTGTTCCTTTGGTTTCTAGAAACTTCTCTTTTGATTTCCACAGTGGTTGATATCACTGGTAACCTGATTGCACTGTTTTGGAAATCGTTGGAGTTTATGGATGCTATTGCCAAACTTTCATGTACACATATAACAAATAATAGGTTAAAGGTGTGATTAATTTTTTTCTGACCACATATGGATGTGTATTGCATACACAGGAGCAAGTTTCTGGAGGGTTTGGGGGTTAGAGGTTAAGTGAGAGATATTGGCAGAAGATGGGATGTTTACATTACAGTAGTATAGAAAAATAAGTTCTAGGTGTGGTAGGGGGAAATTTCTTGGTATATCAGTATTTCTTTTGAAGTCTGACCTGAACAGGTGATCAGATTTTTACTTAATTAGAGCTAAAGAATCCTAGGAAGAGGAGAATTCCAGGGTGTACTCTCATGTACCTTCCCAAGTGGCACAGCCCAACATGGACAAATTAATCTTTAAAATCTTGTTGTCTAAATCTTTTGGTTTGAGCTGATGTGAGGAAAGTATCTCAGCATCATATGAACCAATGTGGGCAGTAGCAGAAATTTGGGTAAATCTTTCTTGCATTAAAGGGTTTCCTAAATTAGTGGGCAGCATTTTTGATTCAAGGGTGTGGCAACCTTCCCTAACACCAAACCTCTAAAAGTAGAGAGATAAATATCTGTGCAACATGAATTTAGTTGATAAATTGTTAATCTTCACCATATTATCATGATCCTATAACAGTGGTTTTTTTTCACTCATTTGCAGAAAGATTTCTTTAAACATATGCAAGCCAGTGCCCATCATGTGTTCTATAGGATAGCAACTGAGGGCAGTCGAGGAAATTCCAATCAACAGAGGACAGGGTAAATGATCCGTTATGTTAGAAGTAACATTTTTAGTGGAATGGGATCCAGTTCTAATGTTTTGTTCCAGGAGCATATTTGCTGGTTTTGAAATGGAAAAACAGAAACAACTTTATTGGTATAAAATAGGACCATTAATCATCAACACCAACAGCTGATTGTATCACCTGTTAGGCCTCATATGTTGATCTCTGTCAGCATCTTCATGAAAATGTCCATGCAATACCGATAGCTCTAAAATAATAACAAAGATTTTCATGTAACTAACCAAAAGTACTTTAATATGTAAATAACCTGCTTCTGTATTTACACCTGTTGTTCAGAGTCCAGCAAAGTGTTAAGCCTATTTTTAAATTTTGATGCCTAAAGCAGTTCCATATCATGGATTTTAAATTCAATATGGCTGCCACCAGCATTTTTGCATGGGATTCCTGCAGGAAATATTTCAATTCTATAAATTTTCTACAAGCCCTTTGAGCAAGAATCACTTTTAGAAGTTGATTTTAAATCAGGTTTCAGATCAAAAGTTCAATATGACTACCAGTAACCATTTAAGATTAAAAATTGTTATTTTTAACAAGTCCACTTCTCAGGAACATGTGTTTTATATTTTACTCATCAAGGCTTTAAATAAACTGATGGTCAGATAGGTTATATAAGTAAACTTTATCTATATATGACGGTATAAACTTGATGTTTAAGATGATTACATGTGATGGTCAGATAGGTTATATAAGTAAACTTTATCTATATATGACGGTATAAACTTGATGTTTAAGATGATTACATGTGATGGTCAGATAGGTTATATAAGTAAACTTTATCTATATATGACGGTATAAACTTGATGTTTAAGATGATTACATGTGATGGTCAGATAGGTTATATAAGTAAACTTTATCTATATATGACGGTATAAACTTGATGTTTAAGATGATTACATGTGATGGTCAGATAGGTTATATAAGTAAACTTTATCTATATATGACGGTATAAACTTGATGTTTAAGATGATTACATGTGATGGTCATGATTGCATTTGTTACTCTTTACATACTACAGGGAAGCAGATTTAGAAGATTTCATCAATCATTTATTCCATCAAGCCATGCATACTGACGGAAATGGTAACCAATGGCAACAACCTCAGACCCCTCAGCCTCCTCCCTCGCAGAATGGTCCGAATTGGAACACATCAGCCCCCACAGGGAAGAAGGGACGGAGAAGGAAGAAGAAGCATTAATAGCATTGCTTGTACCCTTATACATTTGTAATGTCTGTCCGGTGCTGGTACTTCTCTGTCAACAATCAGCTCTTCACATTCTGTACTATGTTTGACTAATATCCATTTTATACATGGCTTTAGCTGTGTTATGTTTGGATATCATGTTTTCAGAAGCTACTGTCAAGTGGAAATTTCTGCCAATTTATGCTTTTGATTTGCTTTAAACAGTTTGGGATGTGAATGGTCTTGTATTTGTAATGCTGCTGTAAAAACTACATTGTGAAATGGATTTGTCATCACATATCTTTTGTGTTTGTTTTCAAAATTAAATGTAATATTTGCTTATATTGTGCAGAAAAGTTCCACACACTGATATAGATATTAATACACAAATACTTGCCAGAACATTTTTGTTTAATGTTCCTTTACTATTTGTTATTGTGTTCATTACCCATTTATCAGATTTATGATCTTTGTTGTACATCTTGGAGAATCACATTTGAAATCTTAATAATAATAGATCAGTTTAATTGCAGTTGTTCAGATATACTTAAGATTATTCTGGAAATGAAGATATATTTGAGGTGTTGGGACTTCATCTGCTATGAAAAGCATACTTGTTTCCAACTGTTACTCATCTATCATAACTGGGAAACAAATTTACTAGAAGATAACAAGTGTGAAGAGCTGGTTGTGATCAGATAGTGCTGACACTAGTCTGCAAAGTTCAATTTCATTTGCACTTCATTATTTCAAACGCTAATAATTCATGTTGTATTTAATGGTGTGATACATGTACTTGATTAATGAAAGGCCTTAATAATAGACTCATGTTTTGCTGGTCTTAATTTTACCAATCAATAGCAATCATTTATATGCGCTATGTTGTGTAATGTGTGAATGTGCCAAATAAGCATTTCTTTTCTTCAGAGGCTTGGTTTATTGTACAAGTTGAATGTGCATATGTAACATAATTTAGTGATGATTTTGAATTAAGATAACTAAACAAAAATTATTTCAAAGCAAAAGATACTTGTGACTGTACACTATTAGTAAGATTTATAAACAGTGTGAATACTACTACAATAGTATTATAATGTATTGTCATTTTACATGCATACATTTTTTGAGAATAAATTAAAAATGTGTTAAAGCCAAGCAGACAGATAAATTTTCACAAAGATTTGTACTAAATACAATTTTGTACATCCACTGGTATCAATTTCTGTATTGTAAAACTTTGGAATGATTATGATAAAAAATTCATGCAGTAAAATTTGATTTAAGAGAGTGGTTTGATATACACAAATCAAAGTCTTTTGAATGGTATTGGTTTTAGAGTGTTGTGGTACTGATATATTTAAATAAGATTACAAAATTTGTAATGGTTATTCCATACCTAAATACATATACATCACAAGATGATATCACTGCCATACACAGTTGTCTAAAAGGCTTTTGACTATCCGAGAAACTTTCTTGATTATGTCCAGATGATAATCAAAATGTGTTGGTATTTTTTTCGTAGGAAGACAAAGTGGAAAAAAAAAATTGCATGAATAAACAAACATATTTCTTGGTAGTCCGAACCTATGCAGACTGACGTACTTGGGTATTTATAAACTTTTTATAACCAGTATTATTAATTTTATTGGTGAGTGATATATAAAGACACCAGTAGCAGGCAGTATGAAAGGCTTTAGTAGGCATTGAAGGTCCCGGTTAATGTATAGTACACTAGTACTACATGTAAGTGTTCAAATTACCTGTCTCAGTAATAGAAATATATATATATATATAATTTCATTTACATAGGATAAATTATTTCCTTGTTCTTGCCCTATTTCCTACATTACTTCGTGACACTTTCAATAAAAGCTGTCATGTTTCTAGTGGGGGTGGGGGGTTGAAATTAAAACAATGCAGAGCAAAATTACTGGAACCTAATTATACAAGTCTTGTTAATATTAGATTCAAATAGGTAAATCTCTGCTGCTGGTGTGTAATTATACTAGTCATTTATCTATTTGACTTGCTCAACTACCGGAGTCCTGTGATTTAGTCTGTAAGCTACTTTATTCTAGTTGTAAATGTCAATTTATGAGTGAAACTCAGTTGTGCAAGGTTGTGAACTGGTTTTGTCAGTTGAGTATGTCACTTTGACCACCCTTAATCTTGTTAGCAGACTCAGTTGACTCATAATTGGAGCCCAGTTAAATGAGCCCAATATTGCTTGAGCTCAGACAAGTAAGACTGCAGGGCAGTTGGGCAATTAAAAAGCTGTTAAATTAAGTTGCTTATATATTAGGTTATCAGAGGTGCTTATACTATTCCAAAGTGGTGAGTTCTTATGATTGTTCATAAGGGTCACTGTGAATTTGTTTAATGGAAGAAGGAAGGAGTGGTATATTATATTCATTATTTGGAAGTTACAAATCAAATAAACTGAGATAGAAATGACAGATATCTGATTGTTAAGGTAAAGAGATAAGTTTCGCAAAAATGGAATATTAAAACAAGACTACTTCTGCTCTACGAGAACAGCAACACATTTTTTATTCCTCTTTCAAATGCAATACACTTGTTAACTGTAATACCTACCTACAATGTACTTTACCTACAAACATGCCTACTTATGCAGTAACTAGGAGACATTTGTAGGTTCTCATCCCAGAACAACTTTTTTCGAGAGGTTGTTGGACAGAATCAGAGGTAGGAAATCTAATTAGGAATAGAAAGGATTTCTTTACAGGTCCCAAGTTTCTTTTATGGGAGTTAGTTTCTTTTTTTTTTTTTTTCTCAGAATTAAGAATTTTTGTGTTGCTCATACTAAATATCTGAAGGCTAAGTGTTGGATTGTTGTCGTGAATGATTCAGGAGCAAAGTATTCCTAATTGTGAAATATGAAAACAAGAAACCCTATCATGTATGTGTTGATTTGGGGATAATAGTTCAACTCAACATTGTTTATGCTTATAAAAAAGTTACAATTACAGAGTTTGTACTTGGCTGTTAATACTTCTTTAGGTTACTGGCTTCAGTACCAAATATGTCTTCAAACTGAAAATTTTATTGTCTGTATACTGTGTTGTCTAATATTTCTGGTTAATTTTTCTGCTGTTTTAGTTACTAGTAAGTTTCTGTCAGCTTGTGTAAGAATGAGTTTTACACATTCCTTGTACTTCATAGTTCTAATGTGAACATCTATTGCTAAACACAATCATTACAATACATATCATGGTACATTTGGTTTTCACATTATGGTGAATGAATCGGCACTCGTCCTTCCATAACTACTTCAACATCATCATTTTGGTATTTAAAATTACCATCTCTCTGTTTCAATATAGTTATATGTTTGGTAATACATGTTTAAAGCTTGTGTCATTTCATCACAATGATAAACTATATCTCATTAAAGATCATGTATATCAGTGGCTGTTTGACCAGATATATATTCTCTCGTAATGGCTTTAAATGTGCCTGATTCTTGGGGCAAGAAGGCATGCTTGTAATGAGTTTTCAAGTAAACATGTATGCCTATAGATTTACGAGAAGAATACGATAGATTTTTTTTTCTTTTTTCGAAAGGGTTTTAATTTTTAAGGAAGTAAGCAAATCGGGAACAAAGATATGATGAAAATAAATCATTAGAAATAATATAGTCAATTTATGCTTTCAGTGAAAATTTATTCCATAATTTCTGTTTTTAAATTTTGATGAATAAGTGAAAATTTGATCTATTGAAAAAGAAGTGTTTACAGTTTGGTGATTGGGTCAGTGACAGCAGTATCCTTGTGTCACATTCTGTGAGTAGTCTGGCAGGGAACAATATGATGCCTTTGTTGATTGAGAGTTGCTTGGTTTTGAGCAATGACTTCACATTGAAGTTGTATTCTCCATGCTGATCATTAAACATATTGAACATTGTCACTCTAGAGTGAAATCATATAATTTATCTTCATTTATTTGCATATTATTTATGTAGGTTATATTTGGATGAGCATCATTCGTGAAACTGTAATCAACATACTGTGTTCATCAGTTTATGTTCAGTTAGTGATAGTAGTATGATTTTAATCATTCAGTATAAAGTTAAATGCGGTTTGTTTGCCTTACTTATGTAAAATTCATTAGTATCATGTTTATTTGAAAGTCTAGAAGACAACATTGGGAATAGTTTGGGAAACACTACATGTATATGGTACATGTAGATATTGTGTACGTAGTACATGTAAACATATTGTATCTGACGAGTCATTAAAATGTATGCAAAGTTGAATGTTCCTTTTGTTTATTTCATTTTCCGTGCGTTTTAACTTATGCCATGGTGTGTCTTGTGTCGTCCTTCTAGAGTGTAAACCAGAATAACTGAAGGGAATCTAGATTATATAGCTACACAAGTAGTTAGCCTTGGCCAAGAACTCTGAGCATATTAAGATACCTTAAAACCAGTAAGTAATATTCAGATTTCAGGACTGACAAATGGAAAAAGGTCATTCTCATTTATTAAAAATTTGGATGCAGTCTATTTTTGAACATAAGAAACCAATAGTCAACCATGTTTGTCTATTAGATCTTATAAAACTCGTAACATCTTCTTCAGATGTGTACAGTATATTTATTGTAGTTGGATTTTGCCAGTAAAACTAGCTTAAGAAATACTGTCTGATCATCTCTTCAGATTATAGGCCTAGTAGTGACTGACAGCTGAACAACTTTATGATATAATATTCATGCAGTACCCAGTTTGACAATGACGTAGTGTTAAATATTGCCCAGCAGTACTCTGTTGACAATGGTGCAGTGTTATGGCCCAGCAGTACTCAGTTGACACAAAGTCAGTCATGATGACCCAATTGACAATGAACAGTGCCATGTTGGCCTAACAGTACTCAGTTGACAATGAAGAAGTGTTATGATAGCCTGACAGTACTTGGTTGACTGCACAACAATCCCATGTTGGCCCAGCATTACTCGGTTGACAATGAGGTAGTGATATGATAGTCCAGCAAAACTTGGTTGACAATGAAGCAGTGTTATGATTGCCCAGCAGTACTCAGTTGACAGCGCAACAGTGCCATGTTGGCCCAGCAGTACTCGGTTGACTCTGAGTCAGCCATGATGACCCAGTTGACAATGAAGCAGTGTTATGGTGGCCCAGCAGTACTCAAGTGACTGCCATGTTGTCTCAGCAGTACTTGGTTGACACTGAGTCAGCCGTGATGACCCAGTTGACAATGAAGCGGCGTTATGATGTCCCAGCAGTACTCGGGTGACAGTGCCATGTCCCAGCAGTACTTGGTTGACACCGAGTCAGTCGTGATGACCCAGTTGACAATGTAGCGGTGTTATGATGGCCCAGCAGAACTCTGTTGACATTGAGGCACTGCTATTATTGCTACATTTTCGGGAGTGAGTCTTTCATCAATGTAGACTACCAGCTTAGAATCCATTCCATGTTCCTGCAGGTATTGAACACGACCAAAGTCAATAAGTCGTTTACATTGTCGTCCTATCCTCTCCCTTGTCTCTGTAGGCAGGGACAGGTCATTTCTGTAAGGTAAGTCAAAGTTAAACGACTTGACAAGTTCAAATCCAATCACATTTCATGTCAAAATATAATGTAATATTGAAAATATATTTTTGATGACATTGATGTCGAGAAATTATCATTGAAGAGAAGTTGTTACATTTACTTGTTCACAGGATCTTTCTATTACTTCGACCTATGTTTACAAGAGGCTGTGAGTGGACAGGAAATAATGATGAGTAGTTCCTCAATAGAATACCTGCTTACAGAGATTACACATCACCAGGTAGTCTCTGTCAGCTTTGTGACTGCTTAGACTTTTGCAATGTAAAGAAGGTTGGAGCACCATTGACAGGTTACCTATTAAATAGTCACTATAGCTAGTAAGTGGCCCCAACATACAGGCAGATTGCTTGGTGAGAGGTCACTATACACAGGTTGCCTGGTCAGTGGTTACTATACACAGGTTGTCTGATGAGTGGTCATCATACATGGGTGATCTCTATTCCCAGATTTACTGTAAAAAGGCTACTTATCGAGAGGTGACTACACAACTTACCTGGTAAGTGCAGGTTCAGACAAATGATCTTCCTCAACTTCATCCTCTTGACTGAGTTGTTCTTGGTTATCCATTGAAAGTTTCTTTGAACAGTTAGTATTATTAGCCACATCATTGTTAGAAAAGGGAATTTCAACCGAGCTCCCCTGGAATTCATTGCTGTCTTTCACTTTTAAACATTGTGGTGCTGTGTTTTGCTCTGGTAAGTTTTTATCTACATTTGCTGGTGAGTTCATTTCCTTGTTCATTTCTTCAATAGTTGTCCAGCCTTTCCACGTGGCTGCTGCCCAACTACTCAGTTTGCACATTAATGTGAAGTCCCGAGCAGAAAACTTGCATGTCTTCATAAAAGTTTTTCCTACATAAGTTTCCCAGGTACAACGATGGTGACAACACAGTGCTATAGACATACCAGCAAACCTGGAGCTGTAACAGAAAGATTTTAGTCGGAGGCTGGTAATTTTTATTTCAGTTTTAGTCTTAAGTATGGTAATAGTGGAACAGTTGTGTATATTTAAATTAATATTTAAATTTTGGAAACTTAAGAAAAGTTTCATGATTTCCTAGGTCTTATCACAACAAAATCAATAAGGCATGACAATGATTATGAAGTACTCCACCTGTCTAAAGAACGTACTGTTGGGTGAACTTATCAGATTCATAGACAAAGTGACAAAAATAGCAGACAAACAGGCAGGCAAATGGCTGAAATGATGACTAGATGTGACCTCGCCAGCAAGTTTAAGTGGTATCAGCTTTGCTAACAGGTGTACTTATAACTCAGGAAATAAAATCAGTGTCTTGCCAACAGAATCTATGGTAAAGAATCTAAAATGAAATTAAAGTTCTGCCTGCAGAATCTACGGTAAAGAATAAATACTAGAGGAGAGATATGTATATCACTACATTGTTGCTATTCATACCTGGTGTTGGGTTTTGAGCGCTTACACAGTGGCTCATCTTCACCGACAATCTCAACCACATCTTCAGTATCCAAGGTATTAGTTACACATCGGACAGCCAGATCTGAATGAGTGATACAAGGAAATAGCTTTATATCTTTTCATAAATAAAGTGTTCTTAATAATCATTTTTGCCAATTTAATCTTAAATCAGTACTGAAAATTCCAGAGAGCCTTTACACATATGTACACTTCAATAATGATGGCAAAATGTTCTTGTCTTATAGTATTACATTCCCCCCCCAGTTTGACTCTGACATCACTAGGATACAACTCCTCTAGTTCAGACCTGTGTGTATATATATGTTTTGCCTCTTGGATTAAATCCCAAATATTAGGGCCAAATCACAAGGCAAGCTGGCAATCTTACCCATAGACTTGTGTCAATGTCCTACTCACCTGTCGCACCCCCACATAAATGTTTGCCCACCGCCACGACAGGTCGTTTGTTTTCTTGGATGCTAGGAACCTTCCCTTTATTAAAAAGAAATGAAGCTCTTATACACAAACACACAAATCGGTACATAACTTTTATACATGTACAATCCAACTCTCTTGCATAATAGAATATAGCAGTAATATATAATGCTACATAACATCGAGAGAATAATTTGCGTCAGAAGCTCCTGACAATAGAATAAGAAACGAAGTTCCATGTTAGAAACCATTTTTATATGTAGACTAGAAATTTTAATTAATATAATATAACATGATAATTTGATACTCTCCCTTCATTACCAAAACAATGGTGACAGAAAAAGTGATCTATATGCATTGTGTTTTTATACTTACCCAGATGAAGATTGGCTATGTCTATTCTAATCCTCTCAAACTTTGGTCCACTTTCACCCCACTTGTGTTGGTTGTCTGCCTACAAACCAATAAAATGCCACTTCACAATATTTATCTGACAATGTGCCTACACCTATGATGCATTTTAATTCATTATCCTGCCTTACTTTATCTAATTCTGAATTTGTATTCAAATCAACTATTCTCGTGTGTGTCTTTTGTACAATCTTCAGAACTGCAGGTGCTAGACACTGCTGGTTGAATTTTCATCCTCGAGAATCACTGTAACCTGTATACCTTGTTTTACTCATTCTAATAATGTCACAGTTAAGAATATACACATGTACATGACATTTTTTTGAAATGATCTGATATATGAAAATTACACAATTTCAAATATGGAGGCAGTGCACTTCCTCATAAAGATCTTGACATTTTAATTTTGATTTTCTTCAGTTGCCTTGAAGTTTCAAAATTTAGGTCCTTAGCATCAATGATGAGTCTAGACAGACGTATGATGTATGATTATCTGGCTCTGCGGTTTCTAGATCTAAATTAATATTAAAAGATACTTAATCAACTGTGTGTGTTTTGCACATTCTTGTGATACACTCAAATAGCTACTACGCCTTCAGTCAAAGTGCCAAACACTACATCATTGTCTTGTACCAAGCCCAACTCCTTATTTTTGAGATAGAGGTTACATGACCTTGTACAACATTATTGTACTGACCTTGTACCAGGTATGACCCCTGTTCACTGACACCACAACATTATTATACTGACCTTGTACCAGGTATGACCCCTGTTCACTGACACCACAACATTATTGTACTGACCTTGTACCAGGCACGACCCTGTTCACTGGCACCACAACATTATTGTACTGACCTTGTACCAGGTATGACCCCTGTTCACTGGCACCACAACATCAGTTTACTGACCTTGTAACTGATGTGACCCCTGTGCACTAATACCCCAACATTTGTGTACTGACCTTGTAACTGATGTGATCCCTGTGCACTAACACCCCAACATTTGTGTACTGACCTTGTACCGGACATGACCTCTGTCCACCAAAACAAAGGCAGTGTTACTGCACTTATATGAAGCTTTCTGTATCCAATGGGACAGCATGCCTGAAGTAAAAAAAATTGTCATACATACCAAATTATACTGTTTAACTCAATAACATCCTGAAACTTTTAGAATTTCAATTTGTAATACCAAACATGACTCCTATGCTAAGTGTTAAGATGTTAAGAAAGAAATCTGAAATTATTCCTTCTTACCCTTTCCAGCACCAAGTTCTACATAACACATTCCATCCTTGAGAAGATCCATTTTACCAAGATGTCCGATTAATGATGCCTGAGAGACAGAAGAATAAGTTCAGTTTACGGTTTAAATGCCTGAAATCAACTGAAACACAGCATTACAAGCGACAAAGATCAGTTCAACAATGAGTGATATGAGTGAGATGACATAAAATGGACAAGTATGTAAAACTTAATAAAAACTTCTTAGGAAAGATGCTACTAGAACACCAATGAAGAATTTATGAAAATTAGTGACCTTGACTTGAACTCCAACAAGATGTAATTGTTTTTTATAAGAGTGTGAAGTTGATTGAAATCCTTTGAAGGAATGAAGCTATTAAAATGCTGACAAGGATTTTCACACAAAAGTAACAGTGACCTTGACCCTTGGGCCCCGAAATTTATGCTCTGAGATACAGTGGTCCTTTATCATTGAGTGTAGTCTTCATGGAATAAAGTCATTAGAGTGCTGACAAAGATTAGTGTTATAAGTGTACAAGCAGGCATATCCCTATAACCCCTCTCTGAAATTCACTGTGAGAGTATAATTGTAACTAACCTATTGGTTTCTATGCCTGAGATTTACTGTAATTGTAACTGACCTGTTGTTTTCTATGCCTGAGATTTACTGTAATTGTAACTGACCTGTTGTTTTCTATGCCTGAGATTTACTGTAATTGTAACTGACCTGTTGGTTTCTATGCCAGAGATTTACTGTAATTGTTGACCTGTTGGTTTCTATGCCTAATTTTGTAACTGACCTGTTGTTTTCTATGCCTAAGATTTACTGTAATTGTAACTAACCTATTGGTTTCTATGCCTGAGATTTACTGTAATTGTAACTGACCTGTTGTTTTCTATGCCTGAGATTTACTGTAATTGTAACTGACCTGTTGTTTTCTATGCCAGAGATTTACTGTAATTGTAACTGACCTGTTGTTTTCTATGCCTGAGATTTACTGTAATTGTAACTGACTGACCTGTTGTAACTAACCTATTGGTTTCTATGCCTGAGATTTACTGTAATTGTAACTGACCTGTTGTTTTCTATGCCAGAGATTTACTGTAATTGTAACTGACCTGTTGTTTTCTATGCCAGAGATTTACTGTAATTGTAACTGACCTGTTGTAATTGTTTGTTTTCTATGCCTAAGATTTACTGTAATTGTAACTAACCTATTGGTTTCTATGCCTGAGATTTACTGTAATTGTAACTGACCTGTTGTTTTCTATGCCTAAGATTTACTGTAATTGTAACTAACCTATTGGTTTCTATGCCTGAGATTTACTGTAATTGTAACTGACCTGTTGTTTTCTATGCCTGAGATTTACTGTAATTGTAACTGACCTGTTGTTTTCTATGCCTAAGATTTACTGTAATTGTAACTGACCTGTTGTTTTCTATGCCTAAGATTTACTGTAATTGTAACTGACCTGTTGTTTTCTATGCCTAAGATTTACTGTAATTGTAACTAACCCTATGCCAGAGATTTACTGTTTCTATTGAGATTTACTGTAATTGTAACTGACCTGTTGTTTTCTATGCCTAAGATTTACTGTAATTGTAACTGACCTGTTGTTTTCTATGCCTAAGATTTACTGTAATTGTAACTAACCTATTGGTTTCTATGCCTGAGATTTACTGTAATTGTAACTGACCTGTTGTTTTCTATGCCTGAGATTTACTGTAATTGTAACTGACCTGTTGTTTTCTATGCCTAAGATTTACTGTAATTGTAACTGACCTGTTGGTTTCTATGCCTGAGATTTACTGTAATTGTAACTGACCTGTTGTTTTACTGTAATTGTAACTGAGATAAGATTTACTGTAATTGTAACTGACCTGTTGTTTTCTATGCCTAAGATTTACTGTAATTGTAACTAACCTATTGGTTTCTATGCCTAAGATTTACTGTAATTGTAACTAACCTATTGGTTTCTATGCCTAAGATTTACTGTAATTGTAACTGACCTGTTGTTTTCTATGCCTAAGATTTACTGTAATTGTACTGACCTGTTGTTTTCTATGCCTGAGATTTACTGTAATTGTAACTGACCTTTCTATGCCTAAGATTTACTGTAATTGTAACTAACCTATTGTTTTCTATGCCTAAGATTTACTGTAATTGTAACTGACCTGTTGTTTTCTATGCCTAAGATTTACTGTAATTGTAACTGACCTGTTGTTTTCTATGCCTGAGATTTACTGTAATTGTAACTGACCTGTTGTTTTTATGCCTGAGATTTACTGTAATTGTAACTGACCTGTTGTTTTCTATGCCTGAGATTTACTGTAATTGTAACTGACCTGTTGTTTTCTATGCCTGAGATTTACTGTAATTGTAACTGACCTGTTGTTTTCTATGCCTAAGATTTACTGTAATTGTAACTGACCTGTTGTTTTCTATGCCTAAGATTTACTGTAATTGTAACTGACCTGTTGTTTTCTATGCCTAAGATTTACTGTAATTGTAACTGACCTGTTGTTTTCTATGCCTGAGATTTACTGTAATTGTAACTGACCTGTTGTTTTCTATGCCTAAGATTTACTGTAATTGTAACTGACCTGTTGTTTTCTATGCCTAAGATTTACTGTAATTGTAACTAACCTATTGGTTTCTATGCCTAAGATTTACTGTAATTGTAACTGACCTGTTGTTTTCTATGCCTGAGATTTACTGTAATTGTAACTGACCTGTTGTTTTCTATGCCTGAGATTTACTGTAATTGTAACTGACCTGTTGGTTTCTATGCCTGAGATTTACTGTAATTGTAACTGACCTGTTGTTTTCTATGCCTAAGATTTACTGTAATTGTAACTGACCTGTTGTTTTCTATGCCTAAGATTTACTGTAATTGTAACTAACCTATTGGTTTCTATGCCTGAGATTTACTGTAATTGTAACTGACCTGTTGTTTTCTATGCCAGAGATTTACTGTAATTGTAACTGACCTGTTGTTTTCTATGCCTGAGATTTACTGTAATTGTAACTGACCTGTTGTTTTCTATGCCTAAGAGCTGGTATCCTGAAACTATCATTGGCTAACTCTTCCTGCAAGCTCTCATGATCCAAGATCTCTGTTGGTATTGTTTCAATATGTTCTGATGTAAAGACAGAAAAAACATAATTGATTTAAGGAGTACAAGTTTTGTCTTCTCTCACTCACTATAACATGGATCTAGTAATAACAACCAGAAATATGTGACAAAAAGTTGGAAGGATTTGTTACCTGTACTGTAAAGAGATATAACCATTTTTCATAATAAATAAATTTCTTTCCTTATAAGATATATCATGAGGTATCCAACATATCATTATAGAAATCAAACTTAATCATGAAAACAAAGTTCCGAGGAAGAAACCCCTTGGATAATCATATCGAAGACAGAATGTTAACCTCTGACCCTCTCGTTGACATTTTTATGGTTTTTGCATTTTTCTTGTACCCAGATGTAAGAATTGACCAAAAATGCCAACCAAATACAGCTGGCCAGTACTGAAACTATTTAGAGTTCAAACATATTACATCTACCAATACAATGTTGCCTGCATGTTGTCCTATCTTGCAGGTAACAAGGAAATTTAGCCAGTAGTTGCTGTCATTGACATTTAATATATACAACCCTTTGTTTATAAAAAAATATCTATGACATAGTAATTCTGAACTTCCTGTATGGTGATTGTGTAACACTGATATATGTTACCCCATATAATAATGTGTACAGGCTCACAAACACCAGTAAACCAATACAGTATGTTTACAGTCTCACAAACACCAGTAAACCAATACAGTCTAAGCTATTGCAGGCAGAAATTAATACATACCTTGGTATTTCTGATTCACTCTGTCAATCAAATTAAGCAGCTCAGACAAAGGGATATCTGCCCAAGGAATCTGACCAAACACGAAAAGTATTGATTGTCAGAATAGGTTATCCTAACATTATCAAATGTCACATTAACAGTTCATAAACCTTGTCATTATTGATCTGACGCTCATTTGTCTAGTCTATGAATTTGGAATTCAAATTCAAATTCATACCATATTCCAGTTATTAAACAGTTGAACTATCCTAGTATCATTTCCAGGGCAGTAAAGAAACCCTTTGGAGAGTGACAAACTTTGTTAAAATCACAGGGCCCATGAAATTGGCAACTAATTTCAATTACACAATGCTATAAAATGATTTAATGAGAGTTAAGGTTGTTCAACATGCTTAATACTTTATACAAATCGCTTTATGCCAAGTGCTAAATGGGAAATTCTAAATGCATTTGGCAAAAAGCATTTTGCATGCAACATTTAGCATGTCATGCCTGCTTTCCATAGGTTCCTGTTTTTTAAATTTGACTTAAACTTAACTTTAGCTGGCATGTGGGCTGGATTGACAAACCTCCATACAGTTATATTAACTTGGGACCTAAAGACCAAATGACAAACCTCCATACAGTTATATTAGCTTGGGACCTAAAGACCAAATGACAAACCTCCATACAGTTATATTAACTTGGGACCTAAAGACCAAATGACAAACCTCCATACAGTTATATTAGCTTGGGACCTAAAGACCAAATGACAAACCTCCATACAGTTATATTAGCTTGGGACCTCAAGACCAAATGACAAACCTCCATACAGTTATATTAGCTTGGGACCTAAAGACCAAATGACAAACCTCCATACAGTTATATTAGCTTGGGACCTAAAGACCAAATGACAAACCTCCATACAGTTATATTAGCTTGGGACCTAAAGACCAAATGACAAACCTCCATACAGTTATATTAGCTTGGGACCTCAAGACCAAATGACAAACCTCCATACAGTTATATTAGCTTGGGACCTAAAGACCAAATGACAAACCTCCATACAGTTATATTAGCTTGGGACCTAAAGACCAAATGACAAACCTCCATACAGTTATATTAGCTTGGGACCTAAAGAACAAATGACAAACCTCCATACAGTTATATTAGCTTGGGACCTAAAGACCAAATGACAAACCTCCATACAGTTATATTAGCTTGGGACCTAAAGACCAAATGACAAACCTCCATACAGTTATATTAGCTTGGGACCTAAAGACCAAATGACAAACCTCCATACAGTTATATTAGCTTGGGACCTAAAGACCAAATGACAAACCTCCATACAGTTATATTAACTTGGGCCCTAAAGACCGAATGACAAACCTCCATACAGTTATATTGTCTGGGAACCTAGGGACGCTGGATTGACAAATCTCTAGTTATATTAGCTGATGACCTCTGGAGCTAGCTTAAAATGAAAACATTGTGCATGTTTATTGACTTTAGCTATTAAGTTGTGGTCAGTATATATGGTAAAACTGTTCCAGTATCCTTTTTATTGATCAGGTTTTTAGATATATATGCTGACACTTGTTTATCAATTGAAGTAAACAGAATGAACACTGTCACTGGAGATGAATTAAGGACTATACAGGACCAGTATATACAAGGTGTAATCCATGTTGTCAAATCTGAATCAATTAAAGATATTCTGATGAACATGAACCTTTTTTGTTTCTTCCTCGACGTCTGTGGAGTCTGCTCCAGAATTAACTCCCTCTACATGGTAAACCTTCCAAAAAAAAGGAAAAATGTGTCAGAATCATGTAAGATAATTTGCCATTTTGGAATGAAACATTGTTTAAACATTTTCTATACATTACTGACCTTAGGCTAACATAATATTAAAATCTAACACAAAACTGTGCTAACAGTGTGAAATCATATATTTTCACTGAACAAACACACAGACTGACAACACTCATTTGTATTGAATGCTTCATGCTCAGTAAATGTACATTTGGTTGAAGGATAGAAATTTGAATCATTTCTATACTAAAACTAACATGCTAAGTAAAATGGAAAAATCGTCAGAGCAAATTCAGATAAATGACCTTAACAATACATCTATGTCCAGCAATGATGACTATAAATGGTTGATGTGTGTCATCAAGTAACTTAATATAGTTCCTTTATTTATACTCAGCTAGCTGGTTATGGTTATATGGTTGTCTTCAACCATTCCACAGCTTGAAACTCTATTGGCCTTATTCTTTTGGCTGGTTAGTTCCATGATTTGCCTGCTATTGCATTTTTCTCACCTAAGGATGTTTCAAAACAAGAGGGTTGATTTCCCATCTCACAGTTTCGGAAAAGAAGTTCATTTAAGCAATATGGCCAAATGTTGTTATCTGGTCACTCATTCAGTCAAGGACTAAGCTTCTTCTTGATGATTCAAATCATATATAAAAGTTGCTATCATACAGTTATAGAAGAAAATTTGCTTAAATAGATACATTACGCCAAATTACCCATTTCTGACACCTTCTACACCTACCTTGTTACTGTCTCCATCCCACTTCTAATGGATGACGGTCTGCACAGTATATCTTTTGACTAGATGAACTGTCACTGCAGCAGCGTACTTACAAGTACATGATAACAATTACTTTGTATAGATATATTGTGTACTTAATACTTACAGGTACTGCACTTTGTTGTTTTCTACATTTCTTGAGATGTTTGTTCAACTGATCTTCATAACAGGTACTTAAATGTACAATAAGATTGAATATAAAAACAGAAATTAATCATTTCTAATAAATTTGATGAAAGAATAAAACATATTGTCAGTGAAGTGTGACATAACTTTACATTAGGATTTAATTTGTAATTAAGTATTGAATTTTTGTTAACTTCTTTTTTAACATGAAGGATTAAAGACTAACCAGAAGTCAAAAGGAAGCAATGAAGATCTCTTTAAATCAAAACTTACTGTTTTGCATTCAGCGGGCACTTTATTCTTTTTCTACCTGTATCAACCTGTAATACATAGACATGCATATAAATGTCCTACCTACATGAGGAAAAACATTAAATTAAACTTTGGGAGTTCCCCCAAATTGTATTTAAGGAGATACCAAAGACTGAAAGGTGTCACAAATGAGTTTTCCTAACCTCATGGTTAGGGGTCCCAGTTCATGTGAACAGAACGGTGAATGGGATTTTTAGTATTTGTATTTATTTGGAGTTGTAATTTAGGACTAGTTGACTAGTGAAAGAATGCACTTTGTAGAACATCACTTCAATTACATTTGTAAAAATCCTGGTGTTGAGTTGGGCTGTCAATGGGCATGGACTTTTCTTTACAACTTTGACTTGGATTTTTAAAGTGAATGAAGTATATAAGTACAGATACCCTTGTAAGTCTGCCAGTAGGAATTCTCCTTTAGCCTTGTGATTGGTTATCTGCCCAGATAGTGATCATGAGAAGTCACTTGTTTGAATCCTATCATGGTCAAGATATTTTCCAAGATCTGACACAGAAGAAGAACGACTAACTTGGAATGACATCTGGTGATATCCATCATTTCAGTTGCAGTTCCTTCTGCATTCAATCTATGACCATCACCAGTCCATCTCCACAGGTGGGGACTGGTATCAGACCCAGCATGTGCACTGTGAGGCAAAAGAGGGACCTTGGACCATGTGCTGACAAGCTGTCAGAGGGCACTAACTCAGGGCCATTACACATAGAGACATAACAAAATACTCTGTGAGCTTGAAGATACTTTGGAAAAGGAAATAAGGACAAGCAGAAAGTAGACAAAGAAGGCATTTACATTCAACTTTGTGAAGGAAGGACAAAGTACTCCAGTGCCAGAAACCAACAGGAAAGGAGGACTATTGGAAATGTCAGACAAGTGGACAATGGAAGTATATCTGAATGGTAGAACCTCTTTCCCTGACATTGTCTAGACAGCCCTCAGACCTGACATTGTACTGAGGTCTAAGGAGAGGAAGAAGTTGATACTGGTTGTGCTGATTGTACCATGGGAGGAGAGGTGCGGACAAGCCAATGAGAGGAAACATGCCAAGTACATGACACAACAAGCACTCAGTTAACCCCTTTTTGAAATTCTCCCTACATTCTATGACTATATTTTACCAGTTCATTTGAACATATCCAAATGCACTGATAAAAAACATTTCAGCTCAATTTATGTATTGACACAATATTAGTTAAATGTTATAAACTAATGAATCTAGTAGAAACTGAAGGAGGTTGAGAGGCTTCCTTGGTGATATTTGGGTACAAAGATGTTGTAAAGGAGACAGAGGCGGCATTGACAGTAGGTTGAGATGACTTTCTGTTCTGGGAATATAATTTAACTACAATGGTAACTTTCTGTTAAAGTTATTAGAACAAGCACAATAAAGCCCTTTTTGCTTGCTGTAGGAAAATTAGAAATATTAGTCTACCAGTTGATTTACAACTGAAATTATTTGATACTTTGTTAACTCCTATATTACTCTACTCGTCAGAAATTTAGGATTTGAAAAAAATCCACTTACAGTACTATAATATATATATATATACAATGTAACTGCATTGTTACTATCGATGTATATCTATTACCACTACAGATTATCAATTTGACCATCCTGTATTGTCTAGATTACCTCTTGTAGCACATATATATGTGCTTGACTGAAGCAAAGAAACTTGAAACTTGAAACTTGTTCTTTGCTCATCAGTCTAATGTTAGGATGACAGTGTGAGAGGTCACTTGTTTGGGTCCTAGCTAGTGCATACTGGATAAATTCAATTACACATACTTCTTCCCATTAGAGGATCACTTAAAAACCTTTTAACTTTCAACATATATATCTAAATATTAAATATAACGCTTTGTAGCTTGTCGTGTATAGATATGGATGGTGTGGTTTACCAATGCCCTCCAATTACTATCAACTCCTTAATCAATCTTAACTCCATGTACCAAATAACGGAAGGTGAAAACTATAGACCATTATTGGCTGATTACATCAGTAATTAACTCAATTGATTAGTATATTGCTAAAAATAACTTTTTGTAAGAGCATAGAATATTCTAGCATCTGTTCTAAATGAAAACGAAAGTAGAACAGAAATATAATGACTTAATTTCATGTGATCTTACACCAAGCAATCCAGCATGTTCTGCGCAGTAAAGCTGCCCCTGGTTTGGTTTAAATCTACAATATCTTGCTTTTCTTTCAAGGAAGAATGCACAACTCCCTTTAGGTACATCTGCCTTTTCTGAATGTGACATTTTTCGTGATCAAGCCCCACGTGTAGAACCGGAAGTAAACAATCGGGGTTACCGGTAAGCGCAGCAAGGGTAGTTTACATTATTTGACTGGCTTTTAAAAATAATGATATATTTATCTTTATGTTTAAAATCAAATGTTAACGGTATCTTTTGTAAAAATTTGATTTGATGATTTCTAGTGACAAATACTTTGATTAAAAGTATACATACATTTTTCATATAATAAATTTACCGCGGTGCGTGACGTCATATAAATGGCGACTGGTATTACGCTGCTTTGTCGGGAATAATTTACTCAGTTTGTTTTATTGTTAGACAGTGTAGTTAAAAATCTAAATCATGTTGATTACAGTAAAAACTCTGCAACAACAGAGCTTCAAAGTCGAAGTGGACCCAGAAGAGCTGGTATGTGCCTGTAAACGTTGAAAAGCTTAACTGTAATTTTTGTAGTGTCATGTTCGAAAACATGGTGAGATAGCTTACCGGCCGTCTGGCGTCGTTTTCATTTCACTCATCGGCGATATTCTGTTTCTGAAGTAATGTTAAAAACCATGATAACTATAAGTAACTTCAGTGTACGAGGTATTAGCTGTATTTTCTGTCCAACCGCTTTGAATTTAGCTAAAAAAGAATTAAGTTTCATCATCCATCTATCAGTATTGTGCTTCATATCTGCATCATCATGATCATTCATTGTCATATTTCCGTTTCGGAAAAAAATGTTTTTGATAGAATTATGGGTTGCCTATTTAGTGTAAAATGCCGATATTCAATTTCTTATGGTAAAGAGCAAGTTTTCATATGAGTGATAATCCGTATAGACATCGATATATATATACTTGTGAAGAAGTTGAGAGTACAGGTAGCTTTACTAGCCTCGACAAGTGGAAATTCTCTTTAGCCAAGCGGTACTGTATCTAGTTAGGGACCAAATGATTGCCATTTCAAAGCTGGCGGGATAGTTTCATTACGCTAACAAATTTGGTGCATTGGTCACTTCATGGATATATGCTATAGGCAGGTGAGGGAAAACCACAAGTTTGCATATGATACGTAAACTGGCCTATCATACTGATTTTTCGGGTATTGGTTGGTGACTAAAAGTATCTGAAAAAGTATCATTTTAACAGTACCATTAATGTATGACATGAATATTTTTTCTTACTAAAAGATGTAAAATTGAAAGTGCTGGCTGCTTAGAAAATTTATGTAACAGCATGCAAGCAAATTTTTTTTAGCAGTTGTATGATGTCTCGTGGCCAAATAAATGTGACTGACAAAAAAATTGAAAAAAGGTAAATTATTTCAGTTTTCTTTAGTAACCAATGCATACCCCAATTAGTGTGTAATAGGCCATTTTGTGTAGTATACACAAGTTTGTGGCTTTCCCCAACCTGATAGGAGTTTGAGATGTTTTGTTGGATATATCAAACTTGTGTTGTTGTTGTCTTCGGGGTTGAAAACTGTATGAAGGTGGTAGTAGTATAGAAGTTGATGACACAGGTTGCCTGACTGGCCTTGGTTAATGGGAATCTCCTTTTTAGTCAAGCTGTAGAGTATCGGGCTATGAACTGAAGGGCAATGGGCTGCTTTTCATGACTCCTTTCCTATTACATATATATAACTATCAATGTAAGACTTTATATGATATCCACCAAGTGAGGTCCCTTAAATCTCGCTTAAATTGGTTGAAGAAAAAAATAAAACAGGTACGTTTCTGTGATACTATTTGGTGCTCACGCTTTTAAGTTTGGGTATATGTAGATGGTTTCAGACACATGATGGAGAAAAATCATTCAATAGATATCAATGTTGTCTACTATGTTGCAATATAATGATTTTAAAGCAAGCTGTTAACATTTATTTCATTATGAATAAAATTGGTAAAACCCATAAGAACCACATCCAATCTGTATACATAAGCAGAAGTTTGTCTGCTAGGTCCCTGGAAAATATCCTGTTCAGTTTGCAGGATGCTCTTTAAAAATTGATAAAAATCAAGGTACAAGAAAAAGCCACAACTCCTAAGGCAAGGTTCATTCAAATTAAGCATATTCAAATATCATTGGTTTGTCTCTTATAGTTTTAACTTTAGAAATATGTAATTAAAGAAATCACAGACTTACTATGGGACCTGTAAATGAATGAAATATTAGTATGACAGATGGTCTATATTGGATCACTTTCACAAGCATGGACATACAATATTTCATTAGCTATGTTCTGGAATTTACATTTATTGTTCACACTTCTATGAAACTGTCTGTGGGGATATTTCTGTTAATCCCATTTGTACAATATACAGAAATTATATAGAAATCTATACAATATGATATGATATATAATATAATAAAACATAACAGCAAGCTTGATTATTAACTTCCTTTGTAGGTCAAAGTCCTCAAAGAGAAAATAGAGGCAGAAAAGGGCAAAGAAGGATTTCCTGCAAGTGGACAGAAACTTATATATGCAGGTGTGTACATAAATAGCCTTACTATCTTGTACATATTACTATATAGCAAGGAAATTTACCAGTTCTAATTTTTTGTAGAGATAATCTGTAGGTGGACTATGGACTATAAGTTGCAGATGTGGGCAGATAAGGACAAGCATTAGTGCAATACTTGCAGCATTCTGATTTTGAAATTGAAAGACTTCTGATTTGTGAAATGATTGGCACCAGATTTTCTTTCATTTTAGAAGATGTAGAATAATGATATGTAGTTTTAGTTTGTCTACTAATCGTATGGAAATGGTGTCAAGAGAAGAAAGACAAAATGACGAGCCACTTTTGTCTTCTTTTCAAAGGGGAAATGCAGCTTATGTTTTAGGACATTGACCATGTACTCTAATTATTATGAAACTTCAATAGTTTGTTGTCAATCTTTATGGCATTGATGTTATGCTGAATTATGCTTGATGAATGCCAAAATGATTGCACACACAGAAATATAGTTCCAAACTTCAATGGGTTAAACTAAACAGCAAATTTCTTATAAACTTGTATGGTACAAAAATAAGAATGCTTATTTATACAGTTAATCATAAAATAATTCTACAGCAGTTTTCCATCACTACCAAATTCAGCAAAACAATGAAACATGGAAGGTGAATTTCCGTAGTGGCAGTGCCAATTGCAGGATTAAAAATACCTGTTGATATGAGATAGATTTAAATTTGACATGCATTTATCTGAGATATGGTTCACTCATATGTTGTACAATGGATTATAAATATAGATTCAGACCCCAATATTTTGTTATATTTTTTAAAAAATGTGATACGTTGCAGGGAAAATTTTGGAAGATGACAAGAAAGTTGCAGATTACAAAATAGATTCAGAGAAGAGTTTTCTGGTTGTTATGGTGACAAAGGTAATAATTTTTATTGACTTTCTTGTTTTGTAATAAAGGCTATTAAGTAAGAGTGTCATTTGAATATTTCATTTTCAATTTCTTATCAAAAGGAAATTTTACATAATGTTTTCACATGCTGTTTATTACACTACAGAGTAATGTCCCTTTGTTTTTGATACCAAAGTTTGTATGCTAGCTATATATTTTGGAACTGAATTAAAATTATTGTTCACAGTACTTTGCTATGTCTTGTTAATGTTTAAAAGTAAGAGTGAAGCCAAGGCCTGCTCGTTTGTCTTTGGGTTGTTATATGCTGAATGTAAAAATAGTATTCAGGATTTTATTGAAGTTTATAATCTGTTTGGTTAGCCAAAAGCAGCAGCTCCCGCTGCAAAACCTGCTGAGACTGTCACTACGCCTGCCCCAGCACCGGTGGCAGAGGCCACACCCCCTGCACCGCCAGCAGAACAACCAAAGCCAGAGCAGGAAAAAATGGAAGACAAACCAACCAGGTACCTTGTATTATATTATCATTTTTGACCGCTATGAATGACTTACGTGGAATTGATAAAACAGGTCCTCTCTGTTGTGAGTCACAAAAATTTTATTTCTGTGTGATAAGTTTCCTTTAATTATCAAGTTTTGAATCTTCTATGCCAAGAGTATTTAACAAATAGTTACAGCTGAAAAAAATTTTATTTTAGGACACATATCAGGTTTATCTTATACTTCATTTAATAACTTGGTTAATATGTAAATGTCAACTGCACTTTAGTCAATTCTTGTGGAAATGTGATGTATTAAGTTCCAATCACATCTAGATCATATGCGAATGCTTAAAGATCATGTATAAATGCTTAGAGGCCATGTGTTAATGCTAATTTTGTGTTCAAGAATTTTGGTTTCATTCTCAAGCAAAACACTGGTAATGCATTTATTTCATTAAACATCACACAAGAAAAACAACATTGCTGTAAGCCTCTACAGGGATTCGGAGAAATTTGAGGAAGCAGACAGTATAAATATATTATTTCTGTTGTAGCCCCCCTGCTACCACTGCTACCACCACCTCTGCATCGGCTACAGAAGTTACAGCTAGTACCACAGAGAGCAGCACAGCTACTGCATCAGTGTCAGCAGAAAGTACACTAGTCACAGGCCAGGCCTATGAAAACATGGTTACAGAGATAATTGGTATGGGTTTTGAAAGGGAGCGAGTTGTGCAGGCACTGAGAACTAGTTTTAATAATCCTGACAGAGCTGTGGAATATCTGCTTACTGTAAGTATTCGACAAGTCTATTTATCTTCACTGGCACAAAGGGGAGAACTTTTCACTTATTTTTTGTTGAAGCACACATCCCAGTATGATTTGATATTTAATGATATTGATTTCTTTGAATGAAATAGTAAGAAAATTGTTTGTTGATTCCTACACTCTTGGTATTAAGTGAACTATTTCCTAATTGTGGAAATACTGACACCTGATTTATAGAATGTTTTCCCATATGTTGTTTCTGTTCCTTATATTTAGTGTTGAAGTCGAAAGTGTTAAAGTATTTATCAGCATGCTAAAAAGAATGTCAGGTACTGCTAAGCATTGTTCTGTATCTTTACTTCAGAACCATATGCCATTTTGCATACAGTCTATAACAAATCTTTCTTATTTTATTTCCTTGTTGTACACAGGGTATTCCTGATTTCCCAGCTGAGCCACCAGCACCAGTTCCTCCTGCTCCTGCACAAACAGCTCCAGCCACAGTCCCTGCTCCAGGCTCAACCTTATCAGGGAGTGTCACTGCAAATCCAACTCAACAAGGAGGTAGATATATTTGTTTATGTACTCCTGAAAAAGTTATTTGACAGAATGGAATAAAATAGTTCTTAAAATAGATAACTAAACATTTACATATTTCAGTTATCTAAAATTAAGAAACATACTTGATTCTCAGCAACTCTAAGAATAAGTTATTGTCCCAACTGGAGCCCTCTAGGTTCAGAGTCCAAATATTGAAGATCAAATTACAAGTTCCTTTCCAATAAAATTGATTATGGAAATACTTATCACAGAAAAAAATGAGGGTTAAAGTTGGGTTTTGGATGGCAATGTCTGTCTGGAATCTCTTGTTCCTGACCTACAACTAACCAAAGTGATGGGCACCTAGTAGCTGAATATAAATTTCTTTCATGAAACAAACATTTGCTTTCCTGTTCTAACATTCATCTTGCTTTGCTGCTGGTTTGTATGAGTGCAAATACACTCACGTTTGTAGTACTTATAACTTGGATGAAATAAAGAGGATTCTATTCAATAAAATAAATGTACCTGAGGATGCAATTTTAGCAACTCTACTTTCATCAAACATTATCATATTGGCTTTGCGACAAGAGTATCTAATTGAACAGATGGGATAAATAATTAAACTTTCCTTTTAGATAAAGTAATTGTTAAATAATCCTTTGTTTAGTGTTGAGTCTTAAGTTGATACTTATGGGATGTGAAGAGAATATGCTGTGCCCCTTTTGGTTCTCTTGATTGAAATCATTGATGTGGATTTGATGTAGATGTGAATTTCAGTTTTACATATGTATTTGATTTCTTTCAGAGGAAGACACCTTGGCATTCCTTAGAACACAACCACAGTTTAATCAAATGCGGAGGCTTATTCATCAAAACCCTTCTCTTCTTCCTCAACTTTTACAACAAATAGGTCAATCAAATCCCCAATTATTACAGGTAAGGAATTAAATAATAATTAAATAGTACTATACACAATGATATACACACTGCGATCTAGGGTCTGCACACTTAACAATTAGAATCAAACATATTAAACTTCATTATAAAACTTTACAACATGCTATAATACTGACAGATATATTTTGTGATAATTCCTCATCCACAGAAAATAAATTGTCGATGAATCTAGAATTATGGTGATAAAATATTTCAAATATGGAAATTTGAAATCTATTTCTCTAATTATTGTAGCTTATAAGCAGAAATCAAGAGCGATTTATTGAGATGTTAAATGAACCAATTGGTGATGAGGAACAGGCTGAAGGTGGTGGAATGCCAGTGGTAGGAGGAGCACCTGGAGCTAACCCCTTGGGCCAAGGATATGTTCAAGTCACACCACAAGAAAAAGAAGCAATAGAAAGAGTAAGTTGGCATTTAATTCATACCACCATGCATCTGTCTTGTGTTTACCATAAAAAGTTAGCAAAATATATTTTCAGCTAAAATCAGATTTGTTTGTTATGCAGTGAAAATTCACAGCTGTTCAATGTTTGTAAAGTTCTTTCAAAACTTAATATTAAGCAATGCAATATGACAAGAGCACTTTCTATCTTGCAAATGAATCATCAATATCTGTATCAGCAGTTATATGACAGTCAGAAAGGCCAAATCACAACAGATTAAATACATGAATAGGTATGTTTATATATTTGATCACAATAAAGTTAATTGTGCTGTCTGTGAAGTTTGAAACCACTGTTTTGTTTCTCTTTGTAGTTAAAAGCATTGGGTTTCGGAGAAGGAATGTGTATTCAGGCATACTTTGCTTGTGAGAAAAATGAAGAATTAGCTGCCAATTTTCTATTGTCCCAAAATTTTGATGATGATGATCAACAGAGCTGATTCACTTTATGTTAAAACTTTGTATGATTAGAGGACTTTGAGCTATAGGATGGACGTATCCGGCTTGTTACACATATTGACATAGTATATCAGCAGTACATGCTACCATCTCTTTGTGGAGATTTCATGAAGGGGTAACAGCAGGACTACAGTCTGTGAAATGACACATTGAGGAATCTGTTGGTGCACAGGTTGTAGTATACTCTATTTGGTGTAGAGGTGGTGAGGTCTGTCCAAGTGCCTCCTATAAGAGGCTGACAAATTGGCGAGTTATGTGGTAGTGATTCTATAAACATTTATAATTCATCTTTTTAATTCACCAAGTTGTCAACAATAAGCATTAATACCTACAGAAACTGTAGAGTTGCATAGAATGCAAAATCATTTCTTTGCATTTAGAGTATTTTCCTGAGACCATTAAGGTAATCCGCTGTGTAATTTTGATATGAAATTTCTTTTTTCCCACACATTGTATATGTAATTACAGATTCGTGATTTATTTTATGTGTATTTTCCCCAAACTTGTTCTGTTAAGTTAATGCATGAATTACTTGGTGATGCTTTAACTTGTGAAATTGTGTTTTTGCACACCATGATTACCTCATCTAAATGTCAGCTAATGTCCTCTTTCTCTTGATGATGAGGTATTTCTGTATACTTATAATTGGTATACAGCTCAATCATGATATGTTTGCAAAATGTTCATGAAATAAAGCCAGATTTATACTGAATTTTACCCTTTTTTATTTCTGTTTTGCAATAGATCTTTGATGATTTTATGCAGCAAACTTCTCAGTAATGTAGAAATGTGACAATATTTCTAGTCTCAACATTGTTTTTCATTTTACTGTATTGTAATATTCACAAAAAGTTTTGTAAATGTGTTACATCCGAGTTGGATGTTGTTTGTTACAAGGTTTTTGTGGCTATCATTTATCTGTCGCCAAGGGATAATAAAGTGGCAATACACCTCCAGTATAACAAAATGATGTGTTAATGAACCAAAAATTTATTTTTGTCTCGACTAAAACAAAAAGTTATGGGAGTCACTGGCTTGCAATGACAACGTGGTTTCATCACTATTTCACTTTAATCTTTTGTTTTGAAATCTTGCAGAAAAAGTCAAACTTTATCCAAACACTTCAACATATTCATCATTTACAAAATATGTTGATTTTATTGTTGTGCAGCAGAATTATGAATACTGGAATTTTGTTCATAAAGGTCAAGTGTTTAATTCTGTTTCTCATGAAGTAAAAAGTTTTAACTCCAACCAAACTTGATATAAAACTATATTTTAGCAGACATCTGAACTCGCAAAATAGATAACATTTATATTACCTTTTATGTGTTGACGGGTCATTAAGAATATAATAATAATAATGATTGTGACAAATGCATTTCATTAACTTCTAGATCGTATTTCAAGAAGCACTGTGAAATATTAGAAGAATTTTCTTCTCATTGGAATGAGTGTTTTAATATAGGATAAAAGTGAAATATTTGAGTGAATTTTGAGAAATTAAGAACTTACAAAATTTTCAATCCATCTTTTAACAATGCATTAATATTTAAACATGACAACATATATTTAGCATTTACATATAATGAATTTAAAATTAAGTTGAAATTCTATATTTTAGGGAGGGAAGGCATAAATTTGTTTTTTGCTTTTTGCATTTTGCTTAAAAAATACCATACAAACAAAGCGGGACAGACAGGCAAATACTATCAACTGCATTACTAGTAATTTTTGTAGGATTTTATTTAGCAAATCCAGAACCCAATTACTAAATTTTGTGATGAGTCCATTGCATGAAGATTAAGGAAAAGGACTATCTAAATATCCAAGTCCCAGAAATCACTAGCATTACGTCATTTGTCAATAATGTCACCTGATTACTGTATGTGAACAAGGTAGTATTCATTCTATTAAATAACATTGTATTGATCAGTTTCTTGTGATTTTATCGAGAACCACAGAACTTTCTAAATGGCGTCTATATGAATCAAAGTAATTACCAGGTACACATAATAGATATTCTTGTGATCATTCACAGAGTATGGAGGAAATTAACATACAATGTTATCAGTAGTCGGATTGTATGTTATTTAGTACTGCAAAGTTTTGTTACTACTAACTTTGATATATTCATATATATAATAAATGCTTTAATATGTTTGTTCTCAAAATATTTTATTATAAAGTGAAGCTTGGAATTCCCCCATTTATCTTTCTAGTTTTCGTTCAGTAACACAAGTTTGACTGTGTAGACAACTGTGCTGAGAGAGATGTCAGGCAGATCTGTTTAACACTACTGTCAATACACATAATTCTAATATGCTTCTGAGACAAAATAATTAAAATAACATTTGTAATACCAAATATTTGGCTTTATTTATCTGTGAATTAAAAGATATCATTAATAGTACTGTTAAGAATTATCCCGATGATCATGAAATATATACATATAAATGTATGATTTCACGAAAACAAGGAGAAACACCCTGTCTGGTATTGATCAGGATGAGGGTTTATTAGCTATCCTCAGAATGACAGTTCTAGTTATGTTAAAGAATTCAATAAGTGAAATAAAATAATGACGAGATTTCGATGGAATTTTACCTTTTAATGAAAAACTTACGCGCAGCCACCAGGAGAGGGTTAATACAACAGATATTTAGACTGCATTACATTTCATTTCATGAAGGACAAAAAAAAAAGAATATTAAGAATTAAAAGTCACCTTTCATGAGGTCTTTGTCTCAAGCGACCCATTGTGATCCCTTCTTTTAACATTTTCAACTTCTGGAAAACTCCTTAACCGATTTCAATGAAATTTTACAAAAACCATCCATGGCTAAAGGCACACCAGAATTTAAAATTATATGGTCCCCAACCCCAGGGGCCTGAGGGGCAGGGCCAGGGGAGAGGGTAAAGTTTACTGTATTTTATGTAGGAAAATTATATTTTTGAGCATAATTTGTTTATTTTCTTTCAAAAATAGTTCAAATTTGGTTAGAATTGTTTTTTTTATTTGTATAAGCTGACAGTATGATGAGATGTACATATTGAATTTGACTGACACCCAGAGGCTGATGGGTGGGGCTAGAAATGGGTCGAATTGACTGAAATTTCAAAGATGTTCTACTCTTCCAGGTTGGAATATTATATATAGGAAAATCCAATTTCTAATGTTATTGTGTCGACATAAGTTTCTCGCTGTATTAACCTTTAACCTTATTGGAGAAGCTACACACAAGTTACAATATATTAACTCACCAATTTCTATTGATTGTGAGAGGAAAAATCATTAACTGTTTGATTGGTAGCCATTCTTGTTACTGCATTCCAATAAGATGAGTATATTATTAATATATGAAAGAAAATTTCAAAATGAGCAAACTTTAAGCGACTTTGTTATGTAAAGGTTCATAATTTTTTTAAAAAGGGTTGAAATACAAAATTGTTTGAGGATGCACAAAACCATAGAAGGGAATCATTCTTTCAAAGAGGGTTTTATGCAATATTATTAAAAGACATTTCCATATGGTACATAGCACTTAACACTAAATTTGGTTTTCTTTTTTTTCCATATAGAGGGACACAACTCCTTTTGGAACCGACATTACACATGAAATTTGAAGAAAAATCCATTGAAAACTCTGCAAATGCATAGCCAGACTAATTTTTTCTACAAATGAATCTAGATTCCCTCTCTAACTTCATTGCATGGGTATTTAAATATACTCTTTTTTTTCCCATTTTGGTCTCAGCTTGCCTCCAAGGAGTCATATTCTTCCTGTAGAGGCACAAAATCTCTGATATTCTATAGGTGCCTCATAACATTTTGCACAAGGTCAAAGTTTCTGTAACCAAAAGCTACCTATCCTGCCTTTGGCTAGGTAGACCAATACAAAAACCATTAGTATCAACCAGTAGTTACCACTACCTATGTACCTTTTGTGGTGTTTCAGTGACAATGTTTTATTATCATAAATACAATGCAAATTCTAACTGTACACAGATTCTGTCTGTAGGTTCTGATAATGGATGGCCTAGTCATCTAAAACAAACTAGTGAACACTCATCATAACGAAATCCCCCGTGTTGATACTCCAGGACTCTTCTACATGTATTTACCTTTCTTTGGTGGAGCTCTACTGAACACTGGTTTCCACCTTGGATTCCTCCACGGACAAACCATTACAGATGTACCTCTAGGATGTTATATCACTTTGCCTAATACATGTATTGGTGTAAAAATACCATTATTTTTGTCTATAGATTCTGTCTTCACTTCTAACCCTTCTATTACTGTGAAGGTGTGTAGAAATGCTATCAGATTGAAAAACGCTGAAATAAGATTACAGCTTTAGGATATTTTATGATTACAATACTTCAGTTGTGTTAAATAACTTCCATTATGTGTATGTTTTTCTTTTGTGTTAGTAGAGGAGAATTGACCACAAACATATCTTGGTACTAAATATTTATTTCTAACAATCAAACAAGACATATATACCATTATTCATTTTGTATATTAAAATTCTCATGAAAATGATATTTAAAGCTCAGCCATGAACATATAGGTCAATTGATTCCATTCTGACTAAATCACAATTATACATAAGCTCAATATAATATAACAGCCCATTGTCAGTAGCCCAAAATGCCCATAAAAGACTACATGCTTCAATCAAACAAAATATATGGTTTTATATAAATAGACATCATTTGGATTGGATTGGATATATATAACATTTCTGCCACATTTACACACAATACCCTGTACAAGAAAATAAATTCAACAACATGACATCCTCTGATTATCACAATATTTGATATATTTTTTATCATGACATTACCATGTCATACCAAGAGGAGCGATATATGACTGTCCCAGTATTGCCCACTGCTTTGTATGTTATATACTACAGCCCCAGTATTGCCCACTGTTTTGTATGTTATATACTACAGCCCCAGTACTGACCAATGTTTTATATGTTATACACTACAGCCCCAGTACTGACCACTGTTTGTATGTTATACACTACAGCCCCAGTACTGACCACTGTTTTGTATGTTATATACTACAGCCCCAGTACTGACCACTGTTTTGTATGTTATATACTACAGCCCCAGTACTGACCACTGTTTTGTATGTTATATATTACAGCCCCAGTACTGACCACTGTTTTGTATGATATATACTACAGCCCCAGTACTGACCACTGTTTTGTATGATATATACTACAGCCCCAGTACTGACCACTGTTTTGTATGTTACACACTACAGCCCCAGTACTGACCACTGTTTGTATGTTATACACTACAGCCCCAGTACTGACCACTGTTTTGTATGTTATATACTACAGCCCCAGTACAGACAACTGTTTGTATGTTATACACTACAGCCCCAGTACTGACCACTGTTTTGTATGTTATATACTACAGCCCCAGTACTGACCACTGTTTTGTATGTTATATACTACAGCCCCAGTACTGACCACTGTTTTGTATGTTATATATTACAGCCCAAGTACTGACCACTGTTTTGTATATTATATACTACAGCCCCAGTACTGACCACTGTTTTGTATGTTATATCTTCCACCCCTCTCCTTGCAATACAAGCAGGAATGACAAAAAAAGACCTTTTTAATTATACACTTCTTACAAAGGCACTTCCAACTGGAAAGTTTTCTCTATCTTCTTCAAAATTAACAAATAAACAAGATTGAATCCCCGTTTCCTTTACAGTGTCAGGCCATAGTCTTGTATCCATTTCAGTCCATCTTCTGTTTTACCTGTTTAAAGACAAAATGTACAATATTTATGCTTTAATATTTTTTTTTTAGTTGAGAATGTAAGATAAGTTCTTTTGGGATATATATATCTCATACATGAGACAGAAATATATCGCTTTGCTAAACAGTACATGATATTTGGTGCCAAGTGACAGCACAGTTAAAATGACAATTAATTTCAAAGGGAGGTAATGTAATCAATTCAAAGAACTGAAAATGGAACTTGGTGTGAATTTTTTATTCAATTTGGACACAATAATATAATGAATAAGAAATAGAAACTGTTATCTGTATATGTTCAAGACTGATTTATCAAAGTCTTGAGCTGACATTCTTCAACATCTCATTTTCAATTGTGCCTAGAATGAGATTTCTTTACAGAATGTTGGCCCTCGACTGAGATTAAACCGTCTTTCGAAAACATACCGATATCAACTGTCCATAAAGGTAGCCTACCTTGCGACACAGCATTCACCATCAATTTGTCAGTTAAACAAGTTCTTCTCAATAACGTAAATATTCAGGATACCGATAATGGGCCTGTAGCATGCAGGGGTGAAAATCTACCAAGTTTGTTCAAATGAATGATCTTGACCTTCTTTCCAGATAACAGGGTTGAAATGTGTTAAAATCTTTAAATATCTTCTTCTCAATCAGAAAATGCCTTCAGGTACTAAAATTGGGCCTGACACATGCTAAGATGAAGGGCTAACTTGTTCAAAAGAATGACCTTGGCCAACTTTCAAGGTCACAAGAATAAAAAATGCTAAGAACTTTCAATTTGTTTTTTTTCAAATAAGCAATGGGTCCTGGGTCATGGTATCTGTGTAGTAGCATGATTGGGGCATAGGCTTTCATGTTTGCTAAAACTGTATAACAAAAATGACAAAGTCTTTTGAGTAAGCTGAGTAACAATGAGTAACAAGTAACAACCTATAACTTAATAGCTTGAATTACATTGTACAGATAATGCAAAAGTAATTTATGCCTAATTCAGTCATTTCCACAGGAATTTAAACAAAAATTCAAAACTGTAATTTTCTTATGCAATTAGTAAACTTTGCCCAACCATCAAGGGAACCACAAAATTAAATAATTCAGTTTACCTTTGGACCATTACAAATATAAAAAGTGAGCTTCATAAATATTTCAATTGTTTAGAGATACACGACAGACAATGTCACCAAACCCAGCAAATAGGTCAATTGAGACTTTGGCTCAGGTGATCTAAAAACTCCTGCATATATGTCTAATCACCAAAACCGATTTTCAGTTGCTGGGCCAAATCACCAAATATTAAAACTAAAACTTCCTGTCACATACACATATATAGTACAAGTAAATTTAAGCTATTCATGAATGTGCTTATATCTACAGAATATCATATGCGAAGCTGGTATATTTTTATTTATGATTTAAGCATTTATCAGGTAAACATGTTTCAAAACTGACAATATTTTAAATGGTAGCAAATAATGAGCATGTTAATGATGATGCTGACCTCGAGGATTATACTCCAGTCCTATGTAGCCATCATATCCTACTTCCTTGAGGAGTTTGAAGATGTACTTGAAGTCTATCTCCCCATCACTGGGCTCTCCCCGGTCTGGTACTTGAGCAATCTGTATGTGACCTTAAATGGAGATGTTTACAAGGTCCTTTGACCTCAGATATTGCTGTTTTAGAGTTACTGTGCGATGACACTCTGTTTTTCTGATACATGGTGTAATGTTACAGAAGATACAGTAATTAAATCCCTAAAGAAACACTAAGATTTGTATTTGATGCACAGAATTTGGGCAGATACTGCTCTATAATTCTTGCTAACACTGTAGCTGTGTATAATGAGCCAGTAAGATAAGTAGTTTGTGAGAACATAGGAGGCACACTATCATTTTTGTTACATGAACAAGGTCCTCATATAGTCTTAATGTTGGTAAACTAAAAATTTACATACCTATATAAGGAAGATATTTCTTTAGATTTCCAGTCAAGTTACCATCCATAATTTGTATGTGAAAAAAATCCTGCAATAGACATTTACTACCACTTTAATCACAGATGTTTCTGTACAAAATAATACATTAACAGTATTCATTAATTTACCCTGCAGTACTACATAAGAAATAGTTACTCTGTCATGCAACTTAATGAACCTGCCTTACAATTACAAAGTTTTTAATGAACACTTGGAACATCTGTACTGCTTGGTTGACATGTATATAATCTAAAACAAGAACAAACAATGAGGATCTTGATGCCCAACATTGTCTTGTCTGTTGGTTCGATAAAAGTGGAATCTTTTCCCTTCTTTTCTCTTCCTTCCTGCCAAGAGGCTCTTAGTTGGGCATGTTCAGTTTAAGAACTGTTCAAAATAACAAGATGACTGACAGGGGGCCATATTTGATTTTGAAAATTTTAAGTTTGTTATCACTACTAGATGGATTTTTCTACAGACTGCCCATATGGAATTTGAGAAGGTCAACCCATTACCTCTTTGGAAGTAGTGATAAGAAGAATTGTTTACAAACAGACATACAGTTGATGGACTATGAATGAAGGTGATATGAACAGCCCACTATGCTGGGTGTTTTGAACAGCCTTCTATATAAATCTTATACATATATATTGATTTCACTGTGTTCAAAATGTACTGATATGTGTGAATAACAAAGTTCTAGAAGTTCAATCCAAATATTTAACTCATAAAAATGCTTAGATTAAACACTCACATAAAACTATACAGATGTACTTACAAATTGTAACTTCAAATTAGGATGGTCGATTTTCTTAATATACTCCACAGCTGATAAGAAAATACACACAGGTCAGCGCATCAAATAATATAACATGAATACTTCTTTATAAAAAAAATTGCTAAATTTGTTATCTCAAAAGCCCATCAATACCAAAAGTTAATACAGGGCCAAATATTATTGTTAACAGTTCATCAAACATCATACTGAGCCAAACAGTAGTTTTAACAGCCAATCAAACAATGATATCATACAGGGTCAAACAGTAGTTTTAACAGCCAATCAAACAGTCTTACAGGGTCAAACGGTAGTTTTAACAGCCAATCAAACAATAATATCATACAGGGTCAAACGGTAGTTTTAACAGCCAATCAAACAGTCTTACAGGGTCAAACAGTAGTTTTAACAGCCAATCAAACAGTCTTACAGGGTCACACTTCTACTTGTTTGGAAAGTAAAGATCAATTTCTAAAATCTAAACTTTACCAAATTACAATTATCCTCCTGTATCTCTCTCCCTCTTGTCAGACCACATGGTCTTGTGATTGGTTGCTGGTATATTATATTTGGTCATAGGAGCACCCTAATCATTCAATTTAATTTCATCCTAAGCCCTCTCTCTAGCTATCTACTTTCACCCATCACTTTATTAATTCTACTCATTTTCCGATCTTTTCTCGTCTGCGGAAAGGCTGTGATAGTTATAAATGTTGGTAAATTAGTACACAAAAATAATTAACATAACATTACACAACTATAATAAAATGTCAATGGTAGCTTACCTTTGTGTATGTCTGTCAGAAAGTACTTGGGTATAGACAGTCTGTTGTTGATTGGTTCAATGACGGCAACAATCCCGTCCTGTAATTAGGAGCCAAAATCCCTTATGATTGGAATTTTAAAACAATTGTAAAGTTATAATCATTAATCAATTGTGATATGACAATGAAACCCTTTATCAAACAAGGGCCTTAACTTGCCTTACTGAGCCTTTCAGCAGCATAGCGAATGTTTTCAATGAAAACTTCTTCCATAGCTTCATCTTGGAAACCTGGCTTCAAACCAGCCATAACATGCATCCTGTATAAAAACGATGTAATATTATACCAGAAATAGTGTGTTTCAAGTACTACAGTCTTCACTAGAAATTACACAAGCAGTATGAAATCTCAAATTTAATTTATCTACACAGATAACTAAAAGTGCAGATACGATAGGGATTAAACTAGCAGGATATTTTTCCAATGGTGCATTAGGTGATATTATTGTGTTTATCTCACAATAAGCAAATAAGTATAATAAGAAGTCAGGGAGGTATTAATCCTGCATTAGGCCAAGAGGATGTTAATCCTTTAACAGGCCAAGGGGATGTTAATCCTCTAATAGGCCAAGAGGATGTTAATCCTTTAACAAGCCAAGGGGATGTTAATGCTCTAATAGGCCAAGGGGATGTTAATCTTTTAACAGGCCAAGGGGATGTTAATGCTCTAATAGGCCAAGGGGATGTTAATGCTCTAATAGGCCAAGGGGATGTTAATGCTCTAATAGGCCAAGGGGATGTTAATGCTCTAACAGGTCAAGGGGATGTTAATCCTCTAACATGCCAAGGGGATGTTAATCCTCTAACAGGCCAAGGGGATGTTAATCATCTAATAGGCCAAGGGGACGTTAATCCTTTAACAGGCCAAGGGGATGTTAATCCTGCATTAAGCCAAGGGGATGTTAATACTTTAATAAGCCAAGGGTATGTTAATGCTCTAATAGGCCAAGGGGATGTTAATCCTCTAAAGGGTCAGGGGGATGTTAATCCTCTAATAGGCCAAAGGGATGTTAATTCTGCAAAAAACCAAGGGGGCATATTAATATTCTGCAATAAGCCAAGGCGGTATAAATCCTACAATAAGCTTAGGGCATATTTATACTTCAATAAACAAGCTTACAGTTAGTGTTGCATGCAACACATGTCCCCTGCTGTAAATGACTGTATTTATCAGCAAATAAGCCCATGTCTGCTAATAAGCCCACCAATGTTCTGTTGTAAAGCAAATGGGAGCAAATGCTACTTAATTGTTTGCAATAAGCTAACCTTTTACTATGGATCCAAGTTTAAATGTTGGCCCCATGATCTAATTGCAGTATAAATACATTATTTTTTCAAGTAATGTAGAACTTGTTCTGTATCAGAAGTGTCTTGTTTTATTATTTATAAGCTTCCAGTGTATCAAGTTTCAACCAAATCTATCTATCCGTTCTCAAATTATTGTCTGAAAACTAAATTGTGACAAGATTCTATTTTTAGTAACAGTGACCTTTGTAGTTGATCTTTTGACCCCATACAAAATCCTACACTTTATTGCCTTATAAACTACCATTGTATGAAGTTTGATCAAAATCCATCAATCTGTTCTCAAGTTATCGTCTGGAAACCAACATCCGGACGGACAGACGGAGACAAACACTATAGTCCCCTCCGATTTCACTGGCAGGGGACAAATAAAGGGGGTATTACTCCTTAATCAACCAAGGGGGTATTTATCCTTCAATAAAACTAAAGTGGTATTAATCCTGATATAAGCCAATGGAGCCCACATATATGTGATCAAAGTCAGGGGTCTATCAAATCACTGTGTATGGCTTTGTTATTCTACTGAATAAGACTGGGCTTATTACCAGACCTGGGCTTATTGTCAGATATACATGGTACATCTTCATTCTTTAATTGTATTTTTACTTCATTCTCAAAGTCACAGGGTGGGCTTATTACAGGACAATGAAATAGCATCGTTTGTGATTTACTGATCAATAAGCTGACTACAAAGCATGTTCATATCCAGACATATTTGGTACAACTAGCATTTATTACATCTGAATTTCTCTGTTTACCGTTTACAGTTAAGAGCCTTGGCATACTCTACTGAAGTCTCCAACTTCTCCCGAAACTCCTTCACTTTGTTAGGTAGGGCTGCTAAACCAATCTCACCATTTTTCATGTCACCTGAAATTATGGCATGAGTTGAAGTAACCAGTTGTCATTCCATAATCAATCTATTAACATGATCTGAAACGTTTTGTTAAGAATGGATCTTTAGTGTCAACTACACCGAAGCGCTATGGCCTCTCAATTTTCATATATAATATGTCTGCCCAATACTGTATTCCATTTTTCTATATACATGTATAACAATGTATTACAATTTACACCAGTTTATCTTGATTAGATTGTGAAATCAGATCCATAGCCTATATATTTATCATTCTTGGATGATGATTGATAACCGGTAATCAAAACAAAACTGCACAAAGTACAATTTCTTTTAGTTATTTTGGTATTCAATGGGTGTTCACAACAGCAGGTATTGGTACCAGGCAAGTGGTAAATTAAAATTTTTCAAGATGTTCTTTTAAGACACTCATATTACTGAGGCTTGTCAGATAAACCCTCACATATTCAATATTTTCTGAAACCACAGAAAACATTAAGTTATGTACACATACAGTTTTAAGAATAAAAAAAGTATTGATTGTTTGGTACCAATATCTACTGTCATGAACAACCAGAGATATCTTTGGTGGAAAGGGGACCAAACCTGCTCAGAAGCATCCTTGGGACGAAGACCAAATTTTGTATCACTTTTGTATGCTTAGATATGGTTTCGTTATAAAACAACTTCTTCTCAATAACCAAGGAGGTTCATTGAACTGACACTAGGCCTGTAGCATTCTGGTATAAAGGGCTACCAAATTTGTTCATGTAAATGACCTTGACCCACATTCAAGGTTAAGGAGCAAAATGCCTTAAATCTTCAAACAACTTCAATTATATTGCCAGGAGGTTCAGGATACAGATATTGGGCAAGCAGTGAAAAGGGCTACACACTGTGTTCAAATGAATTACCTTGACTCACTTTCAAGGTCACAGGAGTCAAATGTGTTAAGAACGTTAGACTTCTTATCAATAAGCAATAGCCTTGAGTCACAGTATTTGTGTTCAGGTTGGGGATCAACATGAGAAATAATATGACAAAGTCTTCCTTGTGAGATGCAGAACAGGTGAAAGAATCAGGTCCATTTGGCCACTTGTTATTGAACTGACATATATTTTAGCGAGCTTATTACCAGGCTTTGATATAGCTTCAAAACTGGTTTATGGAAACTGTTAATGTCTTAAACAGAATATGAAAATACATACAGTATTTTCACTTTGGATGGAAGAAAACATTATATTGCTGTATTGATTCTGCAATAAGTCCACGAGGTCAACATATAAGTTAAAGTCTGTGGTCTATTACAGGACAATGTACTGGTTTGTCCTTTTTTTTTGCACACAATAAGCACGGAAGGCAAACATAATTACTGGTTGCTTTAATCAGCATTATGTAATATCACATTGTGTTCTGTCACTGTGAGGTGACCTATACTTATTTCTACACATGATTCACAGCTGTAAAAAGGATCACTGGTTTCAATCAATTTCATATATAATTTTAAAAACTCTCACGTTTTTCAATTCTTTTTTTTTTTTTCATTTAATTTTTGCTCTTAAAAATACACCTGCACTAAGTTATCTCCCTTTTGTTATGTAGTTCAATTAATTGACGTTTTTCTCCCCATTTCACACAAATAGAAATGAATGTACAAATACATGTAGACCGTTGTCTGTTTGGTATATTTTTCATAATATAATGTGGATATGTCCGTTCATGTTAGCAAAAGCAAAATGTATATCCATCCGTCAAAACCGGTGACTGACTAAAATGAATCGATCATCAAACATCCACTCAGCTAGAATGTCACCATTAAAAGAAAGTTAGTAAGGAATCTTACCAGGCCATGCATTAATGAGGACCTGTTCTACTCCGGCTGCCGTCCTTGCTTGTTGAATGGATTCCAGAGACTCTCCGTATGGGAACGCACACTCCACATACTTAAAGCCGGCGTCTTTCGCGGCTTTATAACGAGCCAAAAGTGACGAATGTTCTTTAAACATTGTCGTCAGGTTTGCTGCCAGTTTATGTGACATCCTTATTTGGTATGAATTTACAAATACACGTGCAACAGAAAAACTGAAAGTAGACCACCACATCTAGGTTATGAAATTATCAGTCGCTAGCTTCAAGTCACATGATATTTAGACCACGCCCACACGAGAAGTGAGATCGCGAAGATTTGTCAACTTTAATTAGTCCCGACGGATTTTGTAGTATTCGTGAAAATAAATATTGAAGTCAACCAATAATTATTCAATACATAAGTTTTACAATTATATGATATTTCACATTAGCGACTTCTCGCCTCTGTTTGATTTAAAAGTTGGGGCGTAAAAATGCATATTCATATACTACATCATGTAAGTTCCTGTTTAAAAGTAAATGTTTACTTTCTTTTTGAAAGTAAACATTCTACAACAGGCATATATATTTACATAAAGACAATGGTCAACCTATAGAATTGCTATATCCATTTATATCGTGTATATAAAATGGCGTGTAATTGAGAATACGTCCTCGATTATCAATAACTGCAGAGATGCAGTATTTTAATGTACATTGTGTAGATGTATGTATTCGATCGAATATGAATGCATTATGAAATCGAGGTCAACTTATTAAACAGAAATATTACAGCAGACCTAATAAAGACATATTTGTTGAGCTCGATAAAGGCTATTGTATTAATGTATCCAGGCAACTATTGTGAATTTAGATATATCATACTCATGAATTCGCGTCCATAACTGACGTCACCATTTCAGATGAAGAATTATTACTTGTGGCATGATTCTCATTTCAGCATATTTGTTGATTATGTTTAACGAACAAATGAACAAAGCATATATTTCATTGCCTATATTAAACGGAAGTTACATTTCAAAAACATTAATTCAGTCTACGATTTTTGTGACACCGGTCTCTATATTGAACCGTTTTACAGTATTTTGGGGGTGTTTATTTGTGTTTACATGTAAACCGTTCTGTCGGGTTTTTACATGATCGGTTTGAATAATACATTGTGCAATGTTTTTTTTATTGTGCACCAGCAAATTCAGGCAATCATTCGATGTCTGTACTATTTGTGTACCTATACATTGTACTTATGACAATAACATAACTAGATAAATTTGTATTACAAAAAGTCCTTCTAATTATGCATTAAAGTTATTACGTAAAAGTACATCTTTGATTACCGCGGTCTGACTTCATCACCAAATTAGCTATTGGAAATCACAATTATGTCACAGTGTTGTACCCAACTCGGGAGGTTTATGTCAACATTGGATTTGAAATACAGACAGAACTAGAGAGTAGGGCTTCAGGAGATACCTTTTTGCACACTATCTCGTAATACCAATCTTTCTCTGTCCCATCTGATTCATTGAGTAGAGCCATAATTCTTGATGTCTATGATTTCTAAGTAAATTTCCTGCGAAATTGTTTTACAATTTAACTGCTTTTGAAATGTTCTGCAAAATAAAAGCAAAAACGAACAATGAGGTGGTAGAAGATATCAAGGTAGCTTTGAAGAATCAACCCAATATTCGCCCAGTTCTCTTCTAATTAGGAGTACATGGTAAACAGTCACTAATACAGTTACTCAACAAACAGGTTATCTCTAAGTACCAATGCTTCATATACTGACAATAGTTTGTCTAGATCATTAGGGACCATAAAAGGCAGCATTTGCTGAATTGTTTCAGTTTAAATAATTTTTCTCCGTACCAGTGATACGACGCATACATCATTGGCATTCAAATTTGGCACATCTAATCACTTTTTAAAACTTTCTACAACAAACTTCAGCTTCTAACACTTAGCTCTAAACAGTGATGATTATACCTGGATTACAGTAAATATCATTTTTCCATCGAAATTTGTCAACAAATTGTTCTAGAACACTTTCCATCTGATATGCTTCTCTGACTTTTGGGTTAACAAGAAGAAATCTTTAACAAGTTTTGAAAGGTTTGACCCCTATAACCATGAATATGGTTCAAGGTCATTTCTTTTTTTCAAATTTTGTTGGGAACCATCCCAGCGACCTACCTGCTAAATGTCATGCTTCTAGGCATTTTGTTTAATTTGAAGAAATTATTTACAAGTTGAATATTGTCCAAGATAATTTCTTTTTTTGCAAACTTTGTTGGTTTCATCTTTGGAACCTATCAATCAAATATATCTTACTTCTGTGCCCTCTGGTTAATGATCAAAATTATTTTAGGTTTTGGAAAATTTGACCCTGTGAATCTGGGTCAAGGTCATTTTATTCAAAGACTTTGTCAGGCATCATCTTATCAACTATCAGTGAAATGTCTCCAGGTTTTTGAGTTAATCTGTTACAAAGATACTTTATTACACAACATGTATAATTGAAGTAAGAAATGGCAGTCAGACTGACAGATGGACTGACAACACAAGAAGCACAATGGGACTGCATAACTCACCAATGACTTTCATTTCCACAACAAACAGCTCCTAATATTCAACTCTAAACAGTGACAGTTATAGCCTGGATTAAAGGTAGGTGTCATTTCTTTTTATCTCAAAGTTTGTCTAGCTTTTACCTAGAAATACCTTTCCACCAAATGTCCTGCTTCCCAGACTTTTGGTTTACCAGAAGACTTTTTACAGGTTTTGACATTTTGACCTCTGTGACCTTGAATATAGGTCAAGGTCATTTCTTTTTAACCTTTGGGCCCTTTGGGACCGGTGAGCTAAAAACTATATGGAAAACCTTAGCAGGTACAATATTTTTTTTTAAAACTCCAATAAGAAACAGAAAGAAGTACCATTGTCCTTAGAAGAAAAACTAACTCCAAAGCACTAGTAATTATGACAGTTTATTCATAATTATACAATGTCTTTTACATCATATTAAAGATTAGTCTGGTCATTTATAGATTTTTTTTACAACATCTAAATAAATTATCAATAACAAGAATGTAGCACATCAGTTTTAAAATGAGATGGAAAAAATATCACATGGAGGCAATAAGTTGTGAATATACTACCTGACACTTTTAAAGTTGTTTTTACCTGTTGAAAACAAGATTAAGGTGATCAACATGAGTGTAGTTTTTCAAAGTAATGAAACACATAACCACATTTTCATGCATAGTATTGTATGCTTTGTTGAGGCATAATTTTGATCAATTCGGCTTTTTATAATAATTAATTTTTTCTCCTTTGGCAATAAAATAGGTATTATTCAGGATTTGTTGAGGTTGTGTTGGTGTTATTGATCATGTAGATATTGGCTAATTTTCTCAACACTTTATGTTATAGTGCAATGAGTTATCTCCCTTAAAAAATCCAATTGTTGTACCTGTATCAATTTCAATGATACACAGCATTTCTACATGCATAAATATGTATATTTTATTATATATATATAAATGACCAATCACAGCACGGCAGCTTGCACATTATTGGACACTATCCAAGTGTAGAAGTGTTGTTTGGCATATCAGTATGGATTGATTCTTCATGGGTAGTGAAATCATGTTTTGATTATAAAGAATTCATTAAATGCGATTACAAGGCGATATTATCTACAGGTGAAAGACAAGGAAGAAGTGTATAGTTCTGGCTGGGTGAAATTACAAACATAGCAACTAAAATTCTTCATTCACTTTGTTCTTCACTGACACTTGAAGCTGTTACTACAAAGAGAAACATTTTCTTATTTTGATCCAGTCAAAGCTGTCCATCAGCATCAGTAAAGTTGTAATAGATATTTCACATATAAGTCCATATATATATATGTTTTTGCTGAAATCATCAAACAATATAATATTGTCTATGCTACTGGAAGACAGCATTCACAAATTATACATGGACAAAAGGTCAACCTTCCTCAGTCATAAAAAGAAAGTCATTAATGACCTTTACAAATACTACATATATTTTTTAGAAAACAGTTTCAGCAATACCTAAATGTGGTCAGTGACAATGATAAATTAAAGTACAGTAGATAATGTTTATGTATAACAAGAGGTGCATGGGCCTTAACGGTAACCTGAGTTATGAAGTATTTTGGTCAATTTGGCCCATCAGCCCCTGTAAATATGTGATGACTATCAACCTGCCATTCCATACTAATAACACAAACCAAGTTTTAATTATTTCCAGTGACTATTTAACAAATGATGCTCAAAAGTACAATTTTCCAATACAAACTGTGGCAAATTTTACCTCTCCCCAGGGGAAAATGTGGGACACAGGGTTTACGAAGTTCACAATTTGGGTGAAGCATTTAAAAATCATTGCACGTATGAAGAGTATTTGATTATCTCATTTCTTGGTATCAAAAAGATTTTGAAATTTCAGTCAATTTGACAATTTTTGGTCCAATCAATCAGGCCCTGTGGGTCAGTCAGGGTCACCATTGGTATACTATTTAACTACAATCCCACACTGATCATTCTGACAAAGATTTCAACACATTTAATCCTGTGGTCTAAGTGGATAAATGTCATTCATTAGAACAAACTTGACAGCCCTTCATCCTGACATGCTACAGGTCAAGTATTATAACCCTGGGGCTTTTAGTTACTGAGAAGAGGATGTTCAGAGATTTGACCTATGAGACCATGAAGGTGGTTCAAGGTCATTCATCGGATAAATTTGGTAACTTTTCATCCTAGAATACAGAAAGTTCAATACACTTGTTATTAAAAAGATGCTGTTGAAATATTTAACAAATTGACCCCTGTGCCCTGACTCCTGTACCCTTTAAAGTGTACCTTTGGCAGGTTTAGTGAAGTATAGTCTTAACCATGTATGATGCAATATCTGACCATACCTGAAAAAGGTAGACCAATGCCTTACCATACATAGTAGTAATTCATCCCATCTAGCTATAGGCCCAATATCAGCCTTTTGGTTATTGAAAAGTGAAAAATGTAAATTGCTTACAACGGATGACGGTGAGCAAAAGGCGATCACAATAGGTCAATTGAGATTTTATCTCTGGTGACCCAAGAAGGTAAAATAAAATGTGTGTAGGCATTATGTGCATTATAAGATGTAAACATATTTTTAAATTATTTGTGCATTATAAAATAAATTATATTGAAACACTATATGTGTATTATAAAGCAAATAAATTAATTTTTAACCTTGTGTTGCAAATAAGATTATATCATGTTATTAGTGAATGTTTAAAGCAGAAAAATGAAATGTTCCTTAAACATAATAAATCACATCATATTTTTATATAATTTATGTAAATCTAATGAGCAATCATTATTTGATCAATTATAAATCATGAAAGTTAATGTTATCAAAATTATTTTTGAAAATTTACTTATTGAATTATTTGAAGCTCTCCGGGTGTTTGGGTTGGGATTCATTTTTGAGGTACTAGTTTCATAAATGTTAAACATGAGACTGCCACACTAATAAGTATACAACATCATGTAAGTACATCGTTTGGTACACCAGCACCAATCACAGTTTTTATAACAAGCTCCTTATCTTTAGTCTTGTTCATCAACAGATTGCAGAGATTTGTTGAAAGCACATATTTTTGTTACATAATCTTCAATGGCACACACTGAATTTCCTGCTAGTGACAACTTCTTCAAGAAGGCACATGTTTTCAGTTCCTCAAAGACTCCAATCTGATGGATTACTGTATTAGGATTAAGGATTATAATCACAGTATACAACAATCTGATACAGAATCCCACAGTTGATTCCAAGATACTTGTAACGAAAAATATTTGTTTGTACAATTTTACATGGTTCTGTTTGTTAGTCATTCCACATGTCAGACATGTGGATCAGAGCCAGCTGTGCACAAACACACCAATAAAAAAATTCAGTGAAACTAAATATATATATATATATTAAAGAGTGTACAAGTTGATATTTGTTTTGTAAAATTAAAAAATTGATTACTTTGTATTCAGTAGGATCATACAAGAAAATACACATAACAATTTTTGACAGAATTAATTATCTGTGTATCTGTCTACTTTAGTTATAAATTTACCCAACTTACTATGTGTCCACTGATTCATCTCAATCTTACTCATTGATATCAAAGGATACAGTTATTCTTGACAGACAGGTCTGTAAGCCTCCTACAAAATGCCAGTCCTTGTAAATCAGACAGCTGATTGCTGTCTAGGTTCAGACTTTGCAGACACTGCAGATTAGACAATTCTTGTACAGATTTCAGATCATTCTCAGAAAGGTCAAGTGAGGTCACCAGAACCATCCAATCAGTGTGATAGAGACAGGTAAGTCTTTGTTGACACAACCTAACGTCCCGCACCTTGGAATCCTGGGACTCTAATATGCTCTCAATTAAAAACTTGCTCCCTGTATTAAAAGAAAAATGTTTTCACTAAACTATGTAATATGTAATAACTAATATATATTGCTTTCATTGTTTTATAGTAAAAATAGTAACAATAATTACAACAATCCAGACAATTTATCAATACTTTACATATAAGACAATCTTATTGATAAATCTAAAACTAGATGTGACAGTGATCTACAGAAATCTATAGATACTAACTGAGATCTTTGTAGTAAAACTTCCTCATGGGATCTACAGCAATAAGTTTGTTGAAACTCTCCTCAAGTTCTGCTGCATATTTAGTGTGTTCTGGGTCAGTGGCCTTCATCAATTCCACCATAGTCAGCAGGACCCCTGTATCACAAAATAAGTTCAAGTCATCATAGCAAAATAAAAGTTATCATTATTATTAGTACAATCTTAACGGCCTGTCAACACATAAAAGGTCATTAGGTCATCACCTGGTGAAAGACACAAAAGGAAATAACACCAAACAAACTAAAATGTAAAAGACAAATGCTAAAAATATTAAATAGTTACATGATCACAAAAGTTGAAATGGTAAGTGGTAAAGATTTTATTATACTGTCTTTATCTGGCAATACCAATGGATTTAAGTAAATAATTCCACATCAATTACTACACCCACTAATGTAAAACAGATATAATACTGCAGTCAGAAGTCCCTTACCATCACCAATCATTACAGTCATCAGTTTCCTTAGCAACAAAAATGTATAAACAGCTAGAAAATGCACTGAGACTCCCTGACCATAAAGTAATCATTATACACAAGAATGATTTACTAATTTTAAAAGTTATTTAACAACCACATGACATATTATATGTAACTCTTACACTTGTTGTCAGGCTCCACAGAATGAAGTTCCCGGATGCTATCTAGTTCCAGCGCCATGGTAGAAGAAGTTGCAGCACTTAGTTCTGCACTGTAATTAAGACATTCAATTTATAGGTATCAATAGCATTGTCCTTTTATTCCATGAAATCAATACTCTGCAAGTTGAAAGCAGGAAAGCTGTCATATTTATTTGGCTAAAGCTAGCTGAATGAATATACATGTTATCAACACATAGCAAGTTATTCAAACATCTCCAGAGAAATAAAGGATGACATTAATTGGTCACATCAACAATGTTGTGATTCTCACTGTTACTTGTGTCTGATGTATTTTTTAAGCATTTTTGAAATGTTAACAAGTGTCATACCTGAGTTAGCAAAATGTCATACATGGGCAATCCAAGGCATACACAGGTCAGCAAATGTTGTTACTGAGTTAGCCAATGTCATACCTGGTGTCTAAGTTACTCAATACCACCTGCGTTCATTAGTTATCACCAAACCACATTAACTAATGTCATATCTTAGTTAACCAATATCAAACCTTAATAAACTAAAATAATATCTGGGTTCGCCAAAGTTATACCTGAGCTAACCATTACCCGCCATATTTGCAGAAACCAATGTCATACATGGGTTATATTAGTGTCAAACAATGGCACTAAAGTTAGTCAATGTTGCCTGTTAGTAAGTCAATGCCAAACCTGAGTTATTCAATATTGTACCCACATTAGGAATGCCATACCTGAATTAGCCAATGTCATATACGAGTCGATAAATGCTTTTTCTGAATCAACCATTGCTTTTCAAGAGTTAGCCAATTTTGTACTTGACTAAACCAGTGTCATATCTGAGTAAGCCAATGTCATACCTGGGTTAGCCCACTTATATCTGAGTCAGTTAATGTTATTCCTGAAATAACCATAACTGTTTTATAAGCATTTGCCAATATTATACCTGAGTAAACCATTGTCATATCTGAGTTAACCAATGTCATACCTGAAGCGAGTTCCTTGTTTGAATTCTGCCACTGCCCAAGTCTCCTCCTGGTTTGGCATCAAGTGCAGGCCCTCTGAGAATTTGGTACAGTAACGATCATCGAGAAGAGTGACTGCCACTGCAGCCTGTGTGTCTAATGGAACACTCTGATCAGGTAAGTCTAGCACCTACAAACAGGAAAGAAAGGTATCAGTTAAAATCAGAAGATATGAAGAAACATGCAATATTAGAGTGTAATATATCAAAAGAAACATTGATTTCTTTGTCTGTTAAATTCAAAATGTTAAAATCAGCATTCTATAACTTATAATCACAACTCAAATAACATAAAATACATTATATTGACATACGCAAAATGTCTGAAAGTGTTCTACAATGAAAACATTTCAAATTACTGACACAACAAACAATTCCAAATCTACATACCCATAGTGTAGAGAACATGCTGGAGCCTGTGATTGTCCTCCATTTCCCTTCAACTGGTGTACTGTTGATACTAACTGTCAGGCAATGACCTTTACCCATCTTCACAAAAACAGACATTGAGATATGCATCATTTCATTTTCAGGAGGACTATTTTTTTAAAGTATTATAACAAAATTTGATTTGCTAAGGAAACCACCAGGTAGATCCCAAATAAGATCAACAATATCTCAGAAACTGATTTTGTGTAAACAAGCAGATTTTATGTCACATCCTTGGAAAATTCACCACTATTTTATTAAATTTAAAAGGAACTGGTGGAAAATAGTAAACAGTTTGAAACCTGTAGCCTGAATAAGAAATGTTCCGAAATATATTGAAAAATGTTTAATTGTCAATGTGGCTTGATATTCATTCTGACTTCTTGAAGTATGTTTGGTAAGGACAAACAGAATATATGGTACTGTATGAAAATAGTTTATGAAAGAACAAACAGTGCTGACAAATTGAGAACTTTGGACAACTACTTGATTATAGAATTATATCAACAGTAGCACTCAGGAACTCCATAAACCTAAATAAAATATTTAATTAAGAAAATCACAAAGGATCTCAATAAACCCACCTTAACTGGTTGTGACAGCAGAACAACAATTCTCTGAAGATCCCTCGATAAGTGAACACAACATATCTGTAACTTCTTCTTACCTGAAAATATAAAACCTTATGTTACCCCATGTCAGAAATTTGATAAAAGAATGCCTTAATGAGTTTAATTTGATTATCACATGTTCTTAAGTTGAAAGCTGTATTTTTGATGTGCAGATTGTCTTTTACCTCTTCCCAATAGCCACCTCTGATAAAACCAAGCACTCTGATCATCAGGATCTGTGAACACGGCATTCTGCACAACATCAAATTCTGTGAATAAAAAGCAGTATTATTATAAGATATTTCTCTACAAGCAATTTCTTTCTGAACTACATACACCAAGTTTATCTAGAAATTCAAAGTTTTTATCCAGAAATTCACATTACAGACATAGGGATCATTTTAACAATATTTTTTTTGTATTTATGTAAAGACAGACCCACTGTTACCTTTCAGCAGTACTTCCTCTTGTACAGCCACAGGATGACTAGAGTCAGGGTGTATCACAGGCAGCAGCTTACTCCGATAATGCCATGAGGAATAATTGGAAAAATTGGATTGGATTTTTTGCGTAGTATATTGTAGTTCCTCTTCGAGATTAACATTTGAGCGTAACACAACATGGCGTCGGTAGTCCCAGCAGTGAACTAGCAAATAAAAGAAATTAAATTACATAAACTCTGTCACCACAAAGGGAAAAAATCTGTGTCACTAACTCCAGCAAACGTTTGGGAAAAGTTACATGTATATGTTGTAAACCTTCACATCAACCAATCTGATATCTTACAGTAAACAAGAGAGCCTGCAGGAATCTTGACATTCACCATTGTTTGGTATCAAATGTTTATAAGTTTGATCTTTTCCCATCTTTTACCACTGTCAACAAGAGTACTGCCAAAAGGTTACAAAGCTTATCTCACATTGCTTATCACTAAACCTCAAACTAGCATTAGAGGGTGGTTTCATCCACTGGGACCTTTGTCCCAATATGCTGATATTTGAACAGTAGTTATTGCAATGTATATGTTTGTACAAAAATAAGTCACATTAGGAAGTAGATTAGAATGCCAAAGTAACAGATCATTAAAATAGGAAATATTTCCTGTCAAAGAAATATACCTTTGCATGTCATAGTAACTGTGGTTGTACACATGAAGATTTGTATGTGTATTTCTGTTTTAATGAATAGTTGTTTAAAGAAAAAAGGTTTTGCTCATACTAGCAACAAGAACTTGAAAAAAGACTGGACACAAAAAATTAAAGTCCAACAAGTTAGAAAAAAAAAATTCCCAAAATTTATTCATTTTACTTCCAGAAAGAAATAACCAACCAAATATCAGTACCCTAGTGCACTTATAAAGAAGTTTTTTTGATTTTTGATATATTTCAACACTTCCACCAAAAACTTAGTATTCAGTGACTGATGTTGGGGTGACAACATAATTCCCATTCTCTTTGAGAGATAAGCTTAAAATCAAGATGGCCTCCTGTCAACCATCTTGGTTTACATTAGCCATGAAAATCAAATCTAATACAAATTAAATCTGAAAATTAATAAAGAATAGTAGTAAACTAATGTATGGAAAATTTGTAATTACTCAATAATTTATTTAGTTATATTTTCAAATCCCATTGCTATTACAAAAGAAAATTGTACCTTGAACCAAACATGTGGAGGACTTACAATTTCTCTCATCTAAGTTAAGGAATGCATTGCATAGCTGGAGCTCTCTCATCCAATCAGGTTCTGGAATAGCATCCATGACAAAACAGCGGTGATGCCATGCTCCATAGGACTTTGGGTTTACCTTCAGACATGCTTCCAAGAAATGGAGCTCATCCTCAAATAGTTTCTGTAACTCTGTCTCTTCTCTGTAAACACAAACACTGGCAATCTAAACTCTGTATCTCTTTTCCGTTTGTTGACTTGGAGATACACAAACAGATCAGATAAACAATGTACCCTACCTCTATGAATATAAAAACATACAAAAACTGAAATAAAACAAATTCAGAACTGATTTGCCTAACAGAAATTTCATTTCAAATGAGCTGTTTGAGAACAGCATGTTTCGCCTAGTAATGACATTCTTCTTGATGTTATGATCCAGTGCTGCATAAAAAAACTTGCTGAAAACAGAAACATTTTAAGATGGAATGCAACTGACACTAAGGTGACTACATCAGGTGTATCTCTTATAATATTTTTACTTGACCCTGATTTAAGTGATTGAAATTTAAACATTAATCAATTACATTGTGCTGCCTTTGCTGCGGGAGTTATCACCCTTGATTGAACTCTTTTGTATTGTTGTCTCGCGCTAAACCATAATCGTCTGCTTTGATTTTGTGCTCCACAAAAATGTGCTTTAAATATTGTTTGAGCATTTACCAAGGCTCACAGTGTAAATATTTTGTCTCCCAATATCGCCATATTATTGTCGCTTACCAAATGTTTCTTTGTAAGTTTGCAAATTTGCTTATATTAGTGAATTTTGAGACTGAGTATTTTCCACCTTCGTTTTAGGTAGCGTTAGTGATATAAATGTATAATGTTTTCAACACGCTGTATGATGTTTTCTCTATTTTCGCATATTGTTTATCCCCAATGAATTATGTGTTAAAATCATGGTGTGTGCAATTTGAGAGACTTGTAGTTTAGTGAAGTTCGATTATATCGTCGCGTTATTTCGTTGATAATTTTAGATGCATTCATATTGTATTTTCTGTCAGTTAATCATTTATTTGATTATTTCCTATAACGTTAATTTCAATTCAATTCGAAAGTTATTTTGAAGGTTACACCTTCGAGAGTTTGACTATACTTTTGTAGTATTGAGTGTGTTATGTGGTTCCTACATATATTTGTGAAAGGCGTGTAGTTCCTACATATTTTTGAGTGGTTTGTAGATCCTACATCATTATTGATTTGCAAGTTTGTGTATATGTAGTTCCTACATTGTTTTTTATTTTTATCTCTTTGTAGCTTTTTACCGCTCAAGTGTTCAAGTATGCTTACGCCATGTAGGCCTATCCATGTTACATGCTGAATAAAGATGGTACTACGTCAGCTATCAGGCTTTGCGTACTGAATAAAGATAGTTATACTTCTGCTATCAGGCAGATTATACATCCCAAAATCTCAATGCTAACTCCTATTGTTTACATTTATATACTCATACTAGTGAAAACTGTTAAAGTTAAGTCTAAATATGAATTAAACCTGATTGGAAATAATGGAGAAGTTCTTTCAAGGGAAAATGATGGATCAATAAAACTGAACTGCACTTAAATACCTTTGGTCTCTGAGATGGATGAAGATTTCTCGTCTAAAATTCCAAAAACTATACACATCAGGATTCACAATAAGAATTTGTCCCGATATCTTCAAACCCTCGTCATCAAAATCCTTATTTTTTCTCTACAAATGAAGACATTTTGTTATGTAATGCAAATCCTTTCAACACGCACATTTCAAAATGCAATACTGACAGAACTGAATATACAATGTACAAAAATTAAATTTATTTTTAATGTTAATACATGGTATTACTTAATGATTACTGGTTAGGAACATAAATATTTCATTCACAAAATAAATCTCTACAAAGATAAAATTAAAGTGTGTTACAGATTTAATTTTACAAGATCTATCATTTCAGCATCAAAAATGTTTGACTTTGATCAACAAAAATTTTTTCATGAAAATTCATTAAAGGAACACCTTAACGAAAACAGCTTCTGTTCCAGCATTGTAGAGTTTCAACTTTTTCTCCCTTTCCTTCCTTTTCGCCTCCTGTTGCTCTTCAGTTGTTTTAACTTTGATTCTTCCATGCTTTGATATGACGATAATAAAAAAATGTTACTAGACTTGAACTTGAATGTTGATCATAACAATCTTGCATATATCAAAATCTTACATGAACTTAATCTTTCAATTTGTAGCAGTTGATTAGATGATATGTAAGAAAAACTTTCTTTACCCTACTGATTAGTTTTTAATTTTGAAATGGGGGAAAACATAGAAAAGTACTTTTCGAAAAAAATAATGTAGCATTATGATTAGCCATTTAAAATTTTGCTCGCATTTCTCTCCATATTTCCTTTGCAGAAGCTGACAGATTTAAGAAACAAGAAGGGTAGGTTGAATGTTGTGCGTCATGTGATCAATTGCACGTTATATGGCATCATTTTCAAAATCATGGGATTTCTACTATATTCGACGAGGAATATTGTCCCAGAAAATGGTCATATATGTATATCCTTATTTAAAATTCACACGAATGCTACAATGCAAGCCTATTTTTGTCAACATGGTTATATTTATTGGTGCCGGTATATGTACCAGTTTATCAGACATGTCAACAAGCTCATAACGAAAAAGTTAGAATTATACATAGTAAACTTTTACTATCAACGAAAAATTATCACAATTTGCCGTTAATTAGTTCAAATCTACGTTTCATATATCTGCTGTTATTTTCTAAGTGTTAACTTGAACCGTTGTATGCAACCACAACAAATATAAATATTGCAAGACATACCATTTTCTTTCCGGAAACGACCACTTTCCAGGTTTCCACACAAAAGAGTTATTCTCGGGAAGTGAAAACGCGGCACGGAATACGGAATGGTTATTAATTGCTTTTATTTAGCGAAATTCACAAGTTCGATAGAATGGAAAGCTCGCAAAATTGAGCTTTAAGGCACAAAAAGAGCTGATCACAATACATTTATTTTTGTCAAATATATGGCTGAGCTAGCTACATGTCCTGTTGGTCGGATTATTCAATGTAACGTTTTTTGGTATATTGAAGAGGCCGTGATGATCTACTTCAGAACAAGAGAACAATGCGAGTTATTCTTTTTTATTACATTAAATCGCACCGGCGTGATTATCTATACATTTAGGATACAAGTGAGGAAATTTTCATCTCCGACCAGGATTTGAACTTACCAATAACCAGATCACCGAGACGGTTATCAACTGGGAAGTTGGTTATACTTGAGATGACATGGTGTTCATACTTAATAGCTGCCACGATTTACATATAACGTTAGCTATCATTCTGTATTATTTGTTGGAAGACGAGGACTGATAGTCGATCATTTTCAGGATTGGAGCAAAGCAGAAGGCTAGGAAAGAAGGGAGCCGGGCTTATAACAATGGCGAGAATCTAAATGATATTAAATAAAGATATTTTTTTACCTAAGTCTGGAATTAAAATTAAAAAAAAAAAACATTTTTAGAGCAACATTGATAATTCTTTGTTCCTCAATTCAGAATAGCCTGTTAAGAACTTAAAAGCTGCATTGTTTCAACAAAACAATGAAATCTGAAACCAAACCATGACCGATTTATATACATACCCTTGTTATCAAAACAATGAGGTCACTTTCCTGCTCAATTAACGGCTTTCAAAGGTACATGGTGTCTTTAACAAGTTTACACCAATTTGAATTAGTACATCTAATTACTCTATCATAATTAGGAAAACTACCTCAATAATTTATGCAAGTCAATAGTCAATTTCTCTACCTCATGCCAGACATAAAATTATTGTGTTGATAAAACGGAGGCATGAACACAACACCAATTATAAAACAAATAAATATTTCTTCAAGGAAAGAACAACAAATGAGAGAAAGCATACACAAAAATAAATGTTGATAAATGGTTATTAGAAGTCCCTACTGGTAAACTAAGGGAGGCTATAGGATTGACAATATCCTTCTGGAAGAAACTTTTGCATATGCTTTTGATTAAATGATTTTAGCCTGCCATTGCCACATTATTTTTACATTATATATTATTTATATCAATATTACTTTTTTAGAGTACTAAGATAATGTTTACCCCCAACATGAAAGAATGCAGATGTAGCTTTTGCCCATCATAGGGGGATAGTTATCATATATATAGGGGGTACATATATAATGGTCATGGGAAAAGTATCTCGGGAAAGGTTTATCATATATATAGGAGGGATACATATAGAATACTCAACAGAAAAGTACATATAATATTAAAGACCCTAAAGTGATATGTCCATGCTTAGCAATAATTCCACCGGTGTATAATATGACATATAACATAGTGTTGTCTGTACACTATTCAACTCCATCCCTGTCTGCAAACACTGTTTTTCAATATTATAAAGTGATGAAGGATGTTTGCCAACTAAGGAAACTGCATTCTCATTTCTATTCTTACTATTCTTAAGTGACCAAGTAATTTTCATAATCAAATACCACATTTTTTCTTAGATTATTAGTGAATGACACTACATTTGTAACACAGACCTCCCTCCTTTATATTGGATCTCCAAACATCACAAGAAAGCCTATAAACATGCTGTTGTGTGTTAAGTTAACTAATCAACAAAGATTTCATCCAGACTTTTAAGTGCATCTACTTGTGGATGGTTGTGTTTTGACAAAAAAAAAAGAGTATCCAAGGAATGCAGGATTGATTGAACTTGAACACTCGTCTTCTAACAAAATGATACATTTGAATGAAATATTGCGAATGAAATTGTGACAATGGTTGAATTATGTGTCAAGGATGTTTAGTGTCAGAAGTTAACAATGTTCCTTTCTCCTGATTAACTTACAGATTTATTTTATCTAGTTAGAGCAGGTGACCAAAATCACATGGAGTTATTCATTTTCACTATCAATACACCAGTTTGTGTTCACATCATGAAACCTTTATGTACTTGTCATGAAAGCCCTTTGAACCTGACATTAAGGACCTTTAAACTCTTCTACACAAGCAGTTTGTCTTTATTTATTTATCTGGGACGGCTTACAACTTTCAGATTATGATGTGCTTTAAATTTTTCAACTGTGATTTTTCCATCTTTTATTAGTAACAGTTCAGCTTCCTTCACCCAATATTTTCATGTTAATGTTTGTAGGGTGTATCGCTTCCTGAATAGAGAGAGTGAGGTGGTGTTTCCTTGTATTAGCTGGTGCTCCTTGAACATGCAAGTGGCCTGCTGCATGCTTTTTACATTTAATGTAAAAATGTCTTATCCATGGTCCCTGATCTCAGCTTCCAGATAATCACAAACCACTCCAGTCGGGGATCAGATTACACACCTTTGATATTCACCAAAGGTTGCAGGTTAGTCTGATGTGCTATGAGAAAGTGCTGCAACTACTATTTATTGTTTTGATATCCAAGACCGTATTCCCAGTACCACATTTGCAGGACAAATCAAAATTGCTCATGACAAACTTACTAAACAGGATTTCAAAAGAAAAAAAGGTTGATGGCAAACATAATCAGGTGTCATGGATGAACCAGGTGATTCTCACCCTTCGGAAACTCCTGATCTTAGAATTGTACTCCTTCCTCAAGGATCACTGTGTCTGTCTTTCTTTTGTTCTATATACATCAGTGGTCTCATTTATATTTGTTTTCTGGTAGTCATGCAAGCTTTATATTATACTGTTAAAATCTAGTTCAACTTCTTGAGATTCCTCTCCGATCACCCACACAAACAGCAAAACAACACAATAGCTGAACTGACATTTTATTGTTTATTTCTCTGTGCCCCCAAAATATAAATCCGACAAAGATTTGTAGTTGGCCACTTCCCAGGAAGGTGTACAACTATATACAGGTATTTCAATATATACACTCGAAGATCAATGAAATAACACACACACAATAGTACAAATTTGTAGCCTCTTTTTTATATCTTCATCATTTAGCTGGGTAATACAAGATGGCTGACAGTAACTCAAATGAAATATAAACTATTAATGGAGAAGATTGATTTTTCTCATTTCTCTAAAGACAATGACATAATTAAAAAGCATTCTTTCAAAATGGTAGTATATTCTTTTACTCAGAGCTTTTTCCTGCTTACTGTTAATATTGCATACCAACAAAACAGTAAGATTTTACCTGTGGAAATGAAAGGGTTCAATGTAATCAGAGTGTACTAGTAATGAACATGTAAACAGTATTCTGTTACCACATGTCTACATAAAAATTCGTAATTCATACATTCTAAAACATATCACAATCCCTATAACTTTGGAGGCCACACAACCATCACAATTTATATTTAAGATACCATACATCTATATTATAAAACTTTCTTGCACACTTTATATACAAAAAGAAAAATGTTAACTACTTATTCATACAACAATGGTTCAATTAAAAACATTTTACATTCAACTCCATTATGATATAGCTACAGATGTTGGTAGCTGTATCCTTAAATACTGTAACACACCTGGTTTATCAAACAACATCAGAAAATGACCCAAGAATACTGTTACACATCTGGTTTAGACATTCAGTAATCTTATCCTAGGACACTGTTACACACCTAATTTATCAAAAGACATCACAAATCAATCCTAGAATACTGTTAAGATCTGATTTCGACATTCCATTCAGTAATCATATCCTAAGATACTGTCACAGATCTATTTTATCAAAAGACATTCAGTTATCATATCCTAGAATACTGTTACACACCTAGCTTATTTAAAGACATTCAGTATTTGTAACCAAGAATACTGTTGTACACCTGGCTTATCCCCCTTAGCTAACAAGTCTATCACTATATCACTATGCCATTGAGTAATAATTTAACAAAGGGAAGTAACTCTGGTAGATCAAAATGATAATGTTTACACATACATGGTTTATATTTTGTATAGATGTCAGTAACTAATTGTATCCTAAAACAAAAGAGCAAGCTAAGTTTAAGTAACAGATACAATAAATTTCAGAAACCTTATTTGCAGTGTCATGAAATATCCTTTATTATAATGAAAGTAGCTGTGGGCATGAGAATTCAACTCAAGCTCTTTATATCGTCAATAATATGCTTCAAAAACCACTAGTTCTAGCTTTATTAATCATTATGTTTATAGATACAAGTGAATACATGAGCTGACAAACAGCTCAGAGAGAACATTTACTTAAATATACTGTAGCTATACGAGCTTGTAATTGTTTTTGCATGTAAAATGAGCAACCTATTTTAGCTGATATAAACATCTAAAAGCCAGTTAGGATATGATGACTATTATGTCATCAGATCAATGAAACCTCCGGGAGGGTTACAATGGAATTTTTGAGTATGTAATATCAAAATAAAAAAATTGCCTTCCATAGTCAGGTTATAATGTCCAAATATCTATATTAACATCTAGTTGAAAATGAAAGATAAATTACTTAAAAATTCTTCTGTCAATCAATTACTGGCCAGCTGTTTCAAAGTTTTCATGCTTCTAGTATCAATAAATACAGAAAAGCTAGAGCTGGGCAAATAAAAATATACAAGTGAAGAGAACAGAATAAATGACTACTTACCAAGCTAAAATATAACCTTGTAAATGTCTTGTCAATTAGATATACTAACATAATCAGTTAAAACTAAATCCTTTTTGATTTTTAACATGATTTTTTTTTCTTTCTTTTTTTTCCATAAATTATGTTGGTATTGGCATCAGAAGTGGTTCTAAACAAAATTATTTCCTTGTTATTTCTGTATATTGCAAGAAAGTATAAACACATGGTAGTAATCTAGACTACATACAAGTCTTTTAAAGTTGGATTGTGTGGTCTCCATTAAATCTTTAAATTCATTTACTAAACATTACAAATTGATGTTTAGAATACAATTCTCTTCAGCACACGTGCATAGTTATTGACATATTCAAAATGCAACATTTACTCTTGCTGTTTGCAGAAACAAAAGGAATCCTGACCATTAAATTATTCAGCAAGTGTCAAACTACACTTAATGTTTACAAAAAAAAACCAACTTGAAAAAGTTTCTGTAACAAACGACTGTGATATCTATATTGAATTATTGCACTTTCAAACTACAGAAATTGAAACTATTTTTTTTACTATTTTTTCACTTACTACTGTCAGATCATTTAATCACAATTTACAAACATGCACAAACAATAAAAATGGATAAAAAATTTTTATGTGCAAGAACACTAATTTTTCAAAATTGTCGTTTATTTTTTTTTGATGACAAGGGTGTTCTAAATGCAAAGGAGACAGTGCGGACCTGTACGATTATAACAGGTAAAACATATAGAACTTGTGTGTGTTTTAATACAGTATATGAAGTAATAACTTGTTCTTTGTCATATAATGTACAGACTTGGATAAATAAATAAATATATGAACTATAACACAGGGCAGTGTCTATTGTCCTGAAAACAAAACTGCTCATCAAAAACTTTCACCAGAATAACACAGAATAAATCTCCATCCATATACATGTACAATTAAATAAATATAGAATCAACATATAATTCAACAACAATTTTGTGGTAACAATATAATATACTTTGTTAAATAAAGCAATGAGAAACAAGGTATTACAGATTCTGAGGGGTCACCAGGTATATTGACCCAGGCATGGTACTTTGTTCAAGACTTGAAAGTCATCATAAAATCTAGGGTAAAGATAACATCACTTCCAACAGACTACATCACTCAAACTACGGTAACGCAAACCTACATCACTTCCAACAGTCTACATCACTTAAACTAGGGTAACGTAAACCTACATCACTTCCAACAGTCTACATCACTCAAACTAGGGTAACGTAAACCTACATCACTTCCAACAGTCTACATCACTTAAACTAGGGTAACGTAAACCTACATCACTTCCAACAGACCTACATCACTTCCAACAGTCTACATCACTCAAACTAGGGTAACGTAAACCTACATCACTTCAAACAGTCCACGTCACTTAAACTAGGGTAAGTCTACATCACTTCCAACAGTCTACATCACTCAAACTAGGGTAAGGTAAACCTACATCACTTCCAACAGTCTACATCACTTAAACTAGGGTAACGTAAACCTACATCACTTCCAACAGTCTACATCACTCAAACTAGGGTAACGTAAACCTACATCACTTCCAACAGTCTACATCACTTAAACTAGGGTAAGGTAAACCTACACACTTCACTTCCAACAGACCTACATCACTTCCAACAGTCTACATCACTCAAACTAGGGTAACGTAAACCTACATCACTTCAAACAGTCCACGTCACTTAAACTAGGGTAAGGTAAACCTACATCACTTCCAACAGTCTACATCACTCAAACTAGGGTAACGTAAACCTACATCACTTCCAACAGTCTACATCACTCAAACTAGGGTAACGTAAACCTACATCACTTCCAACAGTCTACATCACTTAAACTAGGGTAACATAAACCTACATCACTTCCAACAGTCTACATCACTTAAACTAGGGTAACGTAAACCTACATCACTTCCAACAGACCTACATCACTTCCAACAGTCTACATCACTTAAACTAGGGTAACGTAAACCTACATCACTTCCAACAGTCTACATCACTTAAACTAGGGTAAGGTAAACCTACATCACTTCCAACAGTCTACATCATTTAAACTAGGGTAACGTAAACCTACATCACTTCCAACAGTCTACATCACTTAAACTAGGGTAACGTAAACCTACATCACTTCCAACAGTCTACATCACTTAAACTAGGGTAAGGTAAACCTACATCACTTCCAACAGTCCACATCACTCAAACTAGGGTAACGTAAACATACATCACTTCCAACAGTCCACATCACTCAAACTAGGGTAACGTAAACCTACATCACTTCCAACAGTCCACGTCACTTAAACTAGGGTAAGGTAAACCTACATCACTTCCAACAGTCTACATCACTCAAACTAGGGTAACGTAAACCTACATCACTTCCAACAGTCTACATCACTTAAACTAGGGTAAGGTAAACCTACATCACTTCCAACAGTCTACATCACTCAAACTAGAGTAACGTAAACCCACATCACTTCCAACAGTCTACATCACTTAAACTAGGGTAACGTAAACCTACATCACTTCCAACAGTCTACATCACTCAAACTAGGGTAAGGTAAACCTACATCACTTCCAACAGTCCACGTCACTTAAACTAGGGTAAGGTAAACCTACATCACTTCCAACAGACCTACATCACTTCCAACAGTCTACATCACTTCAACTAGGGTAAGGTAAACCTACATCACTTCCAACAGACCTACATCACTTCCAACAGTCTACATCACTTAAACTAGGGTAAGGTAAACCTACATCACTTCCAACAGACCTACATCACTTCCAACAGTCTACATCACTTAAACTAGGGTAAGGTAAACATACATCACTTCCAACAGACCTACATCACTTCCAACAGTCTACATCACTTAAACTAGGGTAAGGTAAACCTACATCACTTCCAACAGTCCACATCAATCAAACTAGGGTAAGGTAAACCTACATCACTTTCAACAGTCTACATCACTCAAACTAGGGTAACGTAAACCTACATCACTTCCAACAGTCTACGTCACTTAAACTAGGGAAAGGTAAACCTACATCACTCAAACTAGGGTAAGGTTAACCTACATCACTTCCAACAGTCTACATCACTTAAACTACGGTAACGTAAACCTACATCACTTCCAACAGTCTACATCACTCAAACTAGGGTAACGTAAACCTACATCACTTCCAAAAGTCTACATCACTTAAACTAGGGTAAGGTAAACCTACATCACTTCCAACAGTCTACATCACTTAAACTAGAGTAACGTTAACCTACATCACTTCCAACAGTCTACATCACTTAAACTAGAGTAACTTAAACCTACATCACTTCCAACAGTCCACATCACTTAAACTAGGGTAAGGTAAACCTACATCACTTCCAACAGTCTACATCACTCAACCTTGGATACAGTACATCTGCATCACTTCCACCTGTGTATATCACTCCAACTTTAAATCAAGCAAGCCAGCTTCCTGCAATCTCTAAACTAGCAGGCAAGTTTAATATTTGACCAATCATCAAGGTGATCTCCTTAGAACAAATTTTTGTAACAAAACTGTGAATGATCTATATCAAGTAGCCACACATCTACATGTCTGCAAAAGAACCTACATTTGTAAATCAATATTGTTCTTTTAATTAATCTTTATTTCCTTTTTTTCAAATTTAGCTTCTTTCTTTTAAATCCAAAATTTACAACATTTTACAGAATTTGTATCTAAAAATTCAATCTAAATTTTCAATGGCTACATTTCTGATATGCTATTTTTTATATAATATTGCCCTATATACTGTGTATGAGTTCAATGTTTGTTTTAAACATAAATGTGTACAGATTTTAAAAACTCCAACATTAATAAATCATTACTATCAAAACTACCCCAAAGATAATTACCATTTCACAAACATCACAAAAAATCTGAATACTTTCAATGTATAACAGAGTTCTGATTCACAAACTTGTAGACAACATGCACACCTACATCTGTACCAGTAACCATGGTAATCTACACCACAGTGACAGAGAGAACACACACACACATATATTTGTACATGTAAACGTTGTTACCAGTGAATGAGAAAGAGAACATATTTCAGTAACCCGTGGTTACCTCACAGCAGTGACAGAAAGAAGAAAGGAAGGAAAATTGATCAGATCCAATAACTAACACTAAACCCTAAATTCATTAACAGTGCTTCTGATAAAACAACTAATTAATGTTGTGTCTCACCATCAGAACATGCCTAGGTTATGATCAACCCACTACATTCTAAAATTAAAGGTCAACAAAGGTCACAAAGGTATGTTCCAATGATGAAGGTCAACAAGTTCCACAAGTGAAGTAGGTTTCAGTGATGAAGGTCAACAAAGTCGCTGGAGAAATCTAAAATGACTGCAATCAAGAGAAGTCATTCAAGAATTCTTGAGTCAACAAAGATACATTCAGAATTCATATGTGATAGAGGTCAAGAAACGTCACTCGTTTAACACAACAAACTGTTTAACAAGAGAGTCAACAGAGGTCACTGTTTCCTAGTGATTAACAAATGTTGTATCTGAAGTACATGTACTACTGGATACCAGAGGTCACTTCAGTACATGAAATATAAGTTCTAATACTATAGCACCTCCATGGTTCTGAGAGGCTGCGCTGTGTATCACTGGGATAAGTTCATTGTCAAGGTCATTCATGTAAACATCAGGTAACTTCTCTTCATTGGCACCTATCTCATACCCAACCTGCAACAGACAAAAAGTTATCGGTTTAATCAAATATATGTATTTTTCAGGGAAGAGGCAACTGATGCTATTCCAAATGGTTTTTAACTTCTTTTGGGCAATTTCACTTTAGACTGCCTCACACATCACAATCTCCTGCCTTCATTACTTCATTGGCAAACCAATAATAGACCTACCTTCTCTGCTTCGATGTTAACTCGTAGACCAATCTTTGTGAGAGAAGCATCATAAAGTGAGTCAAGATGTCGAGTTAAAGCTATACAACAGGCATTGGACAATGTCTCTGCTAATCGACTGAGATCTACCGGCTCCCACTTAGCTGAGCCTGAATCCTCATTTTGTATGAAGAACACATCAGTCCATCTGATGATGTAGGTTTCTCCTACATAGTCAGTTGCATTGGGAATATGGATACTTTCAATTCCGTCCATCAGCATGCTGTCTACAGGACTCTTTACTCTAGAAAAAAAGATAGTTGGGTCAATAGCCAGTAGTTTTTATATGATATCACTACCATACCAGTTAATGAATTTTGGGATAAATGTACCAATAAATCACATGTTAGGGAGAAACGAACTCCATAGAACAAAGATATAAACAACTCAAATATCCACAATTATACAATGTGATTAATTTGTATATAAGAAAGTATGTAATATAATTTTTACGAGAGCGTTGAATGTTATTCCCACAAGAAACTACTACTATTCTCACCCTATGTTGATGTTTTTATCGTCGTCAACCCACTGCATCATGACAACTTCATCTGGTGCAGGGTTTGTGATACTGCCACACTCTACTATATACTCGCGCATATCCTTCATGGCCTGTTTCAGGGCAACCATAGAGTCCGGTGTTATCTGTACCATCAGACCGTCTTCTACTATACTCGACTTTGCCCGCAAACCAGAACTTGTTTTCAGAGCACCATTAAACACCACAAAACTGGCTCCAGTTACTGTGAAATAATAAAATTTATAACAATGTAACATGTATATCAAATTACACTCTAACATGATGCTATATATTCATCTTACATATATAAACAATATTCAAATTCCACAATTAACATGCTATCCTGGTCTAGCAGACCTTAATTGTTAAAACCTTAAACCTTAAAGGGTAGGAAATACAAAATCTCTTACTTGAAGTGGCAGCCATTATAGATGTATTGTAGAGAACAGAAAATCTGTTACTTGAAATGGTAGCCATTACAAATATATAATCTAACATTTATAATGGTGGTCACTATAGATATACTGCCCCTGAAATCTATGGCCATTTATACTGAAATATAAAAATGTATAAAAAGTGTTTGCTACAGAAATATTTTAATGTATGACCATTCAGTATTATAGCCAGCATGAGAAGCCTACCTTTTCTGGGTTTGTTCTGTATGTTGATAGCTTGTGTCTGGTAATTTCCATCATCATTCTGTATACACACCAGATGGGAGTCGGCTTGAGAGCTGAAGCTGGCTCCAATGGCCATCACATGCTCATTACTGTTACTCACAACCTTCATAAGCTATCAAACAGAAAACATAATTATTGCTTTCCAAATGACAATTTTCATATCATCTTACAACCTTCATATCACCCTACATTCCTCATATCACCCTTCGGCTTTGACCTTCATAATCATCATATCACCCTACATTCCTCATATCATCCGTAGGCTTTGACCTTCATAATCATCATATCACCCTACATTCTTCACATCATACAACCTTCATATTGACCTATAACTTTCATTTCATCCGACAACCTTCATATCATGGTTGAAAAAAGGTTTATAATCTGATAATACAGATGACTTACATCTTCATATCTGTTCCTGGGAAAGTTCATGATTGTCTTCTTATCCTCCATGTGAATAGTGACTCCTTTGATCTGAGGCAACATGTACTGAAAGTTCCGGAAATCTGCCAGAAGATTCATGATTGTGTGACCTATTTCAAAAAACACTGGCTTCCTGTTGCGAACACTAATCAGAGGACATGGATAATCTGAAAAAAAACCACAATATTTTATTTTTTTTTTTCGATTGAAAATAAAATGAAACAAGAATTGTTTCAGTAAATTCCTTGGAAAACTACTTCAAGAGTATAACAATGACTGAATCATTTTAAGGTGTATGTGTCCTACATGAAACCTAGATCTTATATAGCAGAAATAAGCGCCTTTCTGATACATTCATACAGAGTTTCAAAGACAAGAAAAAGGATAAATAAGAAAGGGAACCACTGTTCTATGCAGTATTGGATAGGAACCTATACTTTTAAGGAGACAGTAGTTATTGGAAATATTAAGTAAAGAATTATTGTATTTTTAACGGAGTGATGACTCATCTGGAGGTTTTTTGAGATTTCACAGTAGAACTTACATCTGTACTCAGCACCAAGTCGTAGCAACAATCTGATGGGAAAGACCTTGGCCCAGGGGGTCTCCCACTTCTGTAATAGTATCCCAAACACGTATGGTGGCTTTGGTAGTATGAGTTTGTGTAGACACTGGAACGTCGGGTATATATACAACATCCCACCATGGTCACGGCTATTTAGGAAACTCTGGTTAAATATCGTGTGGCCCATGTCTGAGACAGTGTTACCTATAATGAAATATTTATGAATCACTGTGACAACTGTTGAGCACCAAAAAAAAAAAAGTCATTTAACCAGTATCATAAGTTGGTTATCCATTCAAATATAAGCCATTCTACACTTGATATCTTATATTTTTGTTCAATTGAACCCATAACAGCATCATTGATTATTGATAATCTTCGATCAACATTCAATTTTCCGCAAACACTCCACACTTACCTTTGCCTGCCTCCTCATACATGGTCTGAAAATGACAAAGAATATCCCGGGGAAGTGTGTCTTCATCAGGGAGGACCTCCAGGACAATGACAATCTCATCTTGTCCAACAGTACACATCCCTCTAGTGGTTAAACACCAACATGTCCTGTTGACACAGCAGTCCACTGAAAAACAAAGGTCATAACACAGAGGTCGTTATACAAGGGCCACGACATAAGGTCAAAATACAAGGGCCAAAACACAAAGGTCAATACACAAGGGTCATAACATAAATTTTACAGCACTACATCAGAATGTGTTGAATATAAGACCTAAGACAGGGTCAAACCCAGGATACATCTCATGATCTTTAAAACATAAAGACTTTGTTTATATTTGTCTATATTTAATATATATAGATTTTGTATATGTCCATTACTTCCCTCATAATGTATTACCACTGGTGAAATTGGAAATGTTTTTTAAAATTTAATGGCTCAGAACTTGTCTTGTACATAAAAACTAAAATTCATATGTTCATCATCTTTTTCAGATAAACTTACATGTGACGATTTTGACGAGAACTGACAGATTAGAATTGACAGCGAAAATCACAGGTTCTGCTTCTTCATCTGTTGTAAAATTAAAAGACAGCTTGTTATTTATTATATTTACTGAGCTATCAGACCAAGGAAACAATTAATCTGTAGATCAATATTTGAAAATTCAGTAAATTCAGTTACACAGAAAAGCATGCTTTGTTATAACTATCTACCTTGACTTTGTGTTAAGTATTCAGCCATGTTAGGGTGTTATATTTGCTTACCTTTGATTTGTGTTAAGTATTTAGCCATGTCAGGGTGTTATATTTGCTTACCTTTGATTTGTGTTAAGTATTCAGCCATGTCAGGGTGTTATATTTGCTTACCTTTGATTTATGTTAAGTATTCAGCCATGTCTGGGTGTTATATTTGCTTACCTTTAATTTGTGTTAAGTATTCAGCCATGTCAGGGTGTTATATTTGCTTACCTTTAATTTGTGTTAAGTATTCAGCCATGTCAGGGTGTTATATTTTCAGCCATGTCAGGGTGTTATATTTGCTTACCTTTGATTTGTGTTAAGTATTCAGCCATGTCAGGGTGTTATATTTGCTTACCTTTGATTTGTGTTAAGTATTCAGCCATGTCTGGGTGTTATATTTGCTTACCTTTGATTTGTGTTAAGTATTCAGCCATGTCAGGGTGTTCATCCATTGCATTATCTATGAAGTAAACATTATACAATTTTATCTCCTCCATAAATACTAACTTCCACAAAATGTAATGTCATATGATTACATAATTTCTATGCATTATTGAGTCTGAATTTTGTAAAGAGATATGAATTGAGATTTTTGATTTCTTGAACTGCAAAATTAACAGTAATTATATGTCTCATCTTTTCCTCTTTGATAGTACTGTAATTTTAAAGCTAAATGCAGAGTACACCCCCATCCCAACCTCCCAAACAATAACAAATTTCCCAGTTATTTTTATTTCATATTATCATAACATGCAAATGTCACATTGTTGTCAAGTTTAAATGAAAATTTAGTTGATTCTTTAATTCTTAACTACATTCAGTTTGTAATTTTTACCCCCAAAATATCATTTTTCCTGAGAAGGGTAACGAAACCTCCTCCGATATCTTGTTTCAAAATGACAATAAATTGTCATTTTATAACAATATATTATATTAATTATATATTATAATAATAATTTGAAGTAAATAGACAAAGCTATATATAGACTTTGCTGTCATTTCTCACAATTGATGTTTTTATCCAAATATACACCAATTATGTAATTTGTGTGATTTATTTTGTGAGTTCAGATGTCCATAATGTAATGTTACTATATTCCTGGTTTGATTGAAATAACACTCTGCTCTACCACAAAACGTTTAATCCCATCTTCTCAAATTGCTGTACTGTAAACTCTGAATGATATTTTGTAAACACTGGATGTATGGAGGTATCCACCATGTGATTTAGCTATATATACAAAAAATTGTTTCTGTTTTGAGCAGCAGATTTAAACACTTTAAAATGAAGAATTGAATAAGACAATGTTCTGCCATCACTAGAAAGGTAACCCCACTCGTCTCTCTTCAACAACTCTTCAATGCAGACAAGATTAAAATACAAGTGGTATTTTTCATTAATTAAGGAACAAAGAACATCCATAACATTTCCCTACGTCTCACCTGTTTTGGTTAATATTACAGGAGGTAGACCGCTTTCTGGTATCAAACATTTATTTCTCCGTGCTTCAGAATGACGAGACTTTCTACTGTTTGATCTTGCAGAATCTGTAAGAATTCAATCACCATTCATATATATTAAATGTTGTATCAAAAAACTGAAAATTTAAATATAATGGTGATACCAAATAAAAAACCATAAAAAATTATTCAGTTTGGGTTACACATCGAAAATTGTTGCAATAAAATTACACTTTTTGAAATTTCATATTTGATTATAAAGACAATGTTCAAAGGAAATTTTTGAGAAAATGTTATTGCTGATGATCAAGTTTTAACAAATCCTTTAAACATGGAGGTTTACAAGTAGACAAAAGGGGCAGAAAAGGCAGAGAGAAGAGCATATAATTCATGTCATACGAAGACTGAACACAAGATTATAGTACTGTCTCACATATTCCTTTGGTAAGAACACTAATTTACAACAGACACAAACAAAAGAAGTTGTTATGTGTATCTTTAAACCCAATTTCTAAGGAAGGATCCATGATAAAGTCCAACTGACCTGGGGAACCTCTATCTACACGTTTTTGGGCCCTACTTGTTCGGCGTGGCGGCAGTTTATTTGCAGCATCTGAACCATCCAGTTCAGTCAGATCACCACCAGGTCGAATGCCATCAGAGAACATCACCTGCTTTGGCTCGGATCTTTTGGAGCTCCCTAATGACATGGTAACCAACAGGTAACATAAATAATATATCCCATTCCTGTTAAATTTTCACACATACACACACAATGAATGATATTGTATCTAAATCTCTTATACCATTTTAAAATGAACATACAGTGTATGTGTACACTTACAAGTGTCACCTGCACCCAGAGGCATCAAAAAGAGTCTATTCAGTTTACAACATGTGATTTATGTAAGGTTATCTATAAAGGATAGAGTAACAATTCATATAATGCGTTTTAATTGCACTTAGCTTAGCAACACAATGTATACAAAAACAACATACAAAATTTACAGGTACCTTACATATACCATCAATATTATACTAGTATATAACTATAATAATTTCTGTACAAAATATGGGCCTCCTATACCCAGCCATGTACAGTGTAGTCTTGACATCATGTTTTAATTCAGAAGCAGCAGATGGTTATACAGCACCAAAGCAAGATAACATGCAAGTCTAGTATTACTTAGCATAGCATTGATCTACAGCTTCAATTCATTATTAAGCAAATACAATAATATTAATTAGAACATCCCAATCAGTTTTTGCGGGGGAATTGTTTCAACCTATTTCAGCTTCATTTCCTGAGAAACTGAAAGTATACTGATACAAGAAGCATAACAAGAGTGGTTTTATCTCAGACTGCAGCTTTTTATATAAAATCTGGGTCCAATCTACGCGTATAATATACATTTTTGTATTAGTTTTATGTTACAACATATAACAATAGCACCAAGGCCTTCCTCTCACACTCATTAAATGCAGAATAATATACATGACTCATGATTCCATTTATTTTTAAACAATTCCTAAATATCCCTCTCTTTATTTGATTGCAAATTTTATTATAATTTCCAACGCCATATGACAAATATTGATTACACAGCAAATCAGCTTGAGGAGTATATTGTACATATACATATATTATACAGGAAAGACAGCATGCTATAGTAAGTACAACCACCTAGATTATTCTCTATACTTTAAATGTGTCGGTCAACCCCATCAAAACAAATTTAAACCAAAATTTAATGAGAAGCATTAATCATAATAACATACAACCGAAATATTTGAAATGGGTGATCTTCAGTTAAAATTGATATTTGTTGCCACAACATACTGAGGAATCAATAAAATGACATGTGACTCACCCTCTCTCTTTAACACCCCCACGGGTACCATGACTGTGGGAGGGGGTGATCGGGAGGACACCTGCTGAGTGGGAGGAATGGTAGAGCAGTATTCGCTGGGGTTATTGGGATTGGGACTGCGGCCTGTTCCACTGGTAATTTCCGCTGAGGAACCAAGCAGAAAGCTCAAATCAAAGCCATATCTAGCAACAGCAGCAGAAGAAACACAAGAATTTGTTCAGTTATATGGACAAGTCAAATTATGCATTTAGGACATTCCATTTGTCATAATGCAAGAGCTGAAGTGAAAGTCAGAGAAAATAAAGACATAATTAGATTTACTTCTACTTAGTATGACAGGCAGACAGACAGCATTCGGTGTTTGTTATATCACTGACATACTTTTATCTCATAATGTTTTAGTTATCATTTACAAACTATGTATTTCTCCATCAATCTTACAGGGTTCCAGTGACCACACCCCATAATGGAGGAAATGGGGGGAAATCTAACATACAAAACAATAACAGCATACTTTATTTATGTGTTTTCCTGTCAATGTTAATAGCTGGATTTAGAATCATACAGGTCTGCAGTTTTATTTGTGCTGTTTTTTTAATTTAGAAATTTTTCTTTCGAAAATTATAATTTTTTTCTTACATGTAAAAAGAAGAATGGACACTTTTGGACCTATCATGCTTAATCTCTTTACGACATACACATACTGGGTAACATCTGGTTGAAATATTAAACTACAATATGAATGATATGATCTCCGTCTTTGTCAGATGCCAAGAACTTAGTCATCTTATTCAGTTCTCAATTGGTAGGACGAGAACATAGGTCAGGAGTTCTTGAAAAGAAATTCTATATCACACTCAGTCAGAACATCATGTCTGATGTTTCAAGGACCTGTGAATCTATAACCATCTTGTACACTGCATACGTTAGTGCAAATACACTAAACACAGGTCATTTGTCTAATGAAGGTTGACAGTGTCGTCATTGAAATGTCAAAAACCTAATTTTCTAACTGGTTTGATATTTAAGAAAATGTTCTGTGGACATGAATTCTTTTTAAAAAATTAGAAAAATGGAAAAATAGAAAGCATCTAAATTATAAAATTTAGGATTGTATACTGAAATACACACCATTATGCCAGATTAATTTCCACTTTAAGGAAAAGACTAGATCACATCTGTGCGCCTGTAATACTCATACCGAAATGTAAATCTGGTGCATAGTTTGAAAATTTGCTATAACTAGTAATGGTGACATTGACCTTGACATTGAAACCCTCAAATGCGGAGTCCTCCATGGTATTTTCATACTTGAACTTTAATAAATAATGGGAGATACAATACATATAAAATTTTACAGTAGTCTCCCCGAGTGGACCGGTAATGGGTTCAATAGGGTTTCTTATCAATAAAATATTACTGATACAATACAGAAATCTTGACAAGTTTCAGTCATCATCAGGTCTTCAAAGTGGTCAAATCAATTACAACAGACCTCCTTAGTGTGTAGAGATTCCTTAATTCTTTCTTTGATCTTTTTTACATGAATTTTTAAAACATCAAGTTGAATTATTTTTGTCTGCTTTATATGTGAAGTTCTTTATCATTCAATACACTTTTCAAGCAAAATACTAAGTAAAAAATGTCTATTTGTACATGTACGTCCTCTGCCAAAATCAGTGATGAGTTCTAATGGAAACTGCCTTGGTACACCTGATATACCGAATCACTTTCAAAAATTGAAAAGTGCAGTTGTTCCTTTTAATACTTTTTTCCCCAACAATATGTTTCATTGGTATTGGAGAAATATCTTTCTTAATTCTCTAAGCAATCTAATTTTTAAAAGATCTTAATCTAATGTATTATACTCTAGCTTATACAAAGAAATAGATTAGTACATAAAGGCAAAACTAACTCAAACCAAGTGCAAACAAAAACAAAGAAGAGAGATATCCACCACCTCAAACATGCACTGACACATATGTTATTGTGGACCCTACAGCTACATCTACACTGACACATATGTTATTGTGGACCCTACAGCTACATCTACACTGACACATATGATATTGTGGACCCTACAGCTACATCTACACTGACACATACATTATTGTGGACCCTACAGCTACATCTACACTGACACATATGTTACTGTGGACCCTACAGCTACATCTACACTGACACATATGTTACTGTGGACCCTACAGCTACATCTACACTGACACATATGTTACTGTGGACCCTACAGCTACATCTACACTGACACATATGTTATTGTGGACCCTACAGCTACATCTACACTGACACATATGTTATTGTGGACCCTACAGCTACATCTACACTGACACATATGTTATTGTGGACCCTACAGCTACATCTACACTGACACATATGTTATTGTGGACCCTACAGCTACATCTACACTGACACATATGTTATTGTGGACCCTACAGCTACATCTACACTGACACATATGTTATTGTGGACCCTACAGCTACATCTACACTGACACATATGTTATTGTGGACCCTACAGCTACATCTACACTGACACATATGTTATTGTGGACCCTTCAGCTACATCTACACTGACACATATGTTATTGTGGACCCTACAGCTACATCTACACTGACACATATGTTATTGTGGACCCTACAGCTACATCTACACTGACACTTATGTTACTGTGGACCCTACAGCTACATCTACACTGACACATATGTTACTGTGGACCCTACAGCTACATCTACACTGACACATATGTTATTGTGGACCCTACAGCTACATCTACACTGACACATATGTTACTGTGGACCCTACAGCTACATCTACACTGACACATATGTTACTGTGGACCCTACAGCTACATCTACACTGACACATATGTTACTGTGGACCCTACAGCTACATCTACACTGACACATATGTTATTGTGGACCCTACAGCTACATCTACACTGACACATATGTTATTGTGGACCCTACAGCTACATTTACACTGACACATATGTTATTGTGGACCCTACAGCTACATTTACATTGACACATATGTTATTGTGGACCCTACAGCTACATCTACACTGACACATATGTTACTGTGGACCCTACAGCTACATTTACACTGACATATATGTTATTGTGGACCCTACAGCTACATCTACACTGACACTTATGTTACTGTGGACCCTACAGCTACATCTACACTGACACATATGTTACTGTGGACCCTACAGCTACATCTACACTGACACATATGATATTGTGGACCCTACAGCTACATCTACACTGACACATATGTTATTGTGGACCCTACAGCTACATCTACACTGACACATATGTTACTGTGGACCCTACAGCTACATCTACACTGACACATATGTTATTGTGGACCCTACAGCTACATCTACACTGACACATATGTTATTGTGGACCCTACAGCTACATCTACACTGACACATATGTTATTGTGGACCCTACAGCTACATCTACACTGACACATATGTTATTGTGGACCCTACAGCTACATCTACACTGACACATATGTTACTGTGGACCCTACAGCTACATCTACACTGACACATATGTTACTGTGGACCCTACAGCTACATCTACACTGACACATATGTTACTGTGGACCCTACAGCTACATCTACACTGACACATATGTTACTGTGGACCCTACAGCTACATCTACACTGACACATATGTTACTGTGGACCCTACAGCTACATCTACACTGACACATATGTTACTGTGGACCCTACAGCTACATCTACACTGACACATATGTTACTATGGACCCTACAGCTACATCTACACTGACACATATGTTACTGTGGACCCTACAGCTACATCTACACTGACACATATGTTACTGTGGACCCTACAGCTACATCTACACTGACACATATGTTACTGTGGACCCTACAGCTACATCTACACTGACACATATGTTATTGTGGACCCTACAGCTACATCTACACTGACACATATGTTATTGTGGACCCTACAGCTACATCTACACTGACACATATGTTATTGTGGACCCTACAGCTACATCTACACTGACACATATGTTATTGTGGACCCTATAGCTACATCTACACTGACACATATGTTATTGTCGACCCTACAGCTACATCTACACTGACACATATGTCATTGTGGACCCTACAGCTACATTTACACTGACACATATGTTATTGTGGACCCTATAGCTACATCTACACTGACACATATGTTGTTGTGGACCCTACAGCTACATCTACACTGACACATATGTTATTGTGGACCCTACAGCTACATTTACACTGACACATATGTTACTGTGGACCCTACAGCTACATCTACACTGACACATATAATATTGTGGACCCTACAGCTACAACTACACTGACACATATGTCATTGTGAACCCTACAGCTACATCTACACTGACACATATGTTACTGTGGACCCTATAGCTACATTTACACTGACACATATGTTACTGTGGACCCTACAGCTACATCTACACTGACACATATGTTATTGTGGACCCTACAGCTACATCTACACTGACACATATGTTTTTGTGGACCCTACAGCTACATCTACACTGACACATATGTTATTGTGGACCCTACAGCTACATCTACACTGACACATATGTTATTGTGGATGGGGGATTCAGGGTACTAGTATTGGGCCTTTAGAAGGAGGAATAAGGATACTAGTATTGGGCCTTTAGAAGGACGAGTAAGGGTTGTGTTATTGGGCCTTTAGATGGAGGAATAAGGATACTAGTATTGGGTCTTTAGAAGGAGGAATAAGGAGACTAGTATTGGGACTTTAGATGGAGGACAAAGGATGGAGTTAATGGGTCTTTAGAAGGAGGAATAAGGATAATAGAATTGGGCCTCTAGATGGAGGAATAAGGGTACTAGTATTGGGTCTTTAGATGGAGGACAAAGGATGGTGGGTAATGGGCCTTTAGAAGGAGGAATAAGGATACTAGTATTGGGCCTTTAGAAGGAGGAATAAGGATACTAGTATTGGGCCTTTAGAAGGAGGAATAAGGATACTAGTATTGGGCCTTTAGAAGGAGGAGTAAGGATACTAGTATTGGGTCTTTAGATGGAGGACAAAGGATGGTGTTAATGGGCCTTTAGAAGGAGGAATAAGGATACTAATATTGGGCTTTTAGAAGGAGGAATAGGGATACTCTTTAGATGGAGGAATAAGGGTTGTTTTATTAGAAGGAGGAAGGGGGGATACTATTATAAGACCTTTACTTTGAGGAATAAAAATACTATCATTGGGTCTTTAAATGGAGGAATGAGGAATTATTTTAATACCAACAGTGCTTTAATTGAATCTAAACCTGAAGGATAACATTTAGTAGTTGAATGAGGCTATTGGTACCTATTGGTATCTAATGGTAGCGATGAACAGAGAGGTTGGATGAAGTACTATGACTGTACCTGAGAGTAACTTTATATGTGGTTAGAACTGTATATATAAATATATGTATACCTATTGCAAGTTGCTGATGACATGACAGACACACTCTTGCTTCTTTGTTTTCCATGTATTCCAGTCGACTTCGCAGATTACAGCATGTTGAGCAAAACACCTGAAATACCAAACACAGTTTGTTAATTCAGAGGTAGTGCGGATACATTCTATGTACATATATCTAATATCTCCTTTCCTGGTATATATACCAGTAACAAGTTAGTATTGTTTATTCATTAAGTTGTTTATTTGCTAGACTCAAAGTTCCTAGAGAGCTAAAACATAAGGGATATCAATATCATTTTGAAATCATTACTCCTGGTCGATGAGTCAACTTTCTGTTTCAACTGGCTCATGTTGTCATTACATCTCCATTTGTGAAAAAACTAAACTAAGTAAGTTTAATCACACCTCATACTTGGAAACATACCTGGATTATTTTTGATATTTTATTTTATTGCCTTTTAAGACCTTTTGGTATCCAAACCCAACATGCAGTGTCCCACTTATCAACCAACTCACTCTGAACTGACACAACGATTCTTACTTAACTTTTGTTAATTCACAAGCAAAAGTAGCACTCTGACCATTGTCAACAAATTCAGAATAAAATCAGCTAGTAATTTTCTATTTTATGTGAACTATGGATTAGTAATGTCAATTATTTGTGGCCTCATTTTCACGCTATTTCAAAGTCACTCTGAGCCAATGTTGTCAGTTACAATTGCATCCCAAGCTTCCTATGCAATTTAGGAACTTGTATAATGTGGTCATATTTAATAGTACATGATTTCAACTGATCATGACCAATGGAATTTTCAACGAATAAAAAATTTTATGAAGCAGTTAAACCATTACCTTGACATTAACATTTTTTCTCACTTGTCCAGACAAGTGGATTTAAAAACCACTTGACTGATTAAGGTAGTATCAGATTTCATTTCCAAAACAACAATGTCCAGTTGAACAAGTGCATGTAATGACATACTTGTGCAACAGTTTTGTACTGGTACGGTCAAGTCAGAAAAGAGTTGATTTCAAATCCTGGTAATAATTTATCAACATTGTTTTTTGTAGGAGGTTTCTAGGAAAACTACATTTTCAAACTTTAGAAAAGTCCTATCATTAAGAGAGTGTAGAGGAGTCTAACAGAAAAAGTGAAAAAAAATCCATTTTTCTTAACAACTCATGAAATCAAGAAACATTATAAGAAGACTGATATTCTTGGTTCAATTCTGTGAGCACAGAGAAATATCAGACATATTCATCAAGAATTTAAAAACAAAATGTCAAAATACAAACTCACCTTTCCACAAGCACGGCAATGATGTCGCCTCTTTGTGAAGGTGAACTTGGCCTCACAACCCATACACAAGGGTGCTTCTGCATCAGGAATCCATCTTGGAGCCACCTTACCCAGCGCATTTTCTGTTTGGGTGGCTGACGGCTCAGCATCCATTGTTGGCATGCTTTCCTCAGGGGCATTTCCAACTGCCCCGTTCATCTCATCCGGGCTCTCCTCTGGTTCTGAAATCAGAAAATTAAATCAATTTAGTATTGATTTTCAGTAAGGAATTTAGTCATTCAATTTAAATATGTAGACAAGATATGTTTAATGTTTATATACTATATAATTGTTTGATAATATGGGACTAATAATTCATGTCTCAATTTGGCCGGTTCACAGGTATTGAAATTCCCTTCTTAACAACAGTGCATGATAAAGGCAATAATGCTGCTATATTACCCAATACATTCAAATGTAACTGGGAGTCATTATCTATAGCAAATATGTCTGCAAAATATATAATCAATGACTTGTTATTTTTTCATCAATTTATGTTTACATGTTTTCATCAAGTTATGTCTATATACAATCATGGAAGTGACTTATGTCTATGACATGATTCCTTGTTTCACGGTAAAACAAATGGACCATTTCAGCCAGTTGTAAAGTATGATATAAAATGCAGCATAACGTATCTATGTCTATCATAATTTTTTTCTTGTATGTGAAATTATTCTCAACACAAATCATAAACATTCATGGAATTTATGCTGAAGGAAATTAATTTGTTGTACTTTTTGTAACGGGAAATGCAAAATCTCACAACATAACATGCTTTGAAGTATAGAACACTTAAATAAAATGCCTTCATAATTACTACTATTATGCAATACAAAGCAGGAGACTGACAACTTGTACCTTTTGGTGTTGGTTCTGTTCTAGCTTCTTGGACATCAGCTTCAGGTGTTTCCATGGATTCTGGTGTGGCTGTTTCAACACTGGGTGCCTGATAAGGAAATCTAAAAGGTGCTTGTGTCCTCTCAGAGTTACCCACAACCATGTCACCTCGGGACGGGAGATTTAAACTGTTAGGACGTTTTTGTGGAGGGGGCACTGCCAATGTAGGTCCTGCAGGGCTCCAAGAACTAGGTCGCTGTGACTCATTAACATAGGGAGGGGGATCATGTGACCTCAGCATTACAGGAGCATCTTCCATATCCACATCCCCAGCCTCTACCTCTGTCAGTGTGTGAGAGGATGCATCAGTCACTGTGTCCCCCACCTCTACACCCTCATCATCACAAAGGTTCACAGTGGCAGTTTGCAGTTTGTCATCACCATCCGATTGACACTTGCTTGCTTGTATACATTGAATTGTTTGGCTGTTGGTAAGATCCTGGGAAACACCTTCATTTGTCTCACAAACTTCCCTATTCTCCTGAGGACTAGCAACCTCAACCAATTCTTTTGAGATATCTGATGGTGCCTCAAAAGGAACTACAGACAACCCCCGAAGACTGTTTGGTCGAGTAAGTTCCTTGGGACGTGCACCTTCCCCAAATGATGATATTGAGCTCCCTTCTGGAGAAGTCTGTTCATCAAGAGCAATGTAATTTTGTATGGCAGTACTGGGTGAAGTGAGTCCTGTGTCTGCCTGAGGGGGGTACATATCAACCACAGGCGAATCAATGATCCCTACCTCTCCTGGCATATCCTCATGTTTACTGTTCAAGATTTGTTCACCAGCAGCTTCTGGTTTTGATGTTTTATTTGCAAGTGCGTTTACCAAATCAAAATTTTTTGCATAACCTCTCTCGTTCAATATGTTTGCATGGTCAGGACTCATGATAGCCACTCCTGACTGTTGGTCATCACTGGTGACCACTGATCCTGGGTCACACTGCATATCACTTAAGTAAGTGTTAATGTCACTCTCTGTCATGTCGCTGTCTACCTCACCAAAACCAACCACACTATCACTGGCATCTGTAACCATTCCTCCGGAAGTTCCCGCCACACTGCCAGATATTGTGGGAACATCCCTCCCTACACCTTCACATTGCATTGTGGCCTCTGCTGGGTTTACATCATTTGAGTCACTCCCAGCTACTAACCCATTGGTTGCCCTCTCATTGTCCATTTGCATTGAATTGGGATTATGACAATGACTTGGAGACAAAGCAGAACCACTTAAGTCCTTCGTGACAACATCTGTGACAGATGAGGTTTCATTCTGACTTGATAAAGATGACACTTGTGAATCGGTTGTATCCATTTCATTACGACCGATTAGACTCTCCTCCTCCTCATCCATGGGACTTCCATTCATCAGAGGCTTGTCACATCTACCATTAAGAACAAGACTGTTACTCTTGCTCTCATCTAAATGATTTGATAGGTTTCCATTAATTTCATTATTATCTGTTGGCACCACAGGTTCAAACTGCTTATTTTCCACAACTGGTGTGAACCTGTCCACTACTTGTATTGGGTATTTACAGTTTGTGTTATCTGCCACCAATATTGTTGTCTGTCCTCCTTTAATCGGAGAGTGTAAATCAGAACTCAGTTGTTCCTTCGATATTAACTGATCTTCTGTCACTTTTGTAGAAATGATTCCTGTTGTGTCCACAACCACATCATTGCGTTTACAACTTAAATCTATTGTACCAGAATAATTATTGATGACATTAGAATTACTGATGGCAGAATAAGAATTAAACTGTCTGGATTCTCCATCAACATTATGATCTAATTTTCCATTGTCCTGATGACCTGCAGTTACAGCTTTAAGCAAGTTCTCTTGCTTTTGAATAGCATTTTGAACATCTTTGGTAAAATTATCATAGATATCTTCCACCTTTGTATCTAGAGGTCCTGTATATGTACTGTTTCCATTTTTTCCCACAGACGGTGCAAAGTCAGCCTCAGACAGGTCAAATGTTTCTGCGGGAATGTAGGGTACATCGTAAACAGCTGTGGAGCACTTTTCATCCTCAGAGCTGTAAGATGTCCATGTGGTGTTAGTACTGATTGGTACATGACTGATTTCGTCCCAAGGTCGATCATCATTAGCGTTGATGTATTCAGAATAGTCTGTAGGGGAACCGCGCAGGATCTGCGAGGATTCTTTTTCTGAAAAAGAAATTGGTTACAAAATAAAACCTGTGGTAAAATTGTTTGTATTGTTTTACAGCCCATCAATAATTCGAGTCATCAAGAGCCAAAAGATATCTAGATCTACGGATTAGACTATAGTAAATCGTATAACAAAATTAGCTAATGAAAAATACAATAAATTTTGCTTTGATAAGGATGATCCATTTTCAGCATTCAGATTTTTTGAAGATGATAATTCTTTTCAATTTAAATGACTGTAAAATTATACATGTACCAAGTATTTTATGATTCAGTAGATACATTTGTAAGCTAACATATGACAGATTAAAATGATGTTCTGTCTAAATGTATTACACATGTAGTCCCTGATTTAGAACTCCCTACCTTCTGCTTCAAAGTCGTCCAACACTTTGTCAAGGTCCACAATGAGACTGTCCATCATGTATCACAACATCATCCCAATGTATCTGTAATTATATATATATAGCATATAATTTTTTTGCTGTTTAAATTGAAGATAATTCTTTCTTTTAAACTTAAACTAGTGCTTCAAATGTATTTGTAACTAAATAAACATTTCATTTGCATCAGTTTTATTATTTTAGTATTTTAAATTGACCTTTTATGTCTTTGAATTAAAAATAAAAACCATTTCAATTCATTGCCTGTTTTAATTACAGTTTTTTATTATTAACATTAATGACATGTCAATCCTAGTTACACTCCACAATGATATACAGACTGTACTAATATGAATTAAAAGTGCAACCATCATAAAGAGATAAACACCTACAAATAATGAAATGTGAAATTCACTAACACATAAATAATCTCAGTTGTAATTGACAATCACATATCCTAATGCATTCAAGATGTAAAACAACATTCGATTGATTAATGAAATATTTTGCAACGTATAACCATGATGTATACCATCCACAAATTTCTCATTTGCATGTCTAGCCTGGATGAATATTGCTTTTATATATTCATCCAATACATTTCCCTCATCAATGAAGCTATCATTGGGTCACATTTCACCTTGTCGTACTAAAGACAGCAGGTTAAATGGGAAGAGCAGGAGTAACTGCTTAAGGTGACAGAGCAAGGATGGTCTTACCTGGTACTACTAAGGTTACCTGCCTTGTACTTTGAACTGAATTTCCCTACCCCAGGGCTGCTTCTCATGGAAAGTTAGAATCATAAATAAGCAAATTCTCTTTTGAAATTTGACAGAGATCATTTGTTGAGAATTATATCATGAAACACCTTTAGCTCTTAAGAGAGCAAAGAAATTATTAGTAGTTAGAAAAATTTATGTGATACTTTTCGTATAATATTGTATTACATGTAATAATAGACCAATAATAATAATAATAATAATAATAATAATAATAATAGGATGCAGTAATAGGTTCTTGTCTATTTTCTTGATAAGTGAAGGAGTGTATTTTACATAACAATGGCTAATCCAAGTGAGCAGGGACTCGACTAGATTTATACATATAACTCTCCTCCCAGACTTTTTTTTCCCATTTTAACTAAATGTGTTGAGCAGTTCTTGAGATATCTTGTTTTCAAGCTTTTTATTTCAAAAGTGGTAAAGCTAAAGGTGATCTTTGACCTTTAACACTGACTGGTGACTACCAAAGTATAATAAAGTGTAGAACATAATGTTGTGTTGCTATGGTGTTGATATGTATGTAAACTAAGTCTGTTTTGGGGTTCACAATATATTTTGTATACATATTCTTATTTTTAAAAGTGGTCAAGGGGGATCTTTGACCTGTAACACTGTATGGTGACCACTCAAATCTTATCAGGTGTAATACTTGAATACTTTAATGTCTGATATGGTGTAAATTTGAACTAGATATGTCAAGGAGCTTATGTGATATCTTGTACACAAGCTTTGAATGGAAGATAAGACAAAGATAAGACAAAGTAATAACTATATATCCAGCAAAGTAAGTACAGGGCATAATACAATGTAACTGTATAAGGTGTATACATGTTTGAGAGTAGGGGTTGGGGTTGGGATGGAGGTATGCTTGACTTTAAAAAGCAAAAGCAAAAGGACTGATCGATGGGCCCGCATCCCTCACCTGGTATTCAATGTTCAAAAATACAATCAGTGTTCATATAAAAAATATATTGAAATGTACACCATTAACATTCAAAGTGGGCACATCCAATCAATTTCTGACAGGCACCTTAATATTTGGAATCCTAATGAGCTTTTGCATTTGTAGTCTATTGCATTTACATACTGCCATATTTGTCATTCAGTTCGCATCTGCTTACATATAATCTTGTTGTAAAATAAAGCATGTCGTGGTATCAAAGTCTGTACTAAATATACCTGATCAATAATATCAGAAAGTATCAATTTCAAGAAGAAAAAAATTGTGTACTTAATATTGTGACTCATTTGTCATATGAAGAGTTAATATTTGAACAAACAATTAAAACATAATGAAATAAGACCTTTATATCAAAATGGATTGAATGCAGTTGCAGACAAAGCACACATTTTTTTTTTATTTAATGATCTAGTAATATCAAACTCTTAAATAAAAGAAGCCTATTATAAACAAAACATCCATAATCATTTCACTTGTTTTCAATAATCTATGTAATATGATCAATAAATACAATTAAAAAACAGATCTGCAGTCTGAGATATCCTAAAGGTAATTAAGATTACTGCCATTCATAGTTTACATATCATTTCTATGTTGTTGGTTTCACATCTGTCGTTTCACAATCAGCGATTTGACATGGAATTTTTCGTCCGGATTGGATGTAATGTGGTCAAATCTTGTCAAAAGTATTTCTTATTTCAAGAAATAAAATCATACATACCATATAACCCCGTTCTATCCGACATAACTGTACAGAAATGGTAGTTATTCTCCTCAAACAGGATGGACGTCCATCAGGGATGATCTCATCTTATATTGATGCAGACAGCAAGGTCAAGGTAATTTTACAATCACATGACCTAAAACGGAAACGGAAGCGATCAAACTGAAAGTAGAAATGTGGTCTCGTTGCTGTATGTTTTTACGAACTCGTTTTGTTATTTCACAACAACGGGACATATGTGTGACCTCGCTCAAATCATCAACATTTTCAAGACCGAGAAAACATAAAATGGCCGGTGCAACAGGAAATCTTAAACCCCAACAATTTCAATATCTGCTTGTCTTGGACTTCGAAGCAACATGTGATGAGGACGTAAAGTTACGTCCACAGGTAAGATAGCAGGAAACAGTTAATTAGCATTACCCATGAAATTATAGGTCATTTTTGAGATATTCAGGTATATCAGATTGGTTATGAAAAATTTACCCTTGCATGTATATATACTTATAAACTACACAACATTTACATTAATAGTATAGAAATAACATTTGTGTAAATAATAATAATAATAATAATAATAAAACAATGATTTCTGACATGTGATTGCTACGGCTACCAACTCAAACAATTCTAAAAATGCAAAAACACTACTAATTCCAACCTAACACTACAACCATATGAAGAAATTTATTCCTGAACACCTGTCTTTAAATTTTAACATTGTCATGGTAACAAACTACTTACATTTCAGCAAAATCCAGCTTGGTATGGCATCACAACATGATTGTTTGGTTGATTGACAGGTTTACTGTCTCCATGACTCCTCCTGTGTCTGGGTATCATCTCACCAAGGAATGTCTGTGTTCAGGCGATATGTTCACAACATGACCACGTGTAAACACTAAAGAAATTTCACTTCTAAAACTAGTTTTTGGTGTGTAGACACAGATTTGAGACTATCCAAATAGTAATCTCCAACCACGGACTTGGAATAGATTTTCATTGTCTACTTTAACATGACAAGACAAATTTTAGCAAGGATTTAATTTCTGAACTTTAATTAAATCTTTTATAATGGGATAATCTAATGAACAAAAATTAATTAAATGTCACATTAGTTTATGACAAAGTAAATTATTCTTTTACAAAGATATGTTTACTGAAAATGCTGCCTACATAGATGTATGCAGTAGTAAATGTGCTATCATCGCATGCCATTAAGGCTCTAAGTACTCCATCAATTTTTGGAAGTTTCCCTTTTGTTAATGAATTTGATCTTTTGGAATTTTGTGATGTTTCATATCTAAGTAAATGCCTCTTGACGAAAAATTTGGAAAAGCTACGTTTAAAGTGATTTCGGCTATTTTCAGTCACAAATCTATACCCCTATCGGTGTATTAATAGGCGTGTTAACATAATAATGTGGTTTTCCCAAACCTGCTTATCTTAATCTATTTTTTTTAAAAAATGTTTTGCTGTCCCCTCTGGTGCCAGTCGTTCCATACCACAATGGTCCCTAACACTCATTTCATACAAAAGTTTAAGGTAGTTTTGGGCCACAAACAAAAGTTTGTATGTACCATTATTTTGATCCATATGTACCATTAAATCATTTTGTACCACACATGATATATATTTTGAAATTTTCTATTTGGACATATAACTGAATAAAATGGCTTTTTTTAAAAGAAATTATGAGTCCTTTTCAACTAAATTGCTGAAAACAATGGGTTCCGCATTGAAAAATTGAAGTAATTCAAGAAATTCTTGAGTCCAATCAAAATGACTGACAGGAATTGCATGTAGATTTATCACATTGAATCCTTATATTTGGCTGGAAAGTTCCTTCGATGAAGTCCTACAAAGTTTGTGTAAAGAAGAGATCATGACCTATATTCAAGGTCACAGGGGTCAAATTTGTTCAAACTGCTTTCTGATACGCAGAAGGCCTAGAATTGTGATATTTGGCTGGAAGATTATTTGTCTAAAGCCTGACAACATTTGCAGAAAGAATAGCCTTTGACCAAATTTCAAGTTCACAGGGGTCAATTTTGTGGAAGGTTTCTTGCATGAAGCCAAACAACGTATGCAAAAAGAAACAAACTTGACCTATTTTCAAAGGCACAGGGATCAATTTGTGAAGCTTGTCAACATTTGAAAAAAAGATATGACTTTGAACCATATTCATGATCAGAAGGGTCAAATTTGTTGAAACCTTCAAACAACTTCTCATTAACCAAGGCTTTTAATGTCAATGATGTGATTTTAATGTTGATGTATGATGAAAATCATTGAATGCCAGTTGAGTGATGCAGGCCCATTGAGCCTGATGTGAGAAATTTGTAGTTTGTCCATTAGTTTTATTTACATTTTGACACTCTATCTGTTTCAGGAGATAATAGAATTCCCAGTTGTGATGATAAATACAGAGACACTGGCTACAGAATCTATATTCCACCAATATGTACAGCCACAGGTCCACAATCGTCTTAGCCATTTTTGTACAAATGTAAGTATCAAGATTAAAAAGGGCACATTCACTTAGCTCAAAGACTTTTTAAAATAAATAATATAATAAAATCTGCTTTTATAATAAAGGATCATTTGATGGTTGGAGGCTAGAATCCTTGTTAAAAATATTCTCAGTTAAGTATTCATTGAAAAAAAACAAAATAGACAAGTTGACTTGAGATGGCCATCTTAATTTTTGGCAGCTTAAACTTGTTTACACAATTTACCAAACATAAAGGAGAGATATTCATTAAATTGTATATACCTGTATGTACCAATACATTCAATAGCACAGAAGGTGGTTTCTTTACAAATTTTTTCACCAATTTAAAGTGTAAAATTCCTCCCATGACTACGGCGACATGATGTGTGTCTGCAGGAAAACCTCTTGGTATATTGTTCATATACTTCTGACTGACAAATTCTTTTCTCAAACAGCTAACAGGGATCATTCAGGAGATGGTGGATGGACAAGATTACCTAGATGATGTATTAAATGTAAGCTTACATTGCTTCATAAGTACAAGCTTTCTGTTAGAAACATTTAAAAAAAAAACTTCTTTCAAGCATCTAAATATTCAATTTCAGCATACCTGGTAATGAAATGTTTTAGTTGCTTTGTGTTTTTGTTTTTCTGAAATGCCAATGATTTGATGAAGTTAAAACCTAGATGTAGAACAACACATGTTACCTGACCAATGCTGATCAATCCCATGATGTATTTTTTAAGTGTTTTTCTTTTCCAGAAATATGACAAATGGATGGCAGAGAAACTGTTGAGCAAGGGCCATACATTTGCATTTGTGACTTGTGGTGATTGGGATCTGAAGACAATGTAAGACTTGTTGTAACTTTAAAACAATCTTCATCTGAACACTCATTATGTATCATAATGCTTATATGTTCTTTCCCCAAGAAGGTCATTAACAGCATGACTATATAACTGTAAACAGCTACTCCTACATTCACATTTTTAGGTCACCTGAGACTAGGTTTCAGGATGACCTTTTGGATTCCCCTTTTGTCTGGCATCCTGCATTGTAAACTTTGAATATTTTCAACTTCTGAAAAACTCTTGAATGATTTCAATGAAATTTTATTCAGCTGTTGGTGGTGTTAGGGAGGAGATTAATATCATACGAAAGATATAGGATTTTATCACCGTTTTTGTTTAATTTTCAGGTTACCAAGTCAGTGTAAATACTTCAATTTTAGAAAGCCACAATACTTCAATCAATGGATCAATATAAAAAAGGTAACTGCTAGAATGTCATGTGTCGATACACCATGTTTTGATGCTAGAAATCATGTTAAAATAGTCATAGTCATGTTTCAAAGTTTAACGTTGTGTTTTTGTGTGTTATGTTGCCATAGTATTGAATAACATAAATTTAAATTATATATATTTGTTATAATTTTAGAATACATTAGTTAGTATTGAATGTTGTTTTTGTGTTTTGAATGTCATGTCATTGTGTTGAATTTCATTTCTGTGTCATGCTTTACTGTTGAATGTTATTTGTTTGTAATTAATGCCTTGATGGTTAATGTATGGTGTTGAATGTCATGTCTTCATTTTCTTGGTGGTTAATTTCATTTCTGGGTAGAATGTCATGTTTTGGTGGCTAATGTCATTTCTGTGTGTTAATGTCATGTTTTGGTGGAAAATGCCATTTCTGTGTGTTAATGTCATGTTTTTGTGGAAAATGTCATTCCTGTGTGTTAATGTCATGTTTTTGTGGAAAATGTCATTTCTGTGTGTGAATGTCATGTTTTTGTGGAAAATGTCATTTCTGTGTGTTAATGTCATGTTTTTGTGGAAAATGTCATTTCTGTGTGTGAATGTCATGTTTTTGTGGAAAATGTCATTTCTGTGTGTGAATGTCTTGTTTTGGTAATTATTGTCATTTCTGTGAGTGAATGTCATGTTATGGTAATTTGTCATTTCCAGTCTGTGAAATTTAGGCAGAAAAAATACTGTATCAAACATAATATAAAATTTAGATTTCAGTTTACTCTGTAAACACATAGATATTTTGATATCGTTATGTTTTGATTTTCCAGGAATATGCAGCAGTAACCAGTAAATACCCAAAGGGGATGATTGCTATGCTGGATGGTTTATCTTTAGATCTGGAAGGCCGCCATCACAGCGGAATAGGTAACCACACCCTTTTAAATATCACCTTCACTATCCCGTGATATAAAAAAAAAGTCACAAAAAATAGCTGTGATTAAACAGGGACATATAATTCTTCACTGGCCACTAGATGATTGTGGATCAGCTACAAGACTTCCTTTATAACCCTTAGTTACCTTTTAATTCATTATTACGTGATTTGCTTTTTGATTACCTTTTGCTTATGATAATGAAGCCTGGGTTATAAGGACATTGTAATATTGTAATCAATAACTTATGTTAAATGCAGTGTAGGTTAGATTTTATATGTTTACATTTGGTTAAGTCACTTATGCAAATTACTTTATTACACATATTTATGAAATCAATATGGAAACATTCTTGTTTGCTTGAGAATCTTAAACACTTTCTCATATTCTCTTTGGTGGAATGACTGTGGGAAGGTTGCTTAGCATTGGTGATAAGATACGACATCAACAAAATGTAATTCTTACAGCAGGATAATTTACCAGAAATTGCTAAGGAAGAGTAATGCAACAACTTACAGTTTTTAAAATTTCATTTCAGATGACAGCAAAAATATAGCTCGGGTTGCCGTTGAATTACTGAAGAAAGGACATGTGTTTAAAATCAACGGATATTTACAATAGTCAATCATTTTGTTTTCAAGTCACCAAATCATGTACTACATTCTTATTGACTTCATTTAAATGGTAATTTTATATAAAAATATGTATTAGTGTTATTTTCTTGCCATTTAGAATATCCGTTCTGGTACATAGTAACTTTGAAGTATTGCCTGCGGGTCTAGTGTAAATAGTGTTCTCATTAAATTCACCAGATTTGTGTTGGTTCTGATACATAGTAACTTTGCATTGCCTGCAGGTCTTTCAGTGTTGATAAGCAGGAATATGGACTGTTTCTCATTCATTACACAAGACTTATGTTGGTTCTGGTACATAGTAACTTTGAATTGCCTGTGGGTCTTCAGATTTAGTAAGTGGGAATATTGGCTTATTCTCAGTAACTAATAAATTGTAACTTGAATTGCTTATGGTTCTGTTGGTCTTCAGAGTTGGTAAGCAAGAATTTGGAGTGTTTCTCAATAGCTTCTCAACTCACCATCATGAATTTTTCAGAGGTTTTCTTATGCTTTGCCAAAATACATAATGTTTAATCAAAATCCTTTAAAAAAGGATGGAGCTGTAGTGATGACATTGAGTTGGGACAGGAAGATACAAGATGTGGTAATGGGACAGGTTCTTGTGAGAGGCATATGAAAAAGGCATGTTAAAAGGCAAAAATTAAATGCATGACAGAAACTAACACATTCAACATCTGCATTGCCCAAAATACTTTTTATCAGTATTTGTCAATAAAATCTTCGGGGGTTTGCCATTTTTTTTTATCGTAAAGTATTAACTCTGTTGAAATGAAAACAGGTCAAATGAAACTTGACAACAAATTTACGAAAGCATGCAAAAAAAACCCAACTTAATCTGGCAACAACATCTTCAATTTAACTTTCATCAGATAAAATATCAGCTGTCTATACACATGTATAAGTAATTAAATATTGTGTAAAATTCCTACATTTATAAAGACTTTCGTAATTTTTCCTACATTTCCTCATCCTTGTTATCTATTACACTATAATCCACAAAGATAGGTTTAAAAAGAAAGTCACAGGCATATTCTCAGCAAAAACATTTTTATTTGGGTTTAATGTTCCAACAAAAGTACACCTAATGGTGTTAGGGAGAATCATATTGACAGTAACAACATACATTGTTGCTGACAAAGTACAGAATTTTTATACATTAAGGTAGTTCATGATAACTTTCAAATGAAAGACATTGAATTATGAATTGCACTCGCACTTGACCTCATCCAACATACTCATACACCTGCACAAATATTCATATACACATTCAACCTCATAGTAACATCCAAACATGCACACCCACAAACATATACCTCTATTAAGGCCTCTATATTTTTTTTTCATTCTCTCATTTTTTTTCCAATCTCCCAAATATTTTTATTTCCACACATAAGCTGCACGCCAAACACACAGGAAAAAAAGTTGCAGCTTATAATCTTGAAAATATGGTACCTATAATTGCATCCTAATTAAAACATGCTGTTATATGCGACTTATCAGGCATATTAGCTGTTCATGTTTCAGAATTATTTATAATGGTCAAGAGCTCATGTTTTCTGTAAAGGAATGTCAAAACATGACCACTTCATCTCGAACACTTAGACACTTGACTTACAATTCATTTTCTTGTGCATTATTAAGTCAACATTAAGTCAAAACTAAAAAAAAAAATTTGATTTTCAAATCTTTCATTTCAATATATCGGGTAATTTAAGACAAGTGAATCTCAAATTATTTTCAACAAAACCTAAAAACTTTCAATGTGTTTTTTTTCACATTCTACATGTTAAGTTTTTAGTTATTAATAATAACTTTCCTTTAAATTAGTTTAATGCATCATTCAATTTCTGATAATTTGAAATCTTTAACAAACAATATTTTTATGACTTAGAGGTAAGGTCTATGGTAACATTATTGCTATTTATGTAAACTTGTGGTATCTATCCCAAATCATCACCATGTTTAATGTTACACATCATATAAACTATTAAAAACATTGAATTAAAAGGGATAGGTTGATTTTAATAATATTGCATTCCAACAGAAAACAATATTGGAGAACCAACACTCTTAAAGTCTCGGATTGCGGTTAGGTTCCTGGATGGATATCACAGGGTATTCAGTAGAGATCCTTAGAATATGGAAACATAAAACAGTAAATAAAGGATTCTTGGATGTTGAGAAACCTTGATTTATTGTTTAATATTGCATTCACAATTTAATCTCAAGAATGGTACAATGTCAACAAACTCAAGATGGATTACACAAGATCAAAAGAAACTGTTTTTGTTAAACATGATCAAATGAACTAACAAGGTATTGAATATATATATAATGCAACTGATTTGCCAAGAATTACATCATGGTTCAAGTAATAATCAAAACTGTCCCATATCATGATCAATTTTAAAGAATCTCATACAATTTTAAACAGCTTTTTACTTTAATGACCTTCAACCAGAACCACCATAAATAGAATGGATACTATTGTCACCTGTAGGAAGTCTCACAAAATGATAACAATATCATACCCATGTTGAATGACTGTTTCCTATGCACATGGAGATCCCAAGTACAATGTTGAAGACACAAATTTATTCAACTTTACTCAAGTCATATTAGTGAACATACCATAGATTCTATAGTTTCTATTTTTACATTAAAATGAAATAAAAAGACAAATTCACAAAAATTACACAATGTCATGGCCTTTACATCAAGCTTGGTACAAGATGTCTCTTAAACCAAGGTCTAACTGTAAAAGGTGATAGGCAACATTTCTTCAGTGCCTCAAAAACTCGAAAGTTTAATTCAGAAATCTTTTGATTGCACAAATCTGGTTGTCCCAAATGCCTTCCAATAAATGACTAGAGAGAGATTTAACGACATGAATTCTGAGTGTATCTTTATGGTGCTACATGTATGGCGTTATAGCTGTTCAAAGCATCAAGCATGTGTCTATGTCATGTATAATTAATCTAAACTGTCTATTTTAAATGTATGACGTTGATTTGTTTATCTGTTTTTGATGTCCTGTGATGTCACTTTGTAATACTGTCATGTCACACCATGGACGCCCAGAGGTGGTAGCAACAAACGTTGACAAAGTCTTCAACATGTGAGTGCATGCCCAGTACACTGAGGTTAGGATTTTCAGGACTATGCTCCTGGTCTGTGATGGACTCTCGGAATATTGCACATAGGTCCTGCAAACAAACACAAGTGTCTCTATATGTAACCCCTGTTAACATACAATGACACAAAATTCAATACACAGTTCACTGAGTCTTTCAAATCACAAATCTTTTATCAAGACCAGCCCAATCATGGATTCTATTATTCTTATGAAAATTGTCTACCCACAACTTTTTTTCAATGCGCTTTTTTTCAATGTCTTAAGCTGAAAAACATTCCTGCCATTTCCCGGGGTGGTTACTGTGTTTAAATTTTTAGAAAAATGTGAAATGTCTTGAATTATCTGTAAGAATAATCACAGCAACTACAAGAGATTATGTTTATTTCATCTGCTTTTAGTTTTTCTAGCTCCCTGGACACTTAATACAGTGACTATGGTATATGACTACTCACTGTCCTTTTCTCAGTGTTGTCCAGCATCAGCATCATAAACATGTCTAAGTAGTTAGGATTAAGGATAAGCTGCAAAATAAAATAAAAAATAGTGACAGGAAACAAATTAGAAATGAATCAAAACTAATTCCCTTCAAAAGTAATGAATCTTGAATATATAGTTATATACAAAATGACATTTCAAAGTAGAAAGCAACATTCTGAAAATGAATTGTAAAAAGTAATTTCTTACGATGTACTGTGTTTGTCCATCATGGCTGAAAAAACAGCGATGTGTTTCAGGATAGTGTGTCTGTAAGACTCGGAACAAGCCTTTGTACCACATAAAGTTCATACTCTCCAACTGCATAAGCATTGGGTCCAGCTCACCCAGTGGTGTCTTAACCACCTTGGCTAACAGCTCTAGGAACTCGTCAAAAGACAACTTCTGATACTGAAAAGTATATATATGTAACAGGCCATTAATACAAAATTTGATCTTTATATTGCTATTTATTTTATATAAATTTTTGTCATAAGTAATGAGTATATAGGTTATATCTTCATGACTGTCTTTACATGTGAGTTTGTATTTTTAAAATCACACAATCTTCATATCAACAAGATAGGATTTTTAGTTTAGTATTGTGTGCTTTCTTCACTGTAAAAACCTTTGACAAACATAATACACACATCCATGTGTTTATCATAACAAGGGTAATATACCATTCATTAATGCCATTTAAATGATACACAATACATCATTAGATATATATGTGCACAAAGTTGGCTGGCTCTAGACCCAGGATCAAAACTTCATCGACCAGGAAACAAAAACTTCACAAAAAATTCATTTAATACAAATGTACTACATGTTTATTAGGTTCCTCTTTCAGAGTTACAATTATTCTAAAACACAACAAAGTAGGGGGCATCATTACAAGTTATGGCATGAACGAGAATAACATAAAGGGCAATAACTCTTTGAGTAAAAGAGGCAAGTAGCACTACAGAAGTGTAGAAGTTGAGAATACTGGTCATCTAATTAGTCTTAGCTGATAGTAGTTTCTCTTTAGTCAAGTGGCAGAATGTCCAACAAGAGAACGAAGGGTCACTTTTTCATTATTTTTTTTATTAACAGTAGTATTTAACATTCTTGTGTCATGATGAGAACCATGTGTATATATAGGATGGACAGCAGCTCAAAAACTAATAGTTCTGACAAGAAAACCAGGGCAATAACTCGGTAAATAAGCACATAAGCACATGATGCTTCCCTTCAAGAAAGTATATAGAGATTGATGACTACAGGAGAAAAAATGGCACAGTTGTAATTCTGATATCCAAATTTCGATCCATCCTACTTACCACATCTCGACTCTCCTCTGTTTCACTACGTTTTTTACGTCTCCCATCCTCCTCAGATTGTTCCCCTACCAACATGCGCTGCCATAATAAATCTTTACGGCACTTTTCTGTGGAAACTTCTACCATACTCTCGATTTTCTCTCTGAAAAGTAAACATCACCATGTAATTACGCTTGTACATTAAATTTGGTTATATATAAATATGAAATATTTACTTTATTTATTTTACAACAATTGCAAAACAAGTAATTTTAACTTATACTAATCACTCTTGTTGGCCCAGATGTAAGCGCGCGAGGGGTCTTATTATGGGAGGAAACCAGAGTACCCAGGGAAAACCCATTTGGCTGGGCAGGTGACCCGTTACCTTTTCACGTAAATTTCGGAAATCTAACCGCGAACGGCTTGGTGAAAGGCGAGTGCGTTACCACTGCATTACCCGATATATTGTATTATAAATCACACAGAGTTAAGTCAACAAAGGTAGATACCTTGCGAGTTGTGCCTCCTCCATCAACAAGTTGTACCCTGGTGTGTTGTGGACATCGGAGGTGCGGGAGGTCCTCACAGTTTCCTGTCTTACCCCAATATGCTGCTTCACAGGGACAGGCTTACTACGATCTGACCAAGGATACACATTCACATTTTATCATCCTTCTAAATCAGTGACACATAAGATATGATGCCTGGGATGCTAACGATTTTATCATTGATTTTTTTTATATGATCTTCAAAACAATTTTTTTCTTTAAAATTCAATATTACCATAGCTGTAAGAGAAAAACAACTTAATTCAGAATGAAAAGACAGCATAAAACTAATGAGGACAGTTCATAGAAATAATTAAATCAAAAGTTTATTGACCAAATATAGAAAAGTAAGAATTGAATATTTTACATGCAGGAAATGCTTTAAGAAGAGTACCCTAGAACATGACCCAGGATATTGTAGACATCTAGTAATTATATAGTCTAGTATATAGGACCCACCTCTTAATTCCTCCAGAAAAACACCTTTAGTTCCCTCCTTATTATCTATGGTGGCCTTGGGGAAAAGTTCCCTACAGCTAGTCATCACTACAAAGTAGTGTAACTTCAGTAAAGTCCGCTCCGACTCATTCTGAAAGTTCACTTGCTGGGAGTCATGGGTTATTACAAGTCCCACGTTATAATCATCCAATTTCTGTTTACGTTTATGGTCTTCATTTTTTCGTAGTTTGTGGCAGACTAATGCATATTCATTGCTTCTGACAAAGTGGTATTCCTGTAAGAAGAAAACTAGCATGAAACACTGATAGGTCACATTCTAAAACACAAAGGTAGATTTACTTAAAGATGAACTCATCTAAAAAAAATAGATAACAGTCAAACTTCAGAGTGAATCTAAATCTGTTAGATATGTGAGCAAAAATGAAACTGTTATTACAAATATAATATATTGTGACACAAAGTCATTGGTTAATACTTACACTGTCAATGTCCGCATCCACATTTGGTACCATGGCAATGACCTTCATCTGGTGCAGTTTTACATGTTGAAGCATGAACTCATACAGCTGTGATCCAGGACAAGTCAAGGGACCCACCGTCATTGTGTCTATATTATAATCATTTAAGCTTTTACATTAAACATGTCACTCATTCACTGATCATTTTTACAGGTTGTAAGAAATATGAAATGTGTACTCGATCTTATATATATTTCAACTGTGGAAATATTATATTAAATAAATCATTGAAGAATTCCAAGGAATTTAACACAACTGGACATTTTATAAAATAGATTTCACTAATATATGAAGTGAAATAAAAAAAATGCACAGTTAGTAGAATTACCCTCATGAAGAAAGTTCCTGGAGAAGTTTGGTGGGTACGGATAGACCTGCATGAAGTCAGACAGGAAGCCAGTAAGGTGGTAGCTCTGTTTAAACACCTGTTGACGACTTATGTGAGAGTGGATACATCGCAGGTGGAAGTCGTGGGCAAAGGAATGCACATGGATCAGATCCTTACACTTCTCACATTCCTCAACAAACAGCAGCTTCAACTAAACAGACCATACAAGAGGTTAAAGTTTAGAGATCACTTATAGAAAGACACATCTAAGAAATTAAGGTTTGGTGACTTGTCCAATCACATTGCAGTATGGTAATTATGTGAAGAATCTACTCAACCTCCAATGTATCCTTGATCATTTAATATTTACAAAATTTTGTTGTTACTGAAAGAAATCTAAACAAATCATTCATAAACAAAGAGACAGAATGAAATAACAGATAAAAAAAACTTCAAGCAGCTCACACGATAAAAGTAGGAAATATCCACGGCCACTGTACAGTATATCAAAATGTTCTTATAATTCATAAGCAGAGATTGGCCTGCATAATCTGTATCTTATAGAAAACTAGTCGGAAAATATCAGTAACATGCCGGTGAACTAGAATAGGACTACAAGTAAATTAAAGAGATGTACACCGCTGAAAATGTAGTACACTGCTCACCTGTTGGTTGACAGGTACACCAAGACGAGTATATTCACAGGTAAATAGTTTTACACAGAAATACTGTTCACGGAAGCTCAGTTCCATCAGCATTATACCCCCTGCCTGAGTCTTCTGTAGATAGTGGACAGTTCCTATAGGTCCATGGATACTCTCCCCTTCCACAAACACTCGTTCAAATGAGGACTTCTTTACATGGCGTGACCTACCATCAGATTAAGCACAGACTCGGATAGTGTTGACATCAAATACACATTACAGCACACGTCTTAAACAACTGTTCATCTTCAGAGCCAACTGATGAAGGACTCAGTTACACTGAAGTCACTCATATAGAATTTGAGTGCTTAGCTTTTGAGACAATCCAAATACATTCAATCAGAAACAATATCATCAAATAAAAATTGTCTTGTTATTTTATCATCAATCCATTTGATAAAAGGTCATCACTGTTTTCTTTAATCTGAAAAAAAATCAATTGAAATGTGGTAAGACTAGACTGAAGAAGACTTAAAACTTACGCTCTCTTAGGTGTTGCTGGTCTCATCTGGATGAGGACAAACCCCAGAGACTGTACATACTGCATGTACTCATTCACAAAGCTGGCACGGAGGTCGATATGCCATGGCTCCTCACCGATATGTTCCTGGTGGGAGACATTGATGGTTGGTCTCTTCTTACCTTCTGTGCTATCTGCTCTCTTCGTCCTCATGCTGGTCACTGATGTACCAGAGCTGTGACGTGACCGCTGTAACACACATCACAACTAAATGATAAGTATTAAGGCAATATTTATAACATGACTGGTCTGTTAGGCTTTGTATTACAACCATGTCAGAAAAATTGTATGACATGTATTATAAGACTATTATGACATCACCAATATAACATGTCTTACAATTACCTCTATAGGAAATATCCATGTTAAAAATCAAATGGTTAAATTCATAGGAAAACAAATTGATTTTTTGCTTGATGATATCAATTCATGGGAATATTTTCGATATGACAGATGTCTATGAAAATTACAGTAAAGTCTAAAAAAATATTCCTACCGAGGAAGAAATGTGAGACTCATTTAGATAATTAAGGCACCTTAAGATGCTTCCATTCATGAAGAGCATTTGATTCTACCATATCTGGGTCTTGAAAAGAAGATTTTTAAAATGTAAGTCCATTTGACCCCTTTTGGCCCCGCCCACCGGCTACTGGGGGTCAGTCAGGTTAAAATGTCATACCATCAAGCTGTCATCCTTCACTCATAATTCTAACTCACTAACTTTCCTCACTAACCAGACTCCCATCATGCCCTATGTGATCATTCCTAGAGATGACAACCATCTGATCAACATAATATTTAAGCATAGAGTTAAGGAAAAATCCTCCCTTGATAGTCGTAAATTACTCGGATCTGATCTATGAAACAATCACATTCTATTACAGTTCAGGGACTTACCGCCTTTGGTTCTGGTTTCTCTGTTGTATTGGAGGACACAGATGTTGGCCTCTGTGTGACCTTGTACTTCTCCATGACCTTCTGGCGCCACAAAGGGTGAAACAGCAAGGGAGTGGCACAATAATGGTACAGGCGACAGGACTGTTTCAATAGCTGGATCACTTCATCCTAGGTAATTAAGCATTTACATATGTGACCTAGGTATGGAAATGAAATATGTACCTGATAATTAGAGGATATATTCGAACACGGTAAATGCATAAGATAAATATGAATCAAGAAAATATCAAATATGTGGATACTGAACAAGGCTATAGAAAAATTATTATAAATCTAAGAAAGCATGAAAGTGAAACACCTTTGCCATAGGATGCTAACCAAAATAAGGCGACATCAGTATATTAGACTGCAGTGTGATATTTTATACAGATAGAGTATCCTCAGTGATTTAAACAGCACTTACAGAGATTGGCATGTTCATGTTGACAGAGGTTTTCTCAAACCATATCCAATACAACTTATTGAGCTTCAATAATTTTTCCATCTCTGAAAGTAAAGACAGAAACAACTATATAATGATGAAGACAAATGTAGACTAAACCAAAAATAACTTTAACATGATTAAATCCCTATCTAAATTTAGTTTTGTAAAACATTGTGCCCTCAGGGGGTTTAAATTTTTAATTGTTGGCAGATGTAAGAAATCTACAGGTATTTAGCTTCATCAAATATATAGTTAACACACTACACTGTAGGAAGGTTACAACAGGTGTAAAATGTATGTTTAGCAAAGTGGGTGGTAACTTTCACTCATAAACTTCCAGATGTTGTGCTCTGAAGGCAATAGCAGTCCATTACACCATTTAACTAATTAAATTATGTCATTTGTTGCCTTGGAAAGATATGTTTCTATGAATCTAGACAGTTGTCACTTGTGTAGAACTTCAAATATGAAAATGATACATTATACGAAGACTTAAAATGTATCTAACCTTTCCTATTATACAAAGAATTAAAATGTATCTAACCTTTCCTATTGTAAGAGCGCAGGTCCTGAGCCTGGAGGCCATGCATAGCAACAGGATCAGTGTAGTGGGCAAAGCTTGTCTGGTGAAGAGGCCTTTGAGGCTGGATGTCTTTGAAGGACTCATCAAACGACCGCACTGGCTGGTTGATTGATGTTGACAGACTATTGTGACGTCGAACAGGTTCATGGGAGGATGAACTAGGAGCTGTGAACTTGATCAAGTGATCTATATCTGTGCTGAGAGAGGCATAAGGTCCATACTCCTGTAACACAGATGACAGAGATGTAACAATGTGTATTACTGGTACTGTTTACAGCACTAAGCCCTTAACTTACTGAGAGGCCCCCGCTTCACTTAATAATAAACGTACCCAATGACTGTGATAAATTTCAATACATGATTTGTTTTTCAAAACCAAAAATTCTTTTCATGATTTGTGAGAAATGGAGTACCTTTTTGCCCCTGAGCTCCCTAAACACAGAGTGGTGGTAAAGGCCCATCTTTTGACTAATGACACTGTCCAGCAGTCGGATGCGTGTGTTGTGCCACTGTACTATCTGTGTCACACGATTACTCAACATAGTGGACAAATCACGGGCCCAGTTGTAGGAATAGACAGAAATCTGTAATCAAAAACACAATTCTTTATATCTATCCTTTACTGCAAATTGCATTCAAGAAACTAAATTTTAAAAAGGACAATGTTTCTATGTTGTAATAAATGTCTTTTTAGTCGAAAAGTTGATAGAATAATATACCATTAATGTCTAAATATGATGCAACAAACATCAAGACACTCTCCAATCCTAGAGTCTCACAATAACACAACAACAGATATCTAATGCTGAACAAATGTTCTTTGGATCAGCCACAATGTAGGTATATGTTAACCAACAGTTCCAAGAGGCCCGTTAGCCTTAATGGCCATCTGACTGTAAAGACTTACACATATATGACAGGAGAAGTGTAGTGTGAACAATAACCAAAGGATTAAAACAATAGCTGAATAGCTTAGTAGTTAAGGTAACAAAATGTACAACAATGTTCATTTCTGTTTCTCGAAATTCCAACAAACTTTCAGCTCAATGGCACCATTCATCCTCATGGCCAAAATGCCTAGGCTTTCAGCAGGTCAAAAAATAACATTTTGATGGTTTTTTGTCATTAGCATCCCTACCAATGAAGTTTAAAAACAGAGTTGTTCAGAAAAAGGATGACTGGGCAATCATGTTGTGATGTGACTTAGGGCTAGACATGAAAACCTGTATTTGAACATAATATCAAAATCCAGGAGAGATATACAGAGGTACCAACTTGTTTGTTGTGAATGCTCAGCATCAGGAGGCGCTGCCTTGGGATGAAAGTCTGCTCATTCAGTCCTACCGTGTCTTGGTTGGTGTGCAATAAGGGAGAAAAACGTTGAAATGTCTGCTTCGGAATAGCTGTCAAAAATAAAATAATATCTAGATTTTGAGCTGAACCTTCAAAACCTGAGCAAGTCTTTTATTCACCAACTCAAATTAGTTGCATGGTTTTTGTGCAACAAATTCTCTCCTTTAAAGAAAAAACCATGTGGCATATATTGATCATTCAATATTTTCAAATTTCCTTTTAATATGATAATATCTATATATCTGAATCATCAATAATAATCTCAGTTAAACTTTGACCATAGGAATATATGTTATTGTGGAAAACAAAATTCCTGAAAGATGATTGACCTACAGAAATATACTCTCTCATACTATCACTGGAGCATGCTGTAAATGCAGAATTAAGTAAAATAAGCTAAAGGCATCCTATCCATTAAAAATGGAGCTCCTTGCTCCAACTAATTGACCTAACCAAACATTTATGTTGTGTAACCATGGTTACCATCACTTTTACCTGTAGAGGAGGTAGATGTCATCACACTGAACTCTTCTTCATTGAAGTCCTGAATGCTGGCCCTCCACTGGTCAACATTACGACCAATCAGCATGATTTGGCCATCCTCTCCTCCTGGTAGTTTACGCCTGTCACAGTCTAATGATGTCTCTATCTGACCTTCTTCCTGTCAACCAAAATTTGTTTGTGATATATCTACAACACACCATTTATTACTGATATCAACAACCAAACATCAACTGTACTGATGACTGCCATACTATGGACCAAACGACTTACCTGTAAAGGTTGTCTGTGTGGTCTGTAGGGATGACCCCTATACCACTGACCAGTAGATTCACCTGTAAAGGTTGTCTGTGAGGTCTGTAGGGATGACCCCTATACCACTGACCAGCAGACTTACCTGTAAAGGTTGTCTGTGTGGTATGTAGGGATGACCCTTATACCACTGACCAGTAGACTTACCTGTAAAGTTTGTGTATCTGTAGGGATGACCTCTATACCACTGACCAGTAGACTTACCTGTAAAGTTTGTGTATCTGTAGGGATGACCCCTATACCATTGACCAGTAGACTTACCTGTAAAGTTTGTGTATCTGTAGGGATGACCCCTATACCACTGACCAGTAGACTTACCTGTAAAGTTTGTGTATCTGTAGGGATGACCTCTATACCACTGACCAGTAGACTTACCTGTAAAGGTTGTCTGTGTGGTCTGTAGGGATGACCCCTATACCACTGACCAGTAGACTTACCTGTAAAGGTTGTCTGTGAGGTCTGTAGGGATGACCCCTATACCACTGACCAGTAGACTTACCTGTAAAGTTTGTGTATCTGTAGGGATGACCTCTATACCACTGACCAGTAGACTTACCTGTAAAGGTTGTCTGTGTGGTCTGTAGGGATGACCTCTATACCACTGACCAAACAACTTACCTGTAAAGGTTGTCTGTGAGGTCTGTAGGGATGACTCCCATACCATTGACCACTGGAATCTTTGACCAGCTGAAACGCCATGGACTTGATGTCAGAGGATACAGTGGTCACTGCGGTCTGGAATTCACGTAGAAAGTTGTCCACAGAGTACTTTGATAGGAGACTGACCTCCAGCTTACTGACTGCAGGCACACCTGTGCAAGGAAATTCATGTGATCTTTATCATTAATTCTGACTTTAAAAGTTCAAGTTTAAATAAAGGATTTTTTTAATACACCAATAGATATACAACCACAATTTTATGTTTTTATATGTTTTTATGAATAAATTCAGAACTTATTCCACCTCCAACAAGACAGGGTCCCTTCTACAATACTGTCACACTGGGAGGGGAAGCAACACCTAAAACTTAAATAAACCCTACTCCATCATGAATCTTATTACCAGCTGTCTGTATCTTGAGAACTGATGCCCTAATATAACTTCATGCCCCACTTTTACAATGTATACCTGTTTTGTAACAAATTTCCATCCAATCCTTAAGAAGAGAGGTGAACATCTTTGACAAGTTTCCTCGCTCTCCTTCTTCATACTGTCTTATAATAGACTGAAGCTCACTGTCTCGTTCTGTCTGTACTGGCGAAGTTCCCAAAGCAGTAGACATTGGTCCGAATTCAAATGTCTAATAGACACAACATAGTGTAAGATTAAATGATATGAACTGCACTGCTGTACTTCCTATCTCACCACATTTTTATGGATTCTTTTTTTATTATTATTTTAAAGTTCTAAAAATGTTCTTTCACTTGATTTATTTGTACAAATTTCATGTAATATTAGCATGAATGAGCTGAAAAAATACATAATAATCATTGTATAATTGTCACATTACAACAATGTTAAGTAATAACTGTATTCATAAAGTTACATCTAAAGAGAAGTGGTTTTAAGCCATACCTTCTGTGAGTCTGGGGGTGGTGATGTCAGGCGAGCTTTGGTGGAGAAAGCATCCTTAAGTGACTGTAGTGGTGAATGTTCAGATTGCTTCACTCCAATGTTACCCGTCAGTTTTAGGGATTCTGACAGTTTACGACTGGCAATGGAGTGTCTCCTTTCTAGAACTATTTCTGATAGAGACAAAAAACAGGAAAATATTAAAACATGTCGCCATCAAAATTCACAACAACGACAGGTAATATCACAACTTAGGAACAGCATAACTGATATCTACAGCAGATAACCATCATAACATATCACTATAACAGGTAAACACATGATCTACCACGGTAACAAGTAAACATCAAGACATAATACTGTAACTGATTAACATCATAACTTACCACCATAACAGGTTAACATCATAACTTACCACAGTAAACATTAACTGGTATAGATTATAAATTAACACTAAATTTGGTAACATGAGTTACCACTGTAACAGGTAAAACATAAATTACCATTAACAAACATCATAACTTACCACTATAACAGGTTAACATCATAACTTACTACCATAACAGGTTAACATCATAACTGACCACAGTAACTATAACTGGTATAGATTATAAATTAACACTAAATTTGGTAATATGAGTTACCACTAAAACAGGTAAAACATAAATTACCAGTAACAAACATCGTAACTTACCACTGTAACAGGTTAACATCATAACTTACCACTATAACAGGTTACATCATAACTTACCACTATAACTGGTTAACATCATAACTTACCACTATAACTGGTATATACCATAAATTAACACGAAATTTGGTAATAACTTTAATCATCACTTTAACAGGTAAACATGTGAACTTGTTATCAAAACATGATATACAACTTTTTAACAAGCAGGACCATGGGGAAATGTTTCATAGATACATATAGATATTAGGTAACAGCCAAAGAGCTGGAGTAGATATGAGGTAGAGGTGGAGGTAGGAATGGTCAGGTACAGTGAATGATGCTGATATTCATTTACTATGTTAGAGGTAATAAAAGCTGTCATCCTCACTGGACATATCCTTTTTTCTAGATTACTATCATCATGCCTAAATTTTAAAATAATGATTATGTAACACATGTTTTCATAGGATAATTTTCATTATCTTATCCCTGACATGCTCATGAAATTCTGATGCTAACACAGTTGAAGCAGATGATCGTCATTAACATGAGAGTAATTTATTATAACAACATGCTGAAATGTGTCATTGAAATGTGAAGTGAAGAGAACAAAAATGAAAATCTTTGTGACATGTTCTGATTGACTTTTCTTGGCGTTATGTGAGCGTATCTGTAATGTCAGAATGTGGATAAAGATGATACAGTGTAATCATTAAGTAGGTCATACTCTCATTTCAGGGATTTCCGCTATAAAACCACAACTAAATCAAATTATGTCACATGGTATCATCTACAACATTTACTGGATAATTATACAGAGAATTACACAGAAATCCAAATCGCCATTTGAAAGAAACACACTGATAACATCAGATGAGTCTTCCGTTATGACCTCCTCTTGATGTTTCTAAACATTGTCTGTTGTTTTACTAATCAACTGTAGTAAACAATCTTCACCATAAGAGGGAAACATAACAAATTTCAGGTATATACACCATGAATCAATATATATATATATATATATATAATAATTTACATAGATAATCCATGCAGAGAAACGTTTTAATCTTTTTCAAATACCTACATCCTGACCCAAATCTTTCAACAAGTTGACAGGGAAATAATGGCGCTTCTACGTCATATGTGGTTGAAAGGTCTATTTCGATTGGCTAAGACAGCATGAAGGACCATTTCAGACAGAATTGTGCAGGCTTAGTTTTTGTTGAATTTCCTTTCAGAATCAATCAGACATTTTAGAATGTGGATAGTATGGTTGTTTTTATGCATATACTGGAAATTAGATCATATATTTGTTATTTCAACACTCGATAATATCTCATGTTAAAACCAAAATTCATCATCTAATCTCCAGTATATCTTAAAAACAAGCACACTTTCACGAATTATTTTACAATTTTATGTAAAAAAATCTTTTAAATCATAATACAAAATACATATTACATATTGGGAACAACTTATAAAGACTTCAATTACAAATCATCGCAACATGCAGAGTGAAACAGTATAATACTCCAGTGTAATACTACAACACAATAAATATTGACAAAATATATGCACATCAAAAACATCCTAATATTGCCATTTTTTAAAGAAAGAAAACACAAAGGAACTACCAGATAAAACAGTACATGCAAATCACCTTTTTGCTTATGCCTTTTGTGATTTCTACATCACAACAGTTCCACAGATTAACTTTTACAAAATAAGACCATAATATACCATGGAAACATCTTTGCTAATAACCCTGTCTTTACTACTACAGATTAACTCCCCTAAATTACAGAGTAATTCAAATGTCATGGCAACACAAATGCAGAAATTTGACCTTTGAACTTGAACATTCACTATATCCTGGATGAAAATCTTGAAAACTGTATAAAATTGCATGTGACACACCGTATAGTTGGGAAGAACGTGAGATTAAAGTTTTGAGGAGGTTGGGTAATATGAGTAATACGGGGGAAAGCTTGGACAAAACAGATTACTGACTTTTTAACTTTTCATACAAACTCTTACCTGATGACACCAAAATGGAATAGTATGTGATACACAACTGTGATCTATAACTTCACAAAGTACATGTATCAATAGGGAAATTTTGTGATTGAAGCCAAGACAAACAAACTTAACATTTTTGTGTTGGACAACAAAGTTATGAACACATGAAGGCCTGTAGATTTCTATCTGCCATCCAACATAAAACATTCACATGTTACTGCTTAGAGTATGGATTCTGTTGTCAGTACAAGTAGGCAACACAAAACACTGCACAGGAACTGAAGGTTAATATCGGTGTGCTACAACACTTGACAATGAGTACATGTCCTAGTCACTCTGAATAGGTTTCACTTCTGTGAAACACTCTACTGTACTCTTTCTCAAGACCTGTACCACCTGTCACACTATCAGGAACATATCAAAGTCTGCTGCATTATATTAAATGTCAATGTATTTCACAGAGTGAAGGGACTTTTAGTGTTAAGAAAAATAATTTCAATTTCAATTTTAATCCATACTTTAAAAGATGTATTTTACTCCTAAGCCCCAATCTATACATTACATAGAAAATGTTCTATTTATTTATGAAATACAGTGTGTAAATCTGTGTTTGTAAATTTTTTGGATAAACTTTAGGAAAATACACCTGTTGCTAATTGAAAATAGTCTCAGAATACACTGAAAGTTGGCCCAACTCCAGACAAAAATTACACTGAGATTTTTCGGAATATCTAATGCAGCAGAGGTATACTCTGATATGGTCCCAAACATACCCGGAATCTGAATCCCTCCATCCGACTGATTTATGGGTATATCATCTAAATATGGAGAAACAAATGACAGCAAATCTATGTCAATGTCAAATTACAAAGGGTTAGATGGTAAGTATCTATATATATATTGGTGACCTTCCAAACAATGCTCTATGTGTTTCAGTTCTTTATATTGTGTGAACTTGACTACAGTAACCATAGGCAACAGAGGGTTACGAGAAGCTGGAGTCACAAGAAGTGAAATGGCTACAATTACAGTAGCAGATTTGTAAAGAAGTCAGTTTGTAAAAAGTCAAGAAGTTAGGAAAATAGAAATTGTTGTAGAACTTCCTTCCTGATGTTCTTTTAATGATGTTAACCATGTCTGAGCCAATGGCTATATATGGCCTTACCTTTTTTGGTAATAGGTGAGGAAGGTGCTGAGTAGGCAGGCATTGGTAGAAGATCCTGTAACTGTACAGGTACAGGACACACGGAGGCAGTTAGAACATAGAACTCCATAACAATGTCACACAGGGCATGCTTCACTGCACAAGTGAGCTTCTCCTGAAGTGTAGCTAGGTCCATTCCTCCACACTCCCAAATACAGAACTGAACCAGTGTGGTCAGACCTATCAGTAACAATTTATAGTGGGTTTGGGTCACATTTCAAAATGAAGAAACATCTAGGTCACAGTCAATAACAAGAAATTACAACATCTAGGTCACAGTCAATAACAAGAAATTACAACATCTAGGTCACAGTCAATAACAAGAAATTACAACATCTAGGTCACAGTCAATAACAAGAAATTACAATATCTAGGTCACAGTCAATAACAAGAAATTACAATATCTAGGTCACAGTCAATAACAAGAAATTACAACATCTAGGTCACAGTCAATAACAAGAAATCAAAACATCAAGGTCACAGTCAAAAACACATTACAGAATCAATGTCATAGTTGAAAAAAAAACATTAGAGAATCAAGGTCAAGGTCAAAAGCAAGATATTATAGATTAAGTGTATCATGAGAAATAGCACAAAATCTTTTCCATATCACATTGCAGCATTTAGCCCAAGATCCATTATAAAGCACTATAAAACACTAATCTAACTTTATTGCAACAATAAATGTAACAAAAGAATAACACAAGTTTTCCAATCAGAAAATTCTATGGGCCTTTCTCTCATAATGATCAGTAGTCAGGAACCATGGGGAAAACTGGTTATGTGCATTAGTTCCAAGTCTCAGATAAATGTATTTAAAGACCTTCTTTAGACAAACCTATACCTTATGACAGCAAAGTTTAACAAGTTTCTCTTTGGATTTTCAAAAGTATGAACACTTTGAAAACTAGAAGTCTCCCTTCTAAATAATAAGGGTCAACAAGTAAATGATTTTGATGGAAAGTATTCTAGAATGGTTTCTGTCTGATGTTTGTTGCCTGGAGAAAATGATAATGATTAAGGAAAACAACAAATTGTTCCTGCCAAAAAAGATAGATTTGTAAAACAGCCTGCTACATGGATCAACTCATCAATAACAATATAGAATTTATTGCTTAGATCTTAAATATAAAGACTAACATACATAACTTAAACATTTATGGTTGTAAGTAACACCTCTGTTTAAATATATATAAAACATTGTCAGATCAAATCAACAAAAGGCAGACAATTATACATAATATGACTTGTATTACCTAGCTTGTCACTGGGCAAGGCAGTGTACAGCTCTGTATGTGTGTAGGCATCAAAGTCTTCTGGGTGATTGATTTTGGTGCAGCCAAGTCGAGAAGGTTTTGGACTGGTTAGTACCCGGACCTGGGAACCATTGTGATTCACTAAGGAAAGGCTAATGCAGGCAATACCTAAAACATCATTAAGGATTCATCAATTTTTTTCCCAATCTTTTCTATCATTGAATATATGATACAACTGAATGTATGGACAGCACATAAATATGAGCATCACTTGTCATGACTAAAGATGGGGATATATGTTGTATGTTTTAAAGCATGACATGTACATGGCTTGTCTGGGCATGGATAGAACTTCCTGTGTTGTTGTTGACCTCTGCCTCCTGTATAACCTGACCTCTGCCACTCAGTGCATGGGGCCTGATGTAGATAAACTCATGTCTCTCTACAGTATATACTGTCCTCTGCCTCCAAGGGTGTGAGGACTGATATAGATAAACTTGTGTCTCTCTACAGTATATACTGTCCTCTGCCTCCAAGGGTGTGAGGACTGATATAGATAAACTTGTGTCTCTCTACAGTATATACTCTCCTCTGCCTCCTGGAGTGTGAGGACTGATGTAGATAAACATGTGTCTCTCTATGATATATGTACCGACCTCTGCCTCCCTTGGTGAGAGACTTGATGTAGATACATATGTGTCTCCCTGTCCTATGCCTTCCAGGGTGAGGGGACAAATGTAAATAAACATGTGTCTCTCTACAATAAATATACTGACCTCTGCCTCCAAGGGCATGTGGCCTGATGTAGAAAAACATGTGTCTCTCTACAATAAATATACTGACCTCTGCCTTCAAGGGCATGTGGCCTGATGTAGAAAAACATGTGTCTCTCTACAATAAATATACTGACCTCTGCCTTCAAGGGCATGTGGCCTGATGTAGATAAACATGTGTCTCTCTACAATAAATATACTGACCTCTGCCTTCAAGGGCATGTGGCCTGATGTAGATAAACATGTGTCTCTCTACAATAAATATACTGACCTCTGCCTTCAAGGGCATGTGGCCTGATGTAGATAAACATGTGTCTCTCTACAATAAATATACTGACCTCTGCCTCCAAGGGCATGTGGCCTGATGTAGAAAAACATGTGTCTCTCTACAATAAATATACTGATCTCTGCCTTCAAGGGCATGTGGCCTGATGTAGAAAAACATGTGTCTCTCTACAATAAATATACTGACCTCTGCCTCCAAGGGCATGTGGCCTGATGTAGAAAAACATGTGTCTCTCTACAATAAATATACTGACCTCTGCCTTCAAGGGCATGTGGCCTGATGTAGAAAAACATGTGTCTCTCTACAATAAATATACTGACCTCTGCCTTCAAGGGCATGTGGCCTGATGTAGATAAACATGTGTCTCTCTACAATAAATATACTGACCTCTGCCTCCAAGGGCATGTGGCCTGATGTAGAAAAACATGTGTCTCTCTACAATAAATATACTGACCTCTGCCTTCAAGGGCATGTGGCCTGATGTAGATATACTGACCTCTGCCTCCAAGGGCATGTGGCCTGATGTAGAAAAACATGTGTCTCTCTACAATAAATATACTGACCTCTGCCTTCAAGGGCATGTGGCCTGATATAGAAAAACATGTGTCTCTCTACAATAAATATACTGACCTCTGCCTTCAAGGGCATGTGGCCTGATGTAGATAAACATGTGTCTCTCTACAATAAATATACTGACCTCTGCCTCCAAGGGCATGTGGCCTGATGTAGAAAAACATGTGTCTCTCTACAATAAATATACTGACCTCTGCCTTCAAGGGCATGTGGCCTGATGTAGATAAACATGTGTCTCTCTACAATAAATATACTGACCTCTGCCTTCAAGGGCATGTGGCCTGATGTAGATAAACATGTGTCTCTCTACAATAAATATACTGACCTCTGCCTCCAAGGGCATGTGGCCTGATGTAGATAAACATATTTCCTTCTTCTACCACCTGCCATCTATTATCCACCAAGCTCTGTGCAAAAGCAAAAGTAAACAATATTGAAATCGTTTTGGGGGAAAACATCTTTACCTGTAAATCTAAAATCTTTACCTGTAAATCCAAAATCTTCATAATAATTGTTAATTTTCTTCAAAAAGAAAAATGAATATCTTAACCATACAATTACATAGTGTGGGAAATTGTTCATATGAGTTAAGTAACATAGTACATTCTCTATTTCATTATCAGCTTGGTCACTGGAATTAAGTTTCATGGATTAAAAATTACATCTCACCTGGAAACGGTTCTCCAGTCTGTTGTCAGCATAATTGGGCATGTGACAGAACTGGAGGAGGTTCTGTTTGAGATAGTATAAGAGCGCAGACAGATGAACACCCACACTGGAGGGTAAAGTCAGGTGTAATGTCTTACTTGCATCCACACCTGGCTTCTGGATAAACTAAACACAAAAAGAAATTTCATTTATTATCAGCCTTACCTATTTACCTATCCGAGCCATATTACATATGTAACAACAATCAATCCCACTAACAAATACACACAAGGAGAATACTGATGACAGGATTAAGACTTAGCAGCACTCGTATGAACATCTCCATGGAAAGTTTGCTAACAGGGCTAGGACAAAGCAGTACTTACATGAACATCTCCCGGAGAAAGTTTGCTGACTGGGTTACGACTGAGTTGTAATGAGATCATTTCGAGGACTGCATCATCTAGACGCTTTTGCAACATTGAAATCAAATCTACTTTGATGTCAGGACCTGTTGAATAAAATGCAACTACTGAAAAACATTCTACGAGAAAATATCTTAAAAATACCTGTGTTGATTATTGACTATTTTTTATGTGGTAACTAAGTTGTAGTTTCACCATTTTACTGTAGCATCTATACAGCACAAATATCTATGAAAAAAACATTTTAACTGATACTAGTTTCACCTAAAATAAAGTTTGTATTTGCTAGCCATTTACAATGTAAGCACAGTATAATGAAAATTTAACTCTTATGTTATACCCAAATATGTTTTATAGAGTGTATAAGGATAACTTCATAATTTGGATATATATAATCTGTATTATCAGTATGTATTATATGTTTTGATACATTATCTTACAAGATTGGGGCTAGATTCTTGTTGAATGACTTACCTGCTTCCTCAATTCCATGAACCAGTAATTCAACATAGTCTTGACATGGCCTTTGAGACGCGCTGCCTACTGAAGTCAGTGAGACAGAGTCACAGTCCTTCTCTGCTACCAGCATACCCTGTATGATCATAGTCAACATCAGTCGCACATAAACAAAGACTGAGGACATAACATGTACAGTCATTGTCAACATCAGTCATACATAAATACAGACTGATGATATACCCTGTATGGTCATTGTCAACATCAGTCATACATAAATACAGACTGAGGACATAACCTGAATGGTCATTGTCAACATCAGTCGCACATAAACACAGACTGAGGACATAACCTGTATGGTCATTATCAACATCAGTCATACATAAATACAGACTGATGATATACCCTGTATGATCATTGTCAACATCAGTCGCACATAAACACAGACTAAGGACATAACCTGTATGGTCATTGTCAACATCAGTCGCACATAAACACAGACTGAGGACATAACCTGTATGGTCATTATCAACATCAGTCGCACATAAACGCAGACTGAGGACATAACCTGTATGATCATTGTCAACATCAGTCGCACATAAACACAGACTAAGGACATAACCTGTATGGTCATTGTCAACATCAGTCGCACATAAACACAGACTGAGGACATAACCTGCATGGTCATTATCAACATCAGTCGCACATAAACGCAGACTGAGGACATAACCTGCATGGTCATTATCAACATCAGTCGCACATAAACACAGACTGAGGACATAACCTGCATGGTCATTATCAACATCAGTCGCACATAAACGCAGACTGAGGACATAACTTGCATGGTCATTATCAACATCAGTCGCACATAAATACAGAATGATAATATACCCTCCGCCTGTGTGGTCTTTGTTAACTTTGTCACATAGATATTATAGTGTAAGTGTACAACTATCATGCTTTTATTTTATTTATTCATGTAAGAGCTGTAATTTATATAATTACCATTCTGTATGTTTCCAAATATAGATCAATAGAAGATTGCATTTTGTTGGTTATTATTCACATTGAAAAGATGGCATGTCACTAAGAAGGGTTGTATTTACACCTGTACTAATGTATTATACTCTGGTACTGTTTGCTCTTCAAGACAGGTTATTTATAATTCTGTAAACAAGGTATGGCCATCTACGACTAGAACATGTAATTACAAATCTAAAGTGACTATAGTATCAAAAGCTTTATATATAGTTGTGCCTAATTATTACTCATCTCTTTGTATTAACCAATGTTTCTGACTTTAACTCACCTGGTCGTCTCTTCTACTAGAAAACATGGCAGAAGATGCAGAATCTGGAAAATACCATTTTAAAACATTATAGATTGTAAATGATTTATAAATGAAAAAGTGAAGTGTTTATATTTTTAAAAGAGTGAAACAACCTTCTTGATTTTTTTTTTTCAATTCAGTATACATATAGATAAGCCAGATATTAACTGGTTTATACAGAACAATTCCATACTATTACATCCAGTTTACAGTTAAAATTTAGGAGTATTCTGTTTGGTGTTAAAAGATAACATTGCAGTTACTACTTTGAGAACAACAGTTCCTCCAAACCAAGGAGTCATACAGTATATCTACCCTGTGCATTGCCTCTAATTGCTCCTGTCATCCCGTAAAAAAGAACATTAAATGATTACAGTGTCATGAAGTGGAGGTTCTAGGGAAAGCAGCTGATAAATTACACTGGTTTTAACATGTACAACACTCACCAGCAAGAGATATATCTTCAGAACTGATAGTGGAAGTCTGTCTGAAAAGTGCTCCAACTTCTTTTAATCTAAACAGAGAATCAAAACGACTTTTACATATAACTATGTGAAGGGAGGTAATCCAATATGGTGGACGCAGAACTCAGGAATGATAGCCCCAAGAATGGCATGTTCCTGCGTATAATGTGCACCCCCTTTTAGACACGACAGTTTTAGCTTGAAAAAGTGCGAACTATACGCGAAAATTTACGGTAGATAAATGAAAAAAAAAAATTTGTGACAATGAATCAAAGATAAATATTTGTTCCTACTTATCTGTACTTAATTTATCTATGAAAGTGATTCAAACCCAAAAGCTTTCATTTTTCAATGATGTTCTGATCCAACACCTGGAATGGTCACTTACTTAAGATAAAAGACAGCCTGGGACCCATGCTGATTTTTGACAACAAACATGTTTTTCCTGTTAATCACAGAGAACTTGTTCAGGACACTCCGAAGTGCCTTCATGCCTGTTGAATGAAATAATGTAAAAATTCACCACTTCACCTAATAAAACTTAAGTAAGAAAATTGAATTATTATACAGATCAATACAACTCTATGTAAAATGCACAAACCTCTGGATTCCTTGGAGCCTGCAGCACCCATTTTGAGTCGCGGATTGATAATGAACTGGTGTGTGAGGACACAGTCACAGTTGAAGTATCCAGCCTCATGTCGCAGGTCGTAAGTGGCCGCTAGGTAAGGTTTTACCTTGTGTTGATCCTCCTCCTCATCTGCCTCGGAGGCTGTAACAGGTAGGTAATAAGTATCCAGGAAAGCCCCCAAAGTCACATGCTTTGTCAAACTCCACACTAGACATCAACATTTCTATTCAAACTTGACTGATAAATACTGCTAACTTGTCTTTCTTCAAGAGACTGTGTCAGGGACTAACAATAATTCAAAGTTGGTTAATACAATATTCTATTTCGATCTATTCATTGTGATGTTCTTCAAAGTACAATTTATTTATTGAATTTTACAATATACTAATCTACTAAAATGGAACAAAAATCTCTATCAAATGTCATTTTTTTTCTTACTTCAATATTCTAGACACTATATAAATATTTTGCTTGACATAGAATATAGACGGTTTTTTTTCCCTTATAACTCTAATTTTACCCTATTGTATCTGTTTATTCATTACATTTGGTATTGAACTACCGGATGCAAGCTTTTTACTGACCATCAGATGAGTCTAGGTGTCTATGGCCTGTATTGACATGCTTGTCCAGATTCCATGAGACCTCTTCATCAGCCTCAGGCACAAGGAGTGGGTCACAAGTCCGACTCTCATACAGATCATTGAGGAGCATCTTCTGATTGACACGTCGACACAAATTTTCGATGCTGCTCCGAAAGTAACTGAGTAGCATGCGTTGTTCTATCTTCTCTTCATTGTCCTCCTTGCCAGTTTCTCTGTGATTAGTATCAGTTTATAATCAGTCTCTTGACAATGTGACATTCCACTGAATTCAACATAACTATCACAATGACAAACAGAATGAAGCTATGTGTTATACTTGCCTAAAATAATTAAATGGGATTTGAAAGGAAACATAACTTTGCTTTTCTATGCATAAATATTATACTTACCATTAAACGGGCAACACAACACAAAGACTGATAAATTCTTCCGGATGGACTACATGTAGTACAAGTAAGATACAGTGAAATATATATCACTCAGCAGAAACTTGAAGCAGACCTTGCATGAAAGTAGATGTCCACTCCATCCTCCCCAACCTGCATCAGTAACCAGAACTTTGGAACTGGTTGTTGTCTCCCACTAAGGTCACTGTATGCTGCATTATCATCATCTGTGTCGCTCGAATCACCCTCATAACCTGACAGAACAATCAACTAATTAAGGACATTGTCAGACAAGACTGTAATGTTCTATGTACTGAGTGGCTGTTACCTCTCTCTAAAACAAGTATACTAAATACAGAATTGCATTGAAATTTTAGTTCAAAAGTGCATGAAAATCAGATTGAAACTGATAATTCGGACATCTACACCAGACTAAAACTCTTATGCTGTAACAGCATGAGACAGATATAGCACTCTAGAAAATTCATAAATTTTCATTGATGTGTTTGCATCTTAAACATTTTGTTCATTCAGTATGGAAAAATAGCAACAACAATATGTGAACATTTACTTGGTGTTTGATACACAATTCATATTTGACTGAGTACCACCTAATGCTAGGGAAACCTATTTGGAAGAAGATCTGAAATTGTATTTGACAACTGTACTTAAATCTCCATTATTCCTCACCAATATCTGTGTAACTGCCTCTTGAAGAAATCCAGGATGGTGTCTGAGGTAGTGTGGAGTGTTTACTCATAGGTGTGCCCTGCCCAGACGGAGCCGAGGAATGCCGCAGGCGTCCAAGTGATGGTAACTGAGGGGTCCCAGAAACACCTTTAATTGGTGAAATGGACAAAGCAGTCATAGAGTCTTGTCTTTTAAAGGATTCAACAGAATCTTCTGTAAGGAAGCCTGCAAAACTAGAGGATTTTTTAAGAACAACCTGTCCAATCTCCTCGCCTAAACTCATACTCCGCTTATCAGACTTCACAGGTGGAGTTAGAGGAGTTCGTGGAAAGTCAACATGACGGTCACGGTTGAAATGCAGTTCCATCTTGTCAGGAAAGCGTGACCGATATTGACGTTTTTTACCACCTTTGCCAGCTCCTTCAGGAATGGTTCCACCTTCCTGAGTTTCAAGGTCTTTTATTCCATCACTGCCACTCATGTTGGAAGAACCCCCACCTAGTGGTGACTCCACTTCAAGTGAGGCCCTTCTAGGATCCTCAGGCGTTAGGAACAGAGGTGATACATATGTTGTGAGAACCTCTGGTGAATCTGGGTTGTTCGTCTGGAAAATATCTGCCTTAAGTTGGTTGTTTTGTTTAGCTGGAGTTCCTTCACGACTCAATTCCACTAAAGCTGTATTCAAAGCTTTAGCATGACTCAGATTTGTCATTGTTCTTCCTCTGACAACATAGTAGTAGTCCTCTTCTTTCATCAAGCGGTAACCAAGGTAACTCAGTCTTTCAAACTCCTACAGTGAATTATCAATCAATAAAAACACAAAGTAGCAAACATGTTACACTCAATTCAACCTTTAAACAAAAGACATACTCATATCACAATTATAAGAATGAAACTTTTAAAATTATTTTTTTTCACTTTTTCTAAGATACTCCTAATCCAAGACGGAGCCATTTTTTTCTCCAGTGTTACCAAATAAGGATATTCTTGAAACACTTTCAGATATGATAGATGTGAAGAGCAAAACAGATTTGGAATGATCACTAAATGTCTTCCATATTCTAAGCATCTGAAAATCTAAATTTCACTTCACCACTCAAAAACCTGAATATCTTATCCATGATTTAGATACACTTTGAAAATGTGATAAAACTACTAGAGTTTCAAAAAACGGAAAAGGAAAAAACTTTAGCTGAAAATTCTTTGTAGTACAGGAGAAAACAGAAAATAATAAGGGGATGCTAAAGTAAATATTCTTCATAAGAATCTACAAACCTCTTTAAACTTAAGCAAACTAAGTCCTGATCCATACACAAAACTCAGTTTGATTTTCTCGGTAGCACAATTTGGTTTGCCCATTTCTGCAGACAGCCTGACATGTTCTGTGACAAATTGGAGGGCGTCTGTCTTGACTGGCTGCAGGTGACGTAGAGCTGAGACAATCTCATCCTTTAGCAGCCATTCAATCTAAAATCAATGAAGAGGAAATTACTTTTATCATAGAACTGCCTATTTGATGCTCGAACCATCATAGTTTAAATAAATATAAAATCCTATAAAAGATAAAAGCTCTCTATAAAATACAACTATATCATCACACCTACCTCCTCCTTACACTTGTGGACAGCATGTTGCTGTAGTTTGGGGAGATGAGCTATAGGATCCTGTAGTTGTCCAACATTACTGTGGATATCAAAAAGGAAACTTTAAGCAAATGTTTTATAGCTAGTTCTTTGTATAACAAATTATGATAATTAACACTTCCTCTTGACATTTAACAAGACAATGGTCTAGAAAACCTGTGCATTGTAATGAACAGGAACGTTGATAATTAGTATCAATATTTTTGACTTCTAATACACTTGTACTGAGTTTGAGATAATTTATAAACTTTATTTATTTTACAACAATTGTAAAACAAGTTATTTCAACTTATACTAATCATTCTTAGGGGCCCACATGTAAGCTCACGAGGGGTCTTATTGTAGGAGGAAACCAGAGTACCCATGGCAAACCAATGTGGTCGGGCAGGTGACCCCTTACCTTTTCACCTCCCTTCCGGGAATCGAACCCCAGACGACTAGGTAAAAGGCTAGTGCATTAACCACTGCGCCATCCGATAACTGACCTTTAGTAGACAGTATACTTATCAATCTGGCAACAACCCCACACCAGGTTATAATAAACAGTTTATAAAGGTCTTGTAATAAGTTCATATGCCTAATTTGAGTCAGATTGTATGTGTAAACCCCTGGGTTTACTTGTGAATAAATCATAGTGAACTGAAAGAGTGTGGACAACATTCATTATGTTTGACAAAGACATATGGAAGCTCACTTCAAGATCCTAAACACATGCTGAAAAGTGGTGTAAGTACACAGGGGGTGGTAAAATCAGCATCAATCCAGCTTTAAACTATTTCTGATACTTACACATGACCTGAGTCAGATGACCCCCCCCCAACTCTGAGAACTGGGTGAGGGGGAAGAGAGGTAGAAAATTGGGGGTCACTCAAGTTTTAAGAATGATCTTGACCACTCACACTTGTACTGAGCCTGAGGCCCCTGTCTCTGAGCTAGGGGGTGGAGAATCAGCTTCACTTGAGTTGGACAACATCCTCTGGAATTCGGGCTTGTTTTGCATGTCTGAGTCAGACTGAAGTGTTAGACAGTGTAGATCGAATGTTATCTTTAGGTCACCCAATTGTAACTCCATAGGGTCTCGTGTTGACTGTTCCTTCTCCTCAGCTATCAAAATTTCATCTATACAACAAAATAAGATTGATATCCTAAAAACAAAACATCAAATTATGTGACATTTATTTCAATAATAGATGTAGATCAGAGGGTACACTTCTTTACTCATCAAAATGAGAAATTCAGTGGTACATACCCAAACATGGGATGAGGGTCTGAACTGATACATCCTTGTACTGCATACGACTCTTTACTGTACAGGTGAAGTACACAAAGAGGGGACCAGAGTTGTTGCTAACATCATCATCTGCCAGTTCAGGGCACAAATCAACCTCAGAGGCAAACGACTCATCCGAGTCCAGTGTGGTGGCCATTGAACTGTGATCAGCATCTTCATTTTTCTTATATACAAGCTGGTACCCATCTTCTCTCTCTGTTATCCCTAGACCATCATCAACAGATCGCACTAAATCTGAAAAAGGCCAAGATCATTAATACATGGAACAAGGTCTGAAAAAGGTAAAGGTCAGAAATACATACCACATGACTGAAAAAATGCCAAGGTCGTCATAAATAAAAAGTCTGAAAATGTTTCAAGGTCAATTTGAATGTCAGAAAATGGGTCAAGTTCAACATAAATGTACGGTACAATATGGGTAAGGGTCAAGTTATGGTCCATTAGGTAAGAAAAATAACAGTCATCAGTTGTAATCAACATGGACTCATCTGTTTCTGAACTATTCCCAGTAGTGTATTTAAAGTTCAAAATAACCTGAATATAACCAATAATTCTATTACTTCTAAATATTATTAAAAAGAACCTGTTTTATAAATGGCAATCACTGTAACAGAATTCTGACAAGAGATAAGAAAGGTCTTGGGGGGAATTATGGGTCAGTCTATCACAAATACAGTTGATTACAGAAGATTCACTCACCTATAGTTGGTCCAGTATCAACTTGTTCATCCATGTCTTTCTCATCTGTTTCACCAGATTCCAACTAAAACCAAAAGAAACTCCATACCATAACTCCAATTCAATTAAGCATACTATAAGAAATATATTAATACAACAACCATTTTAAGGTGAAAATGCACTGTATGAAATTAGCGAAACATGGTTGATCTTGTTTTAACACCTGACCAACAGAAATATAAAATTGTACTGATGTCAGATCCCTATAACTTGTTATATACTTAATAACTTGTAGTGAGAATGAAACAAGTTTAATATTTTACTAGAATAAGTAAATCAATGTTTAACTGATACATATATATATCACAAAAAGGGCAAGAAAGAAAAATCATTATAAAATACATTCAATTACAAATAGTGTTATCCTTCAACTGAAATATAATTCCAGAAGAAATGGAAGAATGATATATTTAGATGTGAAATCATTTTTGGTTCTAGAAATGAAACCCTCATGTATATTTAAGCATACTCACGGAGCTGTCCTGTGGTACAGATTCCGGACAGTAGAAGTAGTAGTTAGGATAGTTGGGCACAAGCTGGAACCATTTCTGTGTGATATCAGTGAACTTGCGTCGGATGAGACTGTGAAGACCATCCTGGTACTCACATCGACTAGCAGGTTGAGTCTGCAGTTTTACTAAGGCAGTGGGCAGTTGTAGGATGGAAGGTACTGGTTTGATACCTGAGTCACTTCTGTCAAAGTATCAGTAGTATTATAACAACTGCTTGTATTTCTATGTAAAAACAAGCAATATCTAAAAATGTAAGCTAAAGATTAACTTAACACATTCTGCTATTACAACTTTATACGAGAATATCAATTAAAGGGGCATAACTCCTTGAAGCAAAGAACCAAAGAAAGAATCCTGTCACACTAAGATTCCTCATAGCAGTAATTTTGATTATCTATTAATACTTAAGTTAATTGGTGAAAGACATTAGGAGAAACTAAGCTATCTTCTACCTGATCTTCAAAACAGATTTTCCTTGATCATATCCCTTAATGAAGCTGACATTAAGTGTGAGAGCTTAACCGACATTAAGCATGAGAACTTACCCATCAGTTTCATCTAGATTTTCCATAAACCTAACAGATGAGCGTTTGTTTGTAGTTTCTGTCCCTTTATCCTGCTCTTTGTTTCGTTCCTCTTGAGCAGACTCTACAATCTGGCGAAAGTGTCGACATGATGCGAGGAGGAATGTGGTGATGTCAGTCTCCAAGGGAAAAGATTCTGTACACATATTGTAAATGACAGAGTCTATATCCTCAGGCGCCATGAAGTAACCATGCTGTAGACTCTGGAATACACCTGGGAAAATATTTTCTTTAGATAATTATAGTGCCAAATATTTCTTCATACCTGAACATAGAAATTCAGAAAAAAAATTCTGATTCATATTGAATGAACCAAAGGCACGCTTCAAAAAGTATACTGTTTACTGAAAGTGTGTACAGAATTAAATTCATCTTTTTTCCAAAATATATTTTATTTCTAGTCTGATGATGTGGCCCCAATTCCAATGAAGAAATAAATTCTCAATCTTACTTACACCCATCTCTTGTGGCGTGACAAAAATTAACATGAATCAAGAACACGATTGTTTTAGGTATACCTCCTCATCACTTAGGTCAAAAAAGTACACCTTATTTGCATACTTAAGTAACAAATATTATACTGAAGTCTCATGGCTATAAGCATGTTAAAATTGTATGTAAAGATATGGACATTAAAAAAAAAAATTCAATTTGACATTTTTCCCTTAACATCCTTACCATTGACAAAACAGCTAGAGTAGACTTCAGAGAGGAAAGTGCAGTGAATTTTCAGGTCCTCAGTGCCATCTACTGAGCTCTCAGTCATCCTTCGCTCCTGAGACTGACTGCAGCGTAGGATCTGGTGAAGTGTTTCATAGTCATCCTTATCATCACTACCAGGTGTCGAGTCACGGTCAAATGATGGAAAACGAAAGAAATGTCCTCTACCTCCAGGCGTATCTAAACTTTCACCTTTTGTTTGAAATGTACAGTCCTCAAAGATATCTGCAGCCAGTTCAAATGTCCAAGGATTGATGAGTGAGTCTGTAACATTGTTGAGGTAACATTCATAGACATACATGGGTACAACACAGGTCAAATATTTATTTTCTTTGTTACTCTCCTCCTCCATCTCCCCTGGTAGGTCCGTCACTGTATCCTCTCTCTCCAAGTTCTCCAGTTCTGTCTGTTCATCCACCTCAACATCCTTGTCTGTCCCTGAGATTTGGGCTTCTGACCCCTCAGGTCTGTCTACAATGGTGTTTGAGTCAGAATCAGACACAAACTTTTCCCCAAGCGATGTCACAGGAGTTAGAAAGTCTGCCTTCAGTTTTGCATTCCTCCCCAAACTGCCATCTTTGAAACCATCCTCACACATAGAACTTGATTTAGATTTCACAATTTCCTCAAGGTCATTCAGCTTCAAGAGGTCATCAAAGGATGCAGGAAGGAATGTCAAAAACATCCTTGTGTTACTGGAAGCTCTCACAAAACATCGCCACTGAGGATATTTCCTCCTAATTCGCATGTTATAGAGTCTCTTATGTTCAGCTACAAGTTCCTTTAGGACACCACGGTCAGCAACCTGATCTTCAAGAAGTTGATCAAGGTCATCCTCAAATGAGAAAGGAAAGGGGTGAGTGGTAGTGTCCCTTTTTCTTTCCTTTAGCAAATGCAAAAACCTGAAACTATCTTTTGTAGACATGATCACCTCCCTTTGAGTGGTTTCCTTCAGTTTTTCAAACATGAGGTTGAAGAAGAGGTTGTTAGAGCCTTTGATATCTCTCTGGATCTCATCTTCTTTGGGATTTGCTACAATTGTTACAGTAAAAAAAAATATTTACAACCAAAAATATTAATCTTCAAATGGTCATTAGGTTCACATTTTTTAACTCCCCTTTAGGCAAGGTGAACAGAAAAAGAATAGTCCATTTGTCTTGGTATATAAAGAAACACGCTTTTTCATGCTATTGTTTATAAACTGACTATAGTGGTACTTGATAAGACAGAAGTATCTACATTTAGCTAAAACTTCTCTAATCTACTTAAAATCACCTCTCCCAATCAGGAAATAAGTAGATATTTTAGATTACAGAAGTAGTATTTATTAAATTTAATTCCACTGCATATATATTGTGCATTGCTCCTACCCCCATAATCAGACTAACCAATTCTAAAGGTTGACACCAGGAGTTCTGCCTGCTGACTGCGTGACAACAGTGACAAAATATCAAATGGTAGAGGAAGTTGATGTATTGTCGGTGGGGATCCAGGTCTGCCAGGGGGATCCTCCATATACAGTGGCACAAAATCAACACTACTAGAGAAACTGAAAGTTGAAATCAAACATTTCAACAGGTGCCCATTGTGATTAATTACTTAACAATATTAAGCCAAGAACAAGAATCTCTATTGAGTTAAGATTTGTTTAAGTGTTGTATAGCATATGTATAGCAATGAATGCACTTAATTACAAAGTGAAATACATGTCGTCAATATGCATGGCAATCTGAAGACAAGTTACTTACTCACAATTATAACTGATTATTTCACTTTTCAAAACAACATCTGAAGTCAGTTAACAATCCTGTACTATGCATAGCATGTCTACATTGACTGCTTCCTTCAAAGTCACAGCCTCCTAAAGGCATGTGTAACAGATGTGATTATCTATTTTGATGCCTCTGCTAGGATTTGAACCAAAGTCTGCTAGGATTTGAACCACAGACTCCTCGCTTACAAGACATATGCTCTTGTCGAGTGGTATATTTCTGCTAGTATTTACCTGAGTAACATATGTATATTATTAAGTTATTGTAATATCAAGAAGTTTTTTTTCTGTCACCATATAATTGGTCTTACCTTCCATTTTGTAGCCAATCCACACTGTTGGGGACTGCAACAGTGTTCTGACACACATAAACCAAGTGTTCAAAGGTCACCAGGCAAGATATACATTCAAGGTCAGGTGGATACAGCTGTAATGACAAAAAAAGAATCATTTATTAATTAGCAAGCGAAAATCATTCTTTTCTGCTTCATGGCTATTTCTCTGCCTGATTCTCTAGGAAACATATGTTACAATGACGGATAACATGTTACTGTATGAGTAACTGATAACATGTCACTGTATGAGTAACTGATAACATGTCACTGTATGAGTGACTGATAACATGTCACTGTATGAATGACTGATAACATGTCACTGTATGAGTGACAGATAACATGTCATTGTATGAGTGACAGATAACATGTCACTGTATGAGTGATGGATATCATGTCACTGTATGAATAACTGATAACATGTCACTGTATGAGTGACTGATAACATGTCATTGTATGAGTGACTGATAACATGTCACTTTAAGAGTGACTGATAACATGTCACGGTATGAATGACTGATAACATGTCACTGTATGAGTGACTGACATGTCACTGTATGAGTGACTGATAACATGTCCCTGTATGACTGACTGATAACATGTCATTGTATGAGTGACTGATAACAGGTCACTGTATGAGTGACTGACATGTCACTGTATGAGTGACAGATAACATGTCACTGTATGAATGATTGAAAACATGTCACTTTATGAGTGACAGATAACATGTCACTGTACGAGTAACTGACATGTCACTGTATGAGTGACTGATAACATGTCATTGTATGAGTGACAGATAACATGTCACTGTATGAGTGATGGATAAGATGTCACAGTATGAGTGACAGATAATATGTCACTGTATGAGTGACTGATAGCATGTCACAGTATCAGTAACTGATAACATGTCACTGTATGAGTGACAAATAACATGTCACTGTATGAGTGACTGATGACATGTCACTGTATGAGTGACAGATAACATGTCACTGTACGAGTAACTGACATGTCACTGTATGAGTGACTGATGACATGTCACTGTATGAGTGACTGATAACATGCCACTGTATGAGTGACAAATAACATGTCACTGTATGAGTAAATAACATGTCACTGTATGAATGACTGATAACATGTCACTGTATGAGTGACTGATAACATGTCCCTGTATGAATGACTGATAACATGTCACTGTATGAGTGACAGATAACATGTCACTTTAAGAGTGACTGATAACATGTCCCTGTATGAATGACTGATAACATGTCACTGTATGAGTGACAGATAACATGTCACTGTGTGAGTGACAGATAACATGTCACTGTATGAGTGACTGATGACATGTCATTGTATGAGTAAATAACATGACAGCTTATTAGTTATTGATAACATATCAATGTATGAATGACTTGTCATTGTAATATGTCTATTTGAATCTTGAAAACCCCTATTCATACTTTTTTCTGTTTAATAAGTTCACAAACAATAACTTGATTCTTAAAAATACATCAAAATACAACTCAAGGTGTAACTATGTTTTATTCTACTCTTGTAGTCAACGATGGTTTCTGTTCTTATTGCATAATCAAACAGTTTTTCATACCTTTGAGATCATTATTTGAATATGTTTTTTGAAATCAAATAGCAATGCACTGATTTGCACAAATAACACAAATATAATGCTTTAATCCTTATTTTTATAGTTAACTATGAACATTCTGTTATTCTGTTAAAACAGTCTGGTCTTATTTGTCCATGTTTGTCAAGCTGAAATATGAAAATACATAGTTATATTGTATTCTCCTTACTTTTACGACCTTTTTTGGTCACACTCAGATTGTTTAGTCAGTCCTGTGCTTATCCAAACACACCAGTAATTACTGAGTTACCAACCCTGTACTAATCCAAACACACCAGTAATTACTGAGTTACCACCACTGTGCTAATCCAAACACACCAGTAATTACTGAGTAACCACCCCTGTGCTATCCAAATACACCAGTAATTACTGAGTCACCACCCCTGTACTAATCCAAACACACCAGTAATTATTGAGTTACCACCACTGTGCTAATTCAAACACACCAGTAATTACTGAGTTACCAACCCTGCACTAATCCAAACACACCAGTAATTACTGAGTTACCACCCCTGTGCTAATCCAAACACAAAAATAATAACTGAGTTACCAACCCTGCACTAATCTAAACACACCAGTAATTACTGAGTCACCACCCCTGTACTTATCCAAACACACCAGTAATTATTGAGTTACCAACCCTGCACTAATCCAAACGCACCAGTAATTACTGAGTTACCCCCCCCCCCCCTGTACTAATCCAAACACACTAGTAATTACTGAGTTACCTCCCCTAAGCTAATACAAACACACCAGTAATTACTGTGTTACCTCCCCTAAGCTTATACAAACACACCAGTTATCTCCCATGTGCCTAACTTCTTGAGAGTGTAATATCTGATGTTTAATGTAATAGTATAACAACTTCTTCTATAAGCTGCTCTTGTTTATACATTGAGAACAGAGTTACGTAAATGGTAGTGTTCCCAGTAATTTTAGCATAAATAATGCATATACTATTTGCGGCATCTAATATGGTATAATTCAACAGTGTGTCAGTCAGCAGTATAATCTGAACAAGATTGGTTGGCTCATTTCTCTCTCTCATCACTGTAGTTGACATGAACCATAGGAGAAATGTAGAAACTTACAGCTTAGTTTCAATATTTCGGTAAAGTCCTATGTGTGGTTTAGGTTAGCAAGTAATAATAGGAATTAGTTCCTACTTTTGTAGGGTCTAATTGATACATCAAGGTTGTCATCTATTCCCATAAGTGTTATAGGTTTTCACTGTTATTGGTGAGTGATGACATTTTTTTATTGATCGTCTTTTTATAAAATTGGTACAAAGAGAGTAAACTGATTGGCTGAAAAATTCAATTTCAATGTAATACGTGTAACTTCATGTCATCTTGTGTATTGTGATGTCACCAAAGACAGATATTAATTAAGTGACAATAATTCCAAATATACTCCGATATAAGTGCAATAAAATGCTGTTTTCATGAATGTTTCCAAAGTATCTACATTATGTTATTAACAGAAGGCATTTCAATTTCATAAGAGATCTAGGAAACACATCACATTTTTTATTTCAATTCACCAGAAGCTCAATAGAATAAATTCTTTTAATCACTTTATAAAGCTGATATAAAATAGAAACTCATACAAGATCCTCTACATCTGTCTCCAAAATTTTAAATATGGCCACTTTGCTTATTTCTAAACAAAAAGGGTAGGAGCATATACCAGCTTTAGCCTGAAAACAAAGGATGAGTTAGAAAGACCTTGTTGTACTGACTTCTATCCTCTACCAGTGTTAGCTTGGCTCTAGAGTTTGAGATTGAAGACTGATAAACTAATTCTTTATCTACTACTGATAACTACAGTCAATACAGTGGCTAATTTCTGCTGACAAACATTTCAATCACACGCCACTTTTATCGCCTTATTTAAGATAACACCAGCTAACAGCCATATTTATATCAATACTAATAACTTTAAACACAAAATAAAAAGATGTTACATTGCAGCAAACTGTATCATCCTTCTAGTAATTCCTCCTCATCGAACAATTGCCAAGTGACAGGTCTTTGTTCCTTTTCTATGCCATATCTATCTTTTCCTCTAAATATGATTAAGCTCTCAGAAAATTTAGACAATTCTGTCCTAGTATGTAGCAAAATTTTCTTTAAATAGAATTGAAATTGACTTCAGAAAATTCAGCAAAAAATTAAGAAATGTATAAATATTTATCGAAACTTGTCATTTTTAATTTGGCACAAAACTACTTGTTATTAATATAGACAGGTATTCAAGGTCATTTTCTGCCAAAGCCTTTATTTAGAGTCTATTTTTGTTTCACCTACAACACAAAGTCGTGACACCAGATTACTTTGTTGCTTTTCCAGCAGCAATGGTGGTGATGACCACATTTCCTTTAGAATTTTGTGTTTAGATGTCTTACTGAAAAAGTCCAACTATAACTAATTTTGATTTATAGCTTTATCACATAGTGGGTACCTGAACACATTCATCATTTACAAAATGTATTCTCAAGTTTTAAAGTCCAGCAACACTGAAAACTGAGGGATGCTGAGAAAGTAGATTTAATAGTCTTGTGTTAAGCTCAATTACCTTTTAAGCATGAGTGCTATTCCAATGAAACACGGCATATAGTTACATTGTAGTATGGAAATTCCTGCCTACCAAACAGATTGCATTAAAATTATTTTCTTGGTTTATTTGTAGGAAGATTTTGAGAAATGACTATTACATCTTCCATATTCAGGTCATTTGCTAAACCACAGCAAAAACATGAAATTCCAAAACCTTTTATAAACAACTCACAACAAATATGCTTTTCTAAACAGAAAATCACCTTGTCAATGATTTCAGATGTTGACAAATCTATTAGGGCTATTTAAACCTCTCCAGTAGAGTTAAGTTGGTTAATTTATGTTAGCTTGTTGACATAAACTTATGTGCATACTCATACTGCTATTTAAATCTTATTAACACCGCAAAACAGGTTTATTTTTCAATACAGATCAGTTGTACTTTAATGTCATCTTTGTACCATCAATCATATACAACTTTAGCGAAAACGTATTTATTCAATGTCTGCTTATCATTGTTTTACAACAACAATCGCCACATCACCCTTCGTCCTTTCCAGTGTAAAGTTTGTAAAAAAGACACACAAGTGAATAGCACTTTTTCATAAGTTAGAGTGATATACAGTAGAGCCAAAGAATTAATTAAACTGCATCATGCAGCTGTTTCGTCCTTCTAGGACTCGCCAGTGACACTAAGGGCCTAAAATTTGAAGCCTAGCATAACAGTTATTCTAAAAATTCACTAAAAGCATCATTGTGGTATCAGTCCTTTTCAAGTTCTTCAAACACGTGATACTTAGTCAAATACAATGTATAATACTAGCTGTGGAAACCACCAGTATTACAGTGAGAAATAAGGCATGATTGAGAAACACTATGCCGCAGAGGGTAGGCTATT